TGTGTGTGTGTGTGTGTGTGTGTGTGTGTGTGTGTGTGTGTGTGTGTGTTTAGGTCAGAGGGTTATTAGCTGGATTCAGATCTTGCTTTCACCATGTGGGTTCTAGAGATTTAGTCATCTTATTGGCTCAGTCGTAGTGCTTTTAAAATAACATACTTCAGTGCTTCTTAAAATAGTATGTCTTAATGACCCAAATAAAAACAGGGTTTTGTTTTGTTTTGTTTAATTTTTTAATGTACTCTTCTCTGATTTTTAATGAATGTGTTGTATGAAATGGTCTATTTCTGCTTTCACGTGGAAAGATGATGTGTGGTTTCATTCTGAAATGAGTGGTTAATTACCTATGCTATTAAGGGGGGTTCTTTGGGTTTTGTTTTGTTTTTTTTGTTTTTTTTGTTGTTGTTGTTTTGTAGTTTTTCAATATAGAGTTTCTGTGTGTGTCCCTGGCTAGTCTGAACTCACTTGTTAGATCAGACTAGCCTTGCACTCACAGAGATCTGCCTGCCTCTTCCTCCTGAGTGCTAGAAATAAAGGCGTGTGCCACCTGCCTGGCTTCAATAGACACTTTATAAATATTTTTTAGCTGGGTGTGGTGACACACATTTACAATTCTACTACTTAGGAAGTGGAAACAGGATCAAGAGTTGATGCTCATTCTCAGCTACACAGGTTTTCAAGGACAGTCTTGGTACATGAAATCCTGTCCCCCAAAAAACACCTGAGGCTGGAGAGATGGCTCAGTAGGTTCAGTGCTTGTCATACAGTGTGAGACTGGAATCCCAGCTAATCATGTAGTGAGATGGCAAGCAAAGACAGAGGAGTCCCTGGCTAACCTATGTACACAGTAGTGACCAAGAATATGAGAGGTGATATCTGACTATCATCTGACTGCCACCCTTGAGCTGAGACATACACACCTCTACTCACACAATCACATGTTCAAGCACACTCGCATACACAAATTAAATAGACATAAACACACGACGTAACATAGATCAGTAAAGAAACACTTTATAATGTTGTTGAATGACTATGGCGAAATCTTATAATTCATAAACTTTGGTAATAAGATATATTGAATTTATAGGTGTGGTTCTTTTTGAAATTTATATTTTGTTTTGTTTTTGTTTTTGTTTTTTGTCTCCTTTGTAAACAGACAAGTCCTGGATAATCGGTATGGCTTGAAGCGGTGGCAAATAGGGGAAATCGCTTCCAAGATCGGGCAGCTGTATTACCACTATTAGTAAGTGAATTACACATGCAAAGAAGAAAGTGTTTCTTTGATTAAAACAAGTGTATAGGAGGGAGGACAGTGATTTATAGGTAGGATTTTGTTTAGGCCAAATGGATCAAGATGGTGATGGTGTTGTGAAGTGGCCTTCCATAATTCAAGTGTTATTTGTGTCAGGAATTCTCCCATTTGATCAGACCTCAGGAGTTTGATTTTGGCTTTTTTTTTTTAATAAATGATAAACACTAAATAATTTAAATTGTTCTTAGGACAATTTAAGTCCTGATGGTGTGTAGAGACATACAGCCTGTGTATTGTTCACAGCATTCTTTAGACATTCATCCTACTTGGCTACGTTTGACAGGTTATGTGAGGTCAACTGACAGTTGTTTCCATCCTTGAAATAGTAACATTTGTGTAGTCCTACCTTTGAGTGAGGAAGAGATCTCCTTTCACAAAGGTAAATCTCAGCACAAAGTAACATCAATAGCAAAATACTTGAGCCTTTTATCATTTAAAAGGTAAGGAAAAACAAAACCTTGAGTAGTGGCACACACCCTTGATCCCAACATTTTCCAAAGAGTAGTATAGGTTAGTTAAGAGGGGAAAAACTAAAGAAATGGGCAAAAGTCCAAGTGATGGTGGATTACAGAGAGGCACTCAGAAGGCAAAGGCAGGTGGATCTCTGTGAGTTTGAGGCCAACCTGGTCTACAGAGTTCCAGGACAGCCAGGGTTACACAGAAAAGCCCTATCTGGAAAAAAACAAAACCAAAAAAAGATAAGAAACAGTCTCATCTTCCCAATGTAGGCATGCACTTAGAATGTCCACTACTATGATCCCTCCCTCCCTCTCTTTGCTAGAACAAGACCTCAAAAATCCTTACTTATGGTGTTGAAAATCAGTGAGTTTTAGAGTGCTCATCACCAGAGAAGATATGTATAGCATCCCTCTAGTGCTCAGGGAATAGTAATTATGGAAAGGGTTGGGGGCAGAAAGAAAGTACCAGCATGCAGATAGGGAGAAGGGCTGGAAAGTGTCATGGGGGGGGAGGGGCAAGACACGGACACTGTAATCATGAAACCTCAGCAACTTCAAGTGTCTGCACTGGGTCTCCACGAAAAAGGGCCCATTAACAGCCAGTCCTTAACGGAAGAGGGGTCAAAGGGCTCTACTCTCTACTGAGCTGTTTCCTACTGATAGATTCATGACATGGTTTTGTTGCATTATTCATTTAGTTTAACCAGGGCCATTTATGCAACAATTGGATTGGGACTATCTATTGGAGCTCTGCTGGAGTCACCAATGGGCACACAACTGCAGCTAACAACAAAACCATGTCATGAATCTGGAAAAGGGACAAAAAGAAGCAAGACTTTATAGGAGTGGAAATTTCGATGAGAAAAAGGAGAGAGTAACCAGATGCATTAAACTAAACATATTAAACAGACAACATAGCTCATTAACATTTTCCAAAGAGTAGTATAGGTTAGTTAGGAGGGAAAAAACTAAAGAAATGGTCGAAAGTCCAAGTGATGGTGGATTACAGAGAGGTCATGGATCTAGCCCTGGGAGCAGATATACTAAGGTACAGTATGTAGAATGAGAATGGCATGTACTTTGCTAGACCTCCGAGAAGCTTGGAACAGCAGGGAAATACTTGATTATTGCTTGACAATTGAAATATAACATGATTAATACCTCGCTGACTCAAAGTTAAGACAGTTATTCCCTTCCCCCTGTATAGAGTAGGGCAATCTAGAACAAGTGTTTCTCATGAGGAATATACCCAGTTCGGGTCTTATTTAACTTTTTTTCTTACAGTTTACGCACATCTGAGACCAGCTATCTGAATGAAGCTTTCTCCTTCTACTCTGCAATCAGACAAAGATCATACTACTCTCAAGTCAATAAAGAAGACAGGTAGGTGTCAGCTATACTTTAGGAAAGATAAAGACAAGACATTCAGCATTTTAGTTCATGTGAAAATGGAGCAAAAAACCATACATTTTCTTTTCCTTTTATTACTGTGTGTGTGTGTGTGTGTATTCATTCATGTTCCCATGTATACATGCCATGGTATAAATGTGAAGGTCTTTTAGGGGTCAATCTCAGCTTCAACCACATAGGTTCTGAGAACCCAACTCAGGCCATTAGGTGAGTTTCTTTATCCACTGAGCCATCTTGTCATAGAGGGTTATTTTTTGTGAATGTACCCCTGAGCAAGGCTTGTGCCCAGATGACCACCTTCTGGCCCATGGCCACTGCTGCATACCTGGTAGCTTCTTCAATGAAGCTGATGCCATCTGTGTAGAGATCCATAGAGATCCACAGCTCTGGTGGTGATGTCATATCAGGTAATGACATCCAGCATCTCCAGGCTTCTCAGGGTCATCATCTGGCAGCAGGGTGGCGGGGTTGATGGTTAAGGATTTATCAAAGGTCGGTCTAAAAAAAGGGCTTGGTACTGGGTCATGTGGGCATTTGACATCGGTTGGTGGCATCCCTCAGCAGGGTTTCCACAGCATGTGAAGCAGTTACAGTTAGAGTCTGTCCCAATGTGAGCTTGTCAGCTTCTTTTACAAGAATTGTGGTGGCTGTGATGGCTCCTTAAATAAAGGCCCATCCAGAAGCTACAGGATCCAGTCTCTTTGAGATGTAAGCTATGGTGGTCTGGATAGATATGGCGCCTGTAGATTCAAGTATTTGAATACTTGGCCTAAAGGGAGTGGCACTATTAGGGGGTGTGGCCTTCTTGGAGTAGGTGTGGTTTGTTGGAGGAAATGTGTCACTGGGGCCAGGCCTTGAGGTCTCGTATGCTCAAGTTAGGCCTAATATGGCAGTCTCCTTCTGCCTGTGGATCAAGATGTAAAAAAGAGGTGTCAGCTCCTCCAACACCATGTCTGGCTGTATGAGTTGCCCTGGTCAATGTCTCTTCACAGCAATAAAGCCCTGAGACAGAAGGTATCACCCTTTTCCAGGTACCCAGAGTGTAAATCAGGACTTCCTTGGCAGTGCCCTTTCTTTCATGGACATAAAGATGAGAGGCTTGATGATTTCAGGAAGAGTTAAAGTGAGAGCCTGTACCGAACCTCTTTTACGTTCCTAAAGGCCTGTTCAGGTTCCTCAGTCCATTCCAAAGAAGTGTTGTCCCCATAGCAGAATAAAAAGGGTTGGCAATTTCAGCAAGCCCAGGTACTCAAAGACAGGACCTCCCAACTGCAACCGAGGAGTGTCTCCTGAGAATGATAGTTTCTTGGAGCTTGTTGAAGTTGTCCTGTCCTGTTAAAGGGTAGGGACATGCAGAAATAACAATAAATGAATGAGTCAGTCACAGTTCCTTGTCCTCGGTTAGCAGTCTGATCCATTTATAGTCTTTAAAATCCCTTCTTGCCCTCTGTACTGCCATTGGTTGGTTGGTTAGGGGTCCTAGGGGCTCCTATAATACCAAATAGGTAGTGTCCATATCCACCAGAAAATTTACAGTTTGGCCCCTAATGGTAAAGGACACCATAGGCTTCTGGGGGCCTAGTTTGAATGAGCCTCAGCCTCACTAATCTTCCATAGCTAGGATGGGCTTGGGCTTGGAGCCAGGAGTCTACCTGTTTCCACTGTGGACATTCATTTTTCCAATGACCCATTTCTTTGCAGTAAGCACATTGGTCCTTTTACAAAAATCTTCTCTTTTTATGATGGGGGTGCATGGGTAGAGTTGAAAGTGGCTGGAGCTTGCCATAGTGCAGCCACGGTAGCACACCCCATCTTCTTTACCAAAAGATTTTCTTTGCCGTCTCTGTTGTCAGACACCTTCTGGAGCAATTCTGATAGCTATAGGCTATTCTTTCCTGCAAACCCATCCATCTTTCATATCATTCTATGTATGTCAGGGGCCAACTGCAGCAAGATTAATCACCTTGAAATTTGCCAGGTCCTATGGGTCTTTAGGGGCATCCAGGAGTCACTCCAGGAAAGCTCAAGCTGATTCATCTGGGTTCTGTTTTACATCTGCTTTCTTAGATAGGTTAGTGGGCTTTCTGGCTGCTGGTGTCATCCCTTCTAACAGAACCTGGAGGTACTCACTGAGTGACCTCCTTTCTCTGTGTTGTAGTCTCTTGGCCATCTGTCTTGGCAGAGCCTTGCCTCGTCTTGTCTCTGCCCTCTGGTCATTAGCCATTGAAGTTATTCAGTTGTTTTTGTGAGAATTTGTTTTCTTTCTTCTATAGTGAAGAAGGCATGGAGAATCTGTTGGCAGATCCCATGTGAGGAGATGATTTTAAAAGAGATAGGCAATTAGAGAAATTAAGGAATCAGGGTTAGTGCTGGAAGGGAGATCCTTGTTCTTCCAGTTGTAGTTTCTGTAGTGGAGAAGGACATACAGGTAGTGCTTGTCAGGAAATTGCTGTAGGAAAGCAAGAACCAAAGGAGGTGCCACCCCAAAACCAGAATTGGAGGAGGGGTAGGAGGGCCATAGGAGACCCTCTGGCAGGTGCAGGAGGGGAAGAGATAGGAGGTGGGGAAGAACTGGGGGTTGGGGGAAGGTAAGTGGAGGAAGAGCTAGAAGGTGGGATAGAAGGAAACTCAGACAGGGGGTCAGAGTGAGTCTTTCGTAGTGGGGTCTGAGGTGGTGGAGGTGGAGGTTGAGGCAAGAAGGGGAGCAGGGGGTAAATATGATTATATGAAGAGGAATTCTTCCTCCTTGAATCCTGCAGAACAGTTTTCAGAGGGGGTCCTAGGTCTCTGCTACAGGCCCTTAAAGGGCCTATCTGCTGACATTCAGGGCTTAGCCACCTTGCCCATTTTGGATCATACAAACCAATTTGGGGTGGGAAGCCAGTTTGGAAGTTGGTTTAGCCCAAGGCAAGATGTATCCAATCTGCTCTGGGTGCACAAGCTTACCAGGGATGACATTTATCACTGCCCAGGCTCTCTGAAAGTCAAAAGTGCTCTGGAGGGCTAATCAACCCCGAATGTGGCCCATTCAGTTTCACAGAATGTTCAGAGGTATTTCTTGGTGATAGGATGATCATAATTCTCCTTAACTATGGGGAGAGAGGTGAAGTTTGTCAAAATTCTTTAGAACACAGGTTGGAGGACTGGTAGGCTTGCTGGCCTTATTACCCATACTGTCCATCAGTTCAGTTGCCCCAAGTCCAAGATAAACCAGTTAACACAGAAAGTACAAAAGAGAATGGAAATGGTAAAAATGAAGCTAGAGGCACATGTACAAAGACAAGACAAATGAGACATAAAACCAGACAGGAGAGTATTCGGGTTCCGTCAAAAGCTCCCATATCTCAGATCAGGATCCCAACAGACCAGACTGACTTACTAGGGAGGCCTCTGCAGACACTTGCTGTTTTTCTCAGCGTGGCAGTTTACTCTGATAGTCCAAGGCATACCTAGAACCTTAGAACTTCTTAAGGTGAGGCACCTCAGCCCGGAGCCCCAGAATGAAGAAGGTCCAGCTTTAGAATTTGGGTGGATGATCTAAATCTCACTGGGGCCTCCAGAAAATGTAAGTCCTACCAGGTGAGAATAAAACTACACACACACACACACACACACACACACACACACACACACATTTTTTTTTTTTTTTAATAGAGAACATCTAAGAGCTAGCCAGCAACTGCCTCCTAAGTTGGGTTAAAGAGACTAGCACAAGTCCAGTTTTTGGCCTCTTTTTAAGAAGTAAAAATCACAAGTAGTTGCAAAGCAGGTTTACAGAAGAGAGCCAATGTGGCAATAAGGAAATACAGAAAAACTTTAAAAAAGAAAAAACACTGTGTGATTAGAAGATCAAAGAGGGTCAGGGTGTCCTAAAAAACAAGTCAAGGTCATGAGTTGGGGCGGGTCAGGCTCCAGGAAACAGACATTAAAACAGCAACAGCTTTTTCATTAAGTGGAAACTTATCTTTAACAATGCATCAAAATGGCTCCTTCATTCAAAATGGAGTCAGGCAGGATTGTTACTGAGGCAGAAGTGAGGCATGTCCAGTGACCCTCAAGCCCACCTCCAAGGACCTACTTCCTTGAGCCTTCCAAAACTGCCACTAACTGGGGACTGAGTATTCAAAAATGGGATTTTCCGGAAACATGTCAGTAGGACTCAAATGGCGTCTTTTTTTTTTCCAATTATATTTATTCCACTGTTTTGTGTATTTACTTAACTCATCTACATTTAAATTACTATTCCATCTGTAAGGTCTGTGAAGAAGGGATTTTTGTTCTGTGTTTTTAATCGCTGTTCTTTTAGTATCATGGCACTGTTTCTTATTTTTTAGATTTAAAATTGTTATTGTATGTGTATAAGTATATATACCACATGTATGCCTCGTGTCCAAGGAGGTCAGAAGATGGTGGATACCCTACAACTAAGGTTACAGATTATGTTTAATTATGTAGGTGCTGGGAATTGAAGCTAGATTGTCAACAAGAGAAATAAGTTCTCTTACCTGCTGAACTATCTCTCCAGTCCCCATCATGGCATTGTTTCTTATGCACTTAAATTCTCAATAGATGATTGTTGAATGAATGAATATCGAATGATGACTTAATCAGTGTTAAAATGTATTTAAAAAGCTATCTGGTTTTGATTTTTGAGACAAGTCCATGCATCCCAGGCTGCCCTTGAACTCCTTATTCTCCTGCCTCCCCCACCTCTTGAATTGTAGAATTACAGGCAAGTGCTACACTGCAAGCTAAGGCTATATGGTTTTATGTGAAAATTTTTATCACTTCTCTAAAAATGATGAAGTTTTAAAGGCCATCTAAAAGTGGAAAAAGTCAAAACAGCATGAAAAAAGGATCAGCTCAGGACCCCCAAGACTTAAGTTCTTAGGACAAGATTTATTTGCCCCAGAGGAACAGAAGGCATGGAATAAGAGACAAAGACAGAAGATAGAGGATGGGGGAGAAGGAGTCTTTGTCCCCTATGGGGACAGAGGACTACCTCTGGATAGAGAGGACACAGTGGTGGCACATAGGCAAATGGCAAGTTATAAAAGCGAAGGGGGAACCCCAAGTTAAGATAAGGTGTTTAATTGGGCATGTTAATTAGGTGAGCCAAAGGGGGTTGTTGACTGCTGAACTTCAGTATTTTGATAGCATGACCTTGATAGTCAGCCTCTGGAAGAGGGACCTTGGCTAGCTTTAGGAATGTAATCTGACATTTTTTGTTTTTTGTCTGTTTGTTTGTTTAGCAAGGCAGAGGGAATAGGGGAGGGGAGGGGCCCACCAGTGCCACGTTTGCCCTGATCAGGCTGGCCAGATTTCCATCACGGCATGTTTTCTATTTTAATACAATGATTTATTTCTCTTTTGTCCACTGTAGGCCTGAGTTGGTTGTTAAGAAACTCCGATATTATGCAAGATTTATAGTAGTTTGTCTTCTTCTTAACAAAATGGATGTTGTGAAAGACCTGGTAAAGGTAAATAGATTTTTTTTTTTTTTTTTTTTACATAGGGTGTTGGTATAATCCAGGTTGGTCTTGGATTTTTAATTCCCATGAATCAGTCTCTACAATGCTGAGATTATAAATGTGGATCAGTCTCTCTAGTGCTGAAATTATAAATGTACTTTAAAATAACTAAAACCCAGCCAGACATGGTACGGCATGTTTTTAATCCCAGCACTTGGGAAGCAGAGACAGGCATCTCTGAATTCCAGGACAGCAAGGGCTGCCTGGACCTCATTGTATAACTCAAGCTATCTGTAAACTCTTGACAATCCTCCTCCCTCAATCTTGAGGGCTTACATATGTGAGCCACCATACCTAGCTTGATGACAAACTTCTTGATACATTTCACTGAAATTGTCCTAATTTTCTCAAGCCCTTTGGAAGGAGATCTGTATTCTGCTGTGATCTTCTACCCTAGGCTTCTTATCAGACAATTTCCAAAGCACAGTGTAATTGAAATCCAAGGAAGTGAGTGTTCTTTGTATGTCATATTTGTTTGTTTCTCAAACAAAACTTGAGTTTCTTTCTCAGTTTTGTCAATAAGTCCATTGTTGATACAACATCAAGTAGGAAGTAGATCTTTATCAAGTTTTTATTTGATGTATATACTCTGAAATTTTATTTCGAATCAAATCTATGGTTTCTTTGTTTTCTGTAATAATTTCAATTGGATATTGATACTGATGAAACTTAATTTTTTTACACTCACTTATTTTCTGAGTGTGTGTGAGAGAGAATGTGTAATGTGTCCACAGGTGTCAGGTAGAGGATAAGACGCAGCAGTTGTTTCTCTCCTTTAACCATGTGGGTTTCAAGGTTGAATTCCGGTTGTCTGGCTGAGTGGCAGACACATTTACCTGCCAGGCCATCTTGCTAGCCTTTTTATGGAAATTGTTAATAACCCCTTTTCTTTGTGGCATTTCTAATACCAGGAATTGTCTGATGAAATTGAAGACTATACTCATCGCTTTAATACTGAAGATCAAGTAGAGTGGAACCTGGTGCTTCAAGAAGTAGCAGCATTCATTGAGGTAATCTCTTGAGAGAAAGGTTGTCATAGTAATAAGTAGGCGAATGACAGTGCTGTGTATTTATGGTGCGTACGTGACTTTGAAAAGAAGAAATAGTGATATTCTGTGTAGCCATTAATGTGCTTCTTTTTTCTTCAGGCAGACCCTGTGATGGTGTTAAATGATGATAACACCATTGTTATCACATCCAATCGCCTCGCTGAAACAGGAGCCCCGTTGCTGGAACAAGGCATGATTGTGGGACAGCTCTCTCTGGCTGATGCACTCATTATTGGTAATTGTAATAATCAGGTAAAGAACCGTGAAGGATTTATGCTTAAAAATCTCTTTTAAAAGGTTGGTTTTGATTATCGTGGAATTTTTTCCTTGTAGAGTTTCTTACATCTATGACAAATAGTTAATTCAATTATGCTGTGTTTATACATATATAATACTGACTTTGAAATTGTTGAGAAAGAATTTTTAATGACATAGAAACATGCTTATTAGTTTATTAATTTGCCACTGAGCTTCTTCCCCAGCCCAATCAGTATTTATGAAGTATCGGTCATGTCTCCATGTGTGTGTGTGAAAAGACAAAGTGCCTTCACTAATGGAGCTTTCTGTTTACCTATAAATACAATTATTAACAAAATAACTACTTAGATAATATTACTTCAACAAATGTAGCAAAGGATAGATGTATTTTTCCAATGTCTGTCATCAAGAGATTTGAGCTAGTCTCGGAGATGATGGAATGTTTTTCTAAGAAAGTGCTTTTTGTTTGGTTAAGAACTACAGTAAAACCAGACAGTAGTGGTACGCACCTTTAATCAGGGAAGCAGAGGCAGGCAGATCTCTGTGAGTTTGAGGCCAGCCTGGTCTACAGAGCCAGCTTCCAGGACAGCCAGGGCTATACAGGAAACCCTGTCTTGGAAAACAACAGCAAAAACTAGAGTAGAGTAAGCAGGCCAAGCAAAAGTAACAGTCCAGTCATGCTGCTGTCCATAGTTCTGGCTACCTGGGAAGAAGGGGCCCTGGTGGAAGACTGCCCTGTGTGGGATGGAGAGAACAAGAAGCACAGGAACAGTCAGGAAGGTTGTCTTTTCCCAAGTGCACAGGAAACTGGCAGAGGTCCAGGGCAAGGAGAGGAACTGATGAGGGCTGTATTTTAGGGTTGGTTTTGTTTTTGTAATTTTTTAAATTAATTTTTATTTTTTAGTTGTTATGCCAAGTAATAGGTTTCATTATGACACTTGCATATATACATATAGATGGATATAGATACAGCAATGTACTCTGCTGTTATACACCCCCCTCCCCAGGGGATCATTTTAACATAACACGTGCTATAAACTGTTCTCAGGTGACCCTGCTCTCATTCATGATTTGGCCTAGGAAAAATCCACTTGTAAAGAATTAGAGAAGAGTGCTCAGTTCCGCAGTACATACGCTAAAATTGGAACAATACGGAGAAGATTACCATGGTCCCTGCACAAGGATGACATGCAAATTCATGAATTCGTCCATATTTTTTCAAAGGAGATGCTGATACTCATAGCTAAACTTTGGGCAGAGTACAGGGAATCTTAGGAAAGAAGGGAGAGATAGACCTGGAGGAGACAGGAGCTCCACAAGGAGAGCAACAGATCAAAAATATCTGGGCAAAGGGGTCTTCCCTGAGACTGATACTCAAACCAAGGACCATGAATGGAGATAACCTAGAACTCCTGCTCAGATGTAGCCCATGGCAGCTCAGTGTCCAAGTTGGTACCCTAGTAAGAGGAACAGGGACTGTTTCTGACATGAACTCAGTGTCTGGTTCTTTGATCACCTTTCCCCCAATGGGGGAGCAGCCTTGCCAGGCCACAGAGGAAGGCAATGCAGCCAGTCCTGATGAGACCTGATAGGCTAGAGTCAGAGGGAAGTGGGGAGGACCTCCCCTATCAGTGGACTTGGGGAGTGGCATGGGAAGAGGGAGGGAGGATGGGGTTGGGAGGGAATGAAGGAGGGAGCTACAGCGGGGATACATAGTAAATAAACTGTAATTTATAAAAATGTAAATAAATTTTTAAAAAGTGAAAAAAAAAGACTTAGAGAAGAATTAGAGTGCTAGTGAGGGCGAATGTGCCCATTTGGTAGAGTGTCTGTGCTCCCCAGTCCCTGACTTCCAGCTCGAGCTGCATAAATGGGGTCTGGTGGTGTCAAACTGTAATCTCAGCCTGTGGAAGGCAGAACAGGAGGTCACTTGGCTATAGCCAGCAATATGAGACCCTGTTGCAAAAAAAAAGGTTAAGGCTAGTAAATGAAGAACTGAAGAACTGCTGGGAATTAAGTCAGCACCCAGCATGGAGAACAGTGCGGCCTGGCATGCATGGTTAGATAAAAGCCGGTAGGCTTGAACCGTGGAATGTTTGTGTGCTGCTGACAGGACGGTAGGTTTTAATAGTGGCAGCTTTGCTTCGTGTGGTGGCATACACTTACAGTCTAAGCACTTGGGATCATATAGGCAGGAATATTGCTGTAAGTCAAGGCCAGCGTAGGCAATGTAGTGAGACTGTCTTTTTTGGTATTTTTTTGGTATTTGTGAGTCAATATCACTATGTAGCTCTGCCTGTCTTGGATCTCACTGTGTAGACCAGGCTGGCCTTGAACTCACTAAGATCCCACTACATCTGCCTCCCACGTTCTGCTGTCACACCCAGCAAGACTCTGTCTTTGAAAACAAAACAACAAACTCAGACATACCCAAAAACAGGAAAATAACAATCTGTAATTCTGCTGTCTATAGTTTGTTTCGTAGAACTCAAAAAGAGCCAGGTATGGTGGCACATGCCTATAATCACAGCCCTTGGAAGGCAGAGGTAGGTGTTGAGGCCATCCTGGACTACACAGTAAGACCCTGTGCAAACAAAGAAGAAAAAAGGGTGCATGAAGCTACTGCTTTGGTTCTTTCCTGGAACATGTGCTCTCAGTTTGACAGTAAAAGGACAAATAGCCAGGTTATTGTCTCCTTGCTCTGATCTAGAAGTACTTGTTTCATTCTCATGTAGAGGTGCGATGGTGCACATTTGGGGCTGTGGTGTGGTTTTATAACACTTTTAGAAATTCAGTGCTGTGTTGGAATGTGAAATGTGTTCAGAAATACCTATATTGATGATTTTTATTTGATTTTTATTTTTATTCTGTGAAATATTATGAGGAGAATTGGAGTTTTGCTGATCTGCTACACAATACTAAAAAGGATTAGGGTGTGGCTCAGTGGTAGAGCACTTGCCTGACATGAAAGACTTGGTCCCTGGGCCTGATCCCTAGCACTATATAATGTATGTGTGAATAAGGTACGTTTTTGTTTGGATTTTTGAGACAAGATCTCTCTGTGTAGCCCTAGTTGTCCTGAAACTCTCTTTATAGGCCAGGCTGGCCTCAAAGTCAGAAAGAGGTCCACCTGCCTCTGCCTCCCAAGTGCTGGGAATAAAGATGTAAGCCACCGTGTCCAGTCTAAGGTACAGTTTTGAAACTTCAGGGAATAATTTTTTTAACAAATACCTTAACCAAAGCATTTCTATCTTATAGAAGCAGATATTTTATAAACTTCTGCTTTGTTTTATCATCACATGTTTCTAGGTCTTCTGCAAAACAATTAATGAAAACAGAGAAGGGTGCACTCTTAAATGCTGTGTAGTGCCAGAACATCGAGATTCTAAAGTATGACTCCAGGCGTAGCTCAGCTTAAGCAAAGTTTTCCATGATGTGTAGGGCTGTGTTTGTAGTGTTTGTAACTTTTGCTGCTTTTTAAGTCAATGCGTCACGATGGAGCAGCCTAAACAGTATTAACTATTTTAAAGTAGATAGTGAACATAGTAGTGTTGCTGCGCAGTTCTTTCACCACGTTTGCCTTTTGAAAGTCTTGTAATTAAATGCTAGAGAATAAAATATGAGCTATCTCTGGGTGTGAGGGCTCAGGCATTTAACCCCAACACTTAGGAAGCTGGGGCAAGAGGATCTCTTTGATTTCAAGGTCATTTCTATTTATATAGCAATTTCAGGTCAGCTAAAGATATATGGTAAGAACCTGTCTCAACCAAAAAAAAAAAAAAAACCACTCATAGACAACTACAGGCAACTAAGGAAATCTGACAGTGGGGAAAATAGTCTTCCTCAGGGACCAAGTGGTCATATACATATAAGTAGCACTAAAAGGGCTGAGCAGGTTGTATTTCTGTATTTAGGTGCTCAGTCATAAACACACACACCAGTAACCACTTAAAAAGCAGGCCACGATCTCAAGAAGGAACAAGGCAGATACATGGAAAGAATTGAAGGGAGGAAAAGGAAGCAGGAAAAATGTAACTTTATATGTGTACACATGTATATATGTATATAATCAGCTGTCATTAAGTATACATGAAAATCAAGGGTAATAATGTGATCAAAGACCAACAAGTCTTATTATTACATAAATGACCAGGTACTTTCTTCTTTCAGGTCAAATTCAGTGAATTAACTGTTGACATGTTCCGGATGTTGCAAGCCTTGGAGAGGGAGCCGATGAATTTAGCTTCGCAGATGAATAAACCAGGAATACAGGTGATCATTTGCCGGAGTGGTAATTCTTACTGCTTCTGCTTCTCTTAGGGGCACAGGTACAAATAAAGAATACTCTCAAGCCACTTGTAGGTGCCTCACACCTGTAAGGCACACTAGACAGCCAAACATTGTTGAAAGTTAGAGGCCTGCCTAGGCTACATAAGGAGTTTTTGTGACAAAACACAAAGAACACTCTTGATAAGACACAGAGAAGTTGATAAGCAAAATCACAGACACTGAAAAAAATGAGGATATCTGATAGAAAGGATAGGGATTGTAGACACTGATAAATTCAGCTGCCGCATACCACTTATGTCATTTTTGCTGTGGCACCATAGGAGCCAGCTGACAAGCCTACCAGACGAGAAAACCCCCACAAGTATCTGCTCTACAAACCGACCTTCAGCCAACTGTATACATTCTTAGCAGCGTCTTTTAAGGTATGTGTGACCCAGTATTCTTTCTGCAGTGGGGAAAATATACTCAGGATAGACTTGGTCACTCTTCAGATGCCTGACCAAAAGTATTTAGTAATGTATGAACATACACAAGTGCTGTTCCAGTAGTGGTTTTGACCCTTCTGTTTTGGGAATGGTAACTGCTTATGTCAGAGCCTATTGGTTAATTATCATTCTCTCCATTGTAGGTGTACTTTAAAAAAAAAAAAAAAAAAAAACTTTATTTTCATTTCTTATATCTTCTTCTCCCTACTCCACCCCAGTCCCTTCTAACACCCCAACACCAGGTAGGAGAGAAGAAGGATTAGTGGGGAGAGGGGATTCAGTTCTCTTAGCTGCTTCCTGCTGGTTAGGGTTGTTGGGTTTCTTGGAACCAGGCCAGTCCTCAGGAGATCTCCAACTTCTTGTGTCATGGCAGCAATCAGGAGCAGCAAGGGGGAAGGAGGAGCAGCATTGTTCTTTTTGTCTCCACACTCTCTGGGCTCTGGCATTTATACTCTCTTCAGAGTCCTCAGATTTAAACTTTCTACAGCTGGCAAAGAGCTCCTCTCAGAGCTGGCAGGAAGCAAATAGTCTGCTGCTGTGGACTGTCTCAATCAGTCCCACATCTCACACCTGGGACCAAAACAAAAACATGTTTATATCCACAACACTCCTTTTTAGATTTTAATTATTAAACAACTTTGGGCTTAACACTCAATGCAAAATTGAAAAACAAGAACAGTATGTATAGCATTCATGTGCTCTGGCGGCTCTGAGAGACATTGTGGCAATCTGATAGAAGAATGTGGTAAATGCCTTTATTTAGACAGGAGTTAGAGGCCTAAGTTCAAGGGCAACGTGGGTGCATCAGTACACAAGCAAGGTTGAAGCCTCAAAAAGAAAAAAAATGGGAATTGGGTGTTATCTTCCCAAATTTATGTTATGGAAGGTATTCAGGGAAGTTTGCCTTTTTTGTCACCAATGGAGATCGTTCTCTGTCCATTTTATGTTCTTAGAGAACATTCTATAACAGATGGGATGCTGCAAGTAGAAAATGTGTTCACAGCTTTGGCCACAGTTATGCAGTGTAGATCATAGTGAGTCTTTGCCATGTGATTTTTAAGTTGGAACAAGTGTGGATATGATAACAGCAGTGTGTTAAATGATACCATTTTCCAAACAGCCTTAAATTGCCCAGAATATTAAGTAAAACTGTTGTTTTTCCTGTCTGGTTTTGTGTGTGTGGTTTTCTTTCATTTCAGGAGCTGCCTGCCAATAGTGTGCTTCTGATTTACCTGTCAGCCACTGGCGTTTTCCCCACAGGTCGTTCTGATGGTGAAGGTACAATAAAGGAATGCTCCCACTGTGAGCAGGGCTTGAATTTTCTCTGTTTTCTACAAGACAATGGCCCACAGCCCTGAGACCACCTCATGCTCTATAAAGAAGCTTCCAAATTTAAAACCTGGTCTCTTTGTTTGGTGACAGTGTTGGAGAGAACGTGGTTAATTCTCCATGCTCAACTATTATTCCTTGAGGTCCAAAAATCCTAAGACAATACATATATCAAATGCATACTTCACTGTCAAATTTGTCAAAAGCATCACATATAAATTTACACTTACGCAGTTTGATATTTGACATTGCAAAGAATTATGGAATCTGCCAGCTTGTTTAATTGACATCATTGAATCATCGTAAGCTTTTAAAACATCCGGGGTTCTGGTGGAGGCAGTGTTATGGCTGAAAGTCTTAGTAGAAATCAGTTTACTTTTGTAACTGTGAAAGTTCAAGTCCTTGTTACAATTTATTTTTAACCCTTTTAATTTTATTACTATGGATTCAGTCCATGCAATACTGGGATGCTGTTTCAGAATAAAACCTTAAACTGTCAGAACATAGAAGCCCAGAAATTGTTCAGACTAGATGAGCAACTTAAGATGTAAATGAAGGAATTAAGTCTTTGGAGAAAAATAGTTTAACATTTTCAACATTTTCCTCCTCATCTGTCTGTTGCAATTGGCATTCCTTTATAAAATGCATGACCTACCATCTTCCTTGCATGACCTACAAAGTAGTAAAATGTTACAGTAAAAAAAAAAGAAAGAAAGAAAGAAAATGTCTATAGTCTTTACATTGCAGTGATTTTTAAAGGTCTATAATCCACCTGTGACGTAAGGGGGTGGGGCATGCTGGAACCTTATGGGCATGTGCAAGGGAGGAAGAAGACCTTAGGGATTGCCTTAGTTCTTATTTAAATGTTAATCACTTTATTTATCTTTAAGTATTTATTGTCTGAAAACATGTTATTAAAGCAGCTATTCTGGGTCTTCAGGGTTAGACTATTGACCTCTTATTTTACATTTTGTAATTAATAGAGGTGGTAACTGAGTGGCCCTATCTCAGAAATTACATGAACATCCCACAGTCACTGTTCAACTTAGACAAGAGTTAACTGACTCTTATAACTGGTGGGAAAAGGCTAACATATAGATCAGAATTAAAGAAGTTGACATAATTAATGGATTAATGGGCATGATTAATGGATTTTTCATGTACTGGAATTTGGCAGACTATTTCATGACAATGAAGTTTTGTTAATAAGAAATTTCAAATTTTTCCTTAAATTTTTCACTGAGTAGTTAACTTAAAATTATCTCTACTAGATCAGGTACAATAGTATATCCCTGTTGTGCCAGCTACTCAAAATGCATATTTCTATGAAGAGAGTTCAGTGTGCAGTTATCATCTCTCTTTGTAAAGTACTTTTGTTAGAACAGATTAAAATTTCGTTTGCAATGTAAATGTTATTTTATTTTTTAAACTTTTCATTGATTCTTTGTGAATTTCACATCCTCCACCCCAATCCCACTCATCTCCCCATCCCTCCATATCTGTTTTCCATCCTTGCAACCTCCCCTCCCCCAAACAAAACAAAACAAAACATGTCAACCTGGAAACTGTGGTGTGTCACAGTGAGTCACACAATATACCCTTTTGTCCACACATCTGTACTTGCAAATGTTCATTGCAATGAGTCATTGTTCTGGTTTGAGGCATCTGGCTTCTGCTACATCATCATCAAAACAGGATCCTCACCAGGATTCCTCTCAGACATCCTGTAAATTAGCCCAAGTCTCTGTCTTTCTTACCACCCAAATTAATGGGATGCTATATATTCTTGGTTTTGTTGTTTTTGCTGTTTGTTTGTTTGTTTTTGTGGTTTTGGTTTTTTAATGCAGATGTTTTTAAAAACATTAGACAATGTGCTGAAATCATGTAGATGTTATATTAAGTTAAATTTAAAGATAATTTAAATGTTTTATGCTTATCTTGTGCTTCTATCAAAGGGAGATTGACTGGTACTCTTGCACCTGAGCATCAGATTACTTGGTGTTACCCTCCAGTTGAATTCTGGGTTTCTTCCCTTTGTTGTTTTAGGTCCTTACGACTTTGGAGGTGTACTTACTAATAGTAACCGGGACGTTATAAATGGAGATGCAATCCACAAACGAAATCAGCCCCACAAGGAGATGCACTGGTATGTATTCTAGTGTCTTAAATCAGCACTCTGAAAACAGTACGAGAAATTGGAACGTATTCCAATTGGAACAGTAGTTCCCTTGGAATGCTGTGGACAGCGCTTATTTTTGTTCTTGTGTAAAAGCTTGCACAGAGCCATCTTTAGGATTTCTCTAGCCAGAAGAGAAAATTCTGCTTTTAATGAACAGTGGGCTTGTCTAACAATACTTTATATTAAATATCAACCTTCTTACTGAAAAGCGGAGGAGACCAGGCCTATGTATTTTCCAAATTATTCATGTCGTAGCTAAAGGTTCCCTAAGCCAGCGGTAATACTGTTGCTCCCCTGAGTTTTAAATTACTTACTTTGGAAAATCTAACAGATACATAAATGGATACACAGCGTCCCTCATCATCTGAGACGTGCGGGTGAGAACCCCGAGAAGCTGCCGCTTAGTGTCTGTTAGGGTAGTTACTGCAGAACACATGTTGTGGAGGATATGAGCAGAAAGCGCCTGAAGACTTCTGATAGAATGTAATTCGACGGGTACAATTACTGTGGAAAACGGTATGGGTTTTCCTCAAAAAGCTAAAAATAAGGGCCAGCAAGGTGACTCAGCAGGTGAGTGCACTTGCCATCAAGCTTGATGGCGCAAGTTCAGTCCCATACAGGGTAGAAGAAGAACTGCATCTCCACAAGTTGTTCTCTGACCTCCACGTGAACACTGAGGTAAAGGTGTGTGTGTGGCATCACACATAAAAAATAAATAAATAGATGTAAACAAGGTAGGCTAAGTATAATGGCATATGCCTATGATCCTAGCACTTAACAAGACTGTCTGGGTTTCATAGCCAAATGAATGAACAGATGAATAAATAAATACATAATTAAATCTGAAATATATAGTTGCGGAGATGGCTCAGCAGTTACAGCCCTTGCTTCACAAACAAGAGTGTATATGTTGACCTGAAATGGAGAAGAACGTCCTGCAGCAAGCTGACTTGCTGGACTACACATCTCCGCAGGCTCTGTTTGACTAAAAGAACGCCTCAAAGATTAAGGTTAAAAGTGATTTAAGAACATTCCTGACATTAACCTCAGGCCTCCATTCATGCACACACACACACACACACACACACACACACACACACACACACTACAAAGAATTAAAAATAGACCATAAAACACTAACCCCATTTCTTGGTGTATATCTGGGGGGGTAGCCATCATTTGCTACTTTGTGGGTTCCTTGCTCTCTTCCACCCTTCACCATCCATTTAACCCCCTAACACTAGATAGAAGAGGGAAAAAAGCATAGAGGGGAAAGGGGCAGAGTTATCATTAGACTACTTCCTGCTGATTGGGGTCATCAAGTTCCTCAGGGCAAGTTTTTTTCTTCACCATCAGGATATCTAATTTTCTCTTCTCCTTTCTTCACACATACATTACTTGACAAACCACAAACAACAGCAACCAGCCACAACAGGAACCCCACCTCTCAGGGCCCTAACATTTATATATCCTCTGAGATAGTCCTAGAATTCCAAACATCACACATTGGCTACACAGTCACAGAAAGTATCTACAGCTGACAAAACCATGCTGCTGCCAAAGCACCAGGCACATCATAGCTGCTGCAAAACATCCTCATCCCCACACCTGGAATTAGGATGAGAACATATTCCCACAACATTTCTTTGTTTTCTAAAGAAAACAAAATTATGAAATTCTCAACGCATAGAGAAAATGAAATTATGTTGCATAGAGAAAATGAAATTGTTACTTAGCTCACTAGCTCAACAAAATGTCTGCACCCCATCTTCATCACAACATTACTCACAAAAGCCAAGATTTAAAAATAACCTATCACAAAAAGCTGAGTGTTGTGCTTGAGAGATGGCTCAGCAGGTTTTTGTTGCTCTTCCAGATCTGAGTTCAGTTTCCAGTACGCATGTTTAGCAGATAACAACCACCTGTAGCTCCAGTTCCAAGGGATCCACCGCCATCTTCTGGACTCCCTGGGAAGTGCACTTACATGTACTTAAACACACAAATGTATGCATGTATATATAAAGGTGGCACATATATACATATATGTATAGATGTGTGTGTGTGTGTGTGTATAAAGGTGGTACATATATACATGTGCGTGTGTGTGTCACATACCTTTAATCACAGCACTCCAGATGCAGAGGCAAGTGGATCTCTGAGTTCTAGGACAGCCTGGGATACATAGCGAGTTATAGGACAGCCAGGGCTATGTAGGAAGACCCTGTCTCAAAAAGCAAACAAAAGAAAAAGACTGGCCTAAAGTTCAGAGTTTAAGAACAGTTAAGAGTGCATGCTGCTGTTAGAAAGGTGTAGTGCTGGGCAGCTTACAGCCTCTTTAACTCCAGCTCAGGGGAGACCTAATGCCTTTGGCCTCTGTGGACAACAACACTTACATGTACAGACACACATACACATAATTTTCAAAAGTATTTTTTAAAGGAAAGATTATATAGATGCAAAGAAAAGTAGATATTGCCACTTATAGAAACATGTGGATAAATATTACATAGTTTTGCTTACATGTAGAATTTTAAAATGTCTAACTCAGAGGAAAGGTTAGAGGCTAACTTCTGTAGATAATTGGAAGGTGGTTGTCAAAAGATAAGGAAGGGTAGAGAATTGACCCAACAATTCGGAGTGCGTACTACTCTCCTAAAGGACACCAATTTTGTTTTTAGCACCTATGTCAGATGGTTCACAATTGCCTACCACTCCTGAGAATCTGACATTCTCTTTTGGCATCTGTGGGCACCTGCACTCATGTGGGTGCACACACTTAAACATGTAACAATTAAGTCAAAAAAAGATACAAACTTTTAATTATGACTTTAGTGTCTATTCTCTAAAGGAACAGAACTTAAAGAATTTATAGATAAATTCTACATATTGAGTTCTAAGACAGCCAGAGCTATGTACAAAGACCCTGTCTCAGATAACAGAAGAGACTGAGGCTAAAGAGATGCCTCTACAGCTAAGAGTGCATATTGCTCTTAGAAAGGTCCAGTGCTAGACTACAGATAGATAGATAGATGGTTGGATTTGTCAGCCAGTCCAACAATGGGTGTCTAGGAATTGAAAGTTCAAGAATCCAGTAGTGATTCAGTCCACAGGATGGATGTCTCAGCTGTCTTCACTATACACCAGAATCCCAAAGAAGTGGGCTCAAATGCCACCAAAGGTTGGACTTGCTAACAGGAACGAGCAGACAAAGAAGGGAGCTTCCTTCTTCCATGTCCTTCTGTAGGCTGCCAGCCGAAGGTGTAGCCCAGATTAAAGGTGAATCTTCCCACCTCAAAGGTCCAGTGAGTCTTTCCACTTCAAGTTATGTAATTAAGATAATTCCTCACAGCTGTCCCCAGCCATTTGGGTTTTAGTTCCAGATGTAGTCAAGTTGACAATCAAGAATCGCCATCACAGTGTTTTTTTCTTTGGAATTTGCTAAAAACCACGTAGAGCAGATGTTTAATTTAGTGTGCCAATCATTACACAGTGTGTGTGGGGGGGGGTGTCAGTGTACTACACCATGAATATATATAATTTTCATTTTTCAATTAAAGCAAAAAACTTATTGTGAACTAGTAAGATGCCACTATAACCAGTCTTTTCTACTTTGTGGGCTCTTCTTTTTCTTCTTTTTTCCTTTATCACCCCAGTTTCATCCCATATCACTAGATAGGAGAGAAAGAAGGATAGAGGGAGAGAGAGAGAGATCTCTGAATCTAAGTTTTTTTAATTCTTGTTTCTCCGTTGAGCACCACTGCTAACTGCAGCCACCCTCCTCCCTGGATGACCTACAACCACCGACCCCACCTAGCATTTATATACTTTCTGAAGAACTACCAGAATTCCAAACATCACACAGTTGCAATTATCTGCCACTGGCAAGACCATGCCTTTCCTAGAGCACAAGGGAAATCATAGTCAGCTGCTGCAAAGCAGCCACATACCCCACCCCTGAGATTAAAACAGAAACATATAATAGTTCTGTGTTGTTTTTTAATTTTTATTTCAGTTTATTTACTTTATACCCAAGGTGCCCCCCTCCTAAGTACATCCTACTAAGTAACAAGGAGGGCTTAAGGGAGGGTGCTGGAATTTAGAAGGGGAATAGAATAGAAGTGAATGAAGAGAGGGAACTGGGCAAGAGATGGAATGAAGAGGGGAACGAGGGTGGGGATCAGATGTGAGAACAGGAGTGGGAGGTTCAAGGGCTGGGAAGAAGAAGGGAATCCCGAGAGGCATCTAGTTCTCTGTTTTTTAAATAAACCAAAACTCCAGAATCTTACTACCTACCGCTTTTACCTTGTTACATACATTTACATCAGTGCTGATACAGATACGCACATTGTCTACTCTGGTGTGAAGAGAAACTATAATCCACAGCAGAGACTCTTGAGTGCATGTTCCTGACATGGGCACTACAGTCCATTGATCTGTGGCCCAGCTATATTTAACAGGCAGCCCAGATGATTGTAGTAAGTGTCCAAAGAATGTAAAAGATTTCCTTCTTTCTTGTCTGGACTATTGTATTGTACTTGAATTTTTTTTTTTTTTTTTTAATGTTTAAGAATATAGAAAGCTGGATCAGCAGTTAAGAGCACTTGATATTTTTGCAGAGGTCCTGAGTATAGTTTCCAGCAGCCCCATGGCGGTTCACAGACATCTTTAATTCCAGTTCCAGGGGATCTGACTGCCTCTTTTGATGGCCAAGGATAGCAGGCATCACATGATACACTTACATACATGTGGGCAGAATACTCATACATGTAAAATAAATCTCTAAAAATTATTGGAAAACATCTTTAAAATAGTTGATGCACTGTAAGAGCCATTGAAATATGGATATGGTTATATTATTCTATCTTTATTTCAAACCATACCCTTTTTTTGGTTTTCTTGAGACACGGTTTCTCTGTGAAGCCTTGGCTGTCCTGTACTTGCTTTTATAAACGAGGCTGGCCTTGAACTCACAGAGACCCACCTGCCTCTGCTTCCCTGGGTGCTGGAATCACAGGCGTGTGGCACTTCGCCCAGCCAAGCTCCTTAAAAGAGCTTTTAAATACAAAGCAGTTAGTTGCCTACGTGAAACCTACTTCTGGGGTTTTCATGCCATCAACTAGTCATGTTTAAGAATGGGTCCTTTTTAGCTGAGGGTTTGTTTTTTTTTTTTCCATCTCACTGATGTTGAACTCATACTACTCTTGAACTCCAGGACTCAAGTCGTTCCCCTCTTTAAGTCTCCTGCAGGCTAAAACTGTAGGTAAAACTACTGCACACTTTTATTTGGATAGTCTTGAATAACAATTATCATTGGACCCTTCTGAGGTAGAATCAACATGTCCCAGTAAATACACATTTCTGTGTGTGTTTTTCTCCAGTACTGTTGGGAAGACCAAACTGTAAAATGCTGTTTCTGAGACTTGGCCATACAGTGACGCAATTCCTCACTGTTTTTTTCTGCAGCCTTCATCCTGGAGATCTCTATCCATTCACAAGGAAACCCCTGTTCATCATTGTGGACTCCTCCAATAGTGTTGCCTACAAGGTGAGTCCCTGGAAAGCTAGTGCACACGCCAGGCACGAAGCGGTAACCCCAGGGTCCCCACTTCTAACATGTGCCCTCCCTTTTGTTTTGCTTTGCTTTGATTATTTAATTTTACAGTTTGTATTTAGTGTTTCTTTTCTTTTGAGGTTGTGCATGCTAGTCAGGATCTGATGCTATGAATAGAAACAAGAAGAAACGCATGAATGGACTCTCAGTGGAAAATAATAAATCCTCCTGCAGGAAAAAAAATTTCAAGATTTCCAAGATCTCTGGTGGGAGGTTTATTCTTGTTATATAACACAGACTGTTTTCCTTTATAGAGCTAGAGATAACACGGGTGGCTTATTTTGTAAACACTTTCTTTCTGCACACCTAATGTAATGCACACCAAGTTTAAATGAAACTCCGTCTCATGTTACATAGTGATGCTCTTAAATAATAACAATTGTATGTATGCTTTGTTTTTCCACGGTTGAGCCTGAATGCTGGAGTGACAGTGGTTTAACCTGGAGGTACTTTTGCAATATTTTGCTTTTGAAGCAAATCCTCAATGATTTCAAAAGCACCAATAGCAAAACACTTTGAAATCACTAGAATTCAAGCTGTAGTAATTTATAGTGAAGCAAAACAGGCTTGAATTAGGAAAGAGCATTCCACCCTGGGCTGTGTGCTTGTTTCTGCACCTGAAAGCTTCTTCTGCTATGAGTATCAACATGAATGAAGAAGCAAACATTACTCAATTTATTCTGGCCTGGCTGTGGAAATGCCTGGTAGCCAAGAATGGTGACCCCATTCTTGTATGTATGTTTTTCATTTTCTTCTCATGTTTGGTTTCCTTTTAAAAATAAAACCTGGCCAGGTGTCATGTGCACACCTTTAGACCCAGTACTCAGGAGCAGAGGCAGGCAGCTCTCTGTGATTTCAAGGCCAGCCTCATCTACAGAGTGAGTTCCAGAATAGCCAGGGCTATTACACAGAGAAACCCTGTCTTGAACAAGGGTGGGTGTAAGCTGGGATACAAAATGAATAAATTGTAATAAGTAAAAAATTATATTAAAAAATAAATATGCCATTTAAACATGGCAAAGAGATTTAAAAGAGTAAAGGTTGCTAAGAAATCTAAAAAAAAAAAAAAAAACAAAAAAAACAAAAAAAAAAACCCAGATAGATAGATGGATGGATGGATGGATAGATAGATAGATAGATAGATAGATAGATAGATAGATAGATAGGCAAATAATAAATAAATAAATAAATCCTGAATTTTAATAGCATATAACCCACCCTAAATTTTAAAGATTTTTAGCATTTGCTAAAAATTACTACCCATTTTTTAAAGTTCAATGTTAGAATTTTTAATTTTTAGGGAACTTACCTTCGTACTTTCTTAAGTTGTGTGTGTATTTGTTGGATGTAGAAGGGAGCAGGGAGCTACTAAAGAAAAGCCAGAACAGGACTGATGAGAGTTCCAAGCAGCTTGGGCTACAGAGTAAGTCCTTGTCTCAAACAGAAAATCTAGACAAGCAGGTCCAGCATATAAGTATATAAATTACATATACATAATAATTTGTTAAGAGTATTACAGAAACAGAAATATCAATGGAATAATTAAAGAAAATGGGCACTTTCCATACTGAAAGAATTCACCAAGCCCAGGAGTTCAAAATACACCCAAATCAGGCCCTTGTCTTTTTTCTTTGAATTAGATAAAGCTAGAGAAATAGATATATATATGTGCATATAATATGTATTTGCACATACAATAGACCTGTATAATTGCATTTTCTCATGTGTGAAATATCTTCTCATACCCTTGGGAACATAAATTATTATTTTTATTTTATTTATGTGTGTTATCTTATTGTGTGTGTGTTGTAATCCAGGGCCTCACATTATGCTAGGTGAATGCTTTACCTAGCTACATTTTAGCCAAAGAAATCATCTTATATTCTCTCTGCTTTCCTATATTCTGAGTTATCTCTGTTTCTTTTTACCTCTTTTATATAAGGCTTTATTTAGAGTATCATAATCCTTGCTTGTCCGGTTCTGTTTTAGAATGGAGGCAAGAAACTGGGTGAATGGTTAGGACTTGTCATAATGGAGATGGGTTATTTGGTTGAGTGGTAAACTCTATGTCTTTAAGGACTTCCTTTATGCTTATCATATTTATCAGATAAAACTCAATATTCTGCCTAGAATATAAAGTTCTGACTGTCAGCTCTGACTAATACATATTAGTTTGGACTATGAATGCTTTCCCTGTGGCTATTTAGATACACGTGTCTTTGTCCTCTCCCTGTCCTGTGTAATTCATCTTTCTCCTTCTAAATTTCTGTTTTTTTTCCACCCTTGGAAGAAAAAGAGCTTTGAATGTTAGTATAAGCTTTCTGGCAGAAGGAAGTGACTGATACATCAGTTTCTCTGTGATAGCTATGACCATATTTTGCCTAACAAAAGGAAAAGTGAGCATGCCAGTTGCCTTTTTCTGTGGTAATGTGGCATTAGCTGGAATCTTTTTAAGTTAGAAAATGAACAACAACAAAAAAACAAACAAACAAACAAAAAGCCAATAACTGGGAAATTCTTTTTAGTTCTGCTTTCTTTTCTTTGGAAGAAAAGATTCTTTGTAAACGTCGGAAATGAAGTGCAGGGTCCCTGCCGGTACAAAATGACTTACATGGCTGTCCAAAGCAGTCTTGGCCTAATGTGGTTGATGCGTGCAGATTGCTGTGCTCTGCTAGGACTTTTACCACATGGTCAGTTACACCTGGTCTCCTGCCAGCCCCCTCAAATTCCAGAAACCTGTTTCTTTTTTGCTCCTTTTGAAATTTCTTCTCTTAGCTTCTAGTAATCTGCACTTAATATGTGGTGGATACATGTTTGGCTGAACACGTCAGGGTCTTTTGGATGATTTGAATTGTCAAATTGGAGTTTTTCACTCCGGGTAATGACAGTTTTCAGCTGTTACCTCTTTACATACTGGCTCTTGGACCTCTTTTCCATCTCTTCCTAGGACCCTTCCACTTTTGTTAGCTTCTTCAGAATTCCCCATCACCCTGTTTCTGTTGAGGATTGCGTCGTTTTTTTCTCATCCTTTTTTAGTTCATGGCGTCTCGTTAGCTGTGACAACACGTTATTAATATATCTTGAGTTTCATGTGGGGGTATTTTTTATTTCTCTGATTTCTTCTGATATATTACATTGCTGATTATAGTTTATTTTTTTAGTCTTTGCTTTTACTTCTTTGAGCTTAATAAGCAGTTATTGGTCTTGTCTATCACATGATTCCTACCCTTGAGTCTACTTTTGCTATTTAAGATGCCACTTTCAGTTTTTATGTTTGCTTATTTTTGAAATGTAAATATTTTATGAATGCATTGTGCCTCTGTGTCTGTGTGGTGTGGCGCGCGCGCGCGCGCGCGCGCGCGTGTGTGTGTGTGTGTGTGTGCACGCGCGCGCGCGCACGCGCGCATGTCTGCAAAGATCAAAAGCCGGCATTGAATCCCATGGAGCTGGGAATTATGAGCTGCTAGGATAGGTATGGGAATGGAAATGGAGTCCTCTTAAAATTCAGCTAGCATACTTATCCACTGAGCCACCTCTCCCACCGCAGAATGCTTGATTTTGTGTGTGTATGTGTGTGGGTGTGCGTGCGCACGTGCATGCCACTTCTTTGGGGTTGGGGGGGAAAGGTAGTCAAGACAGGCTTTCTCTGTGTAGCCCTGATTGTCCTGGAACTCACCAGGTTGGCCTCGAACTCAGAGATCCGCCTGCCTCTGCCTCCTGAGATTAAAGGCGTGGACCACCACCACCCAGCTTTCGCCTTTTATTACTATATATTTAACATTGGAAGTACTTTATGGGGTCCTAATATGAAGGAACCGTGAATTACAGGAGATTTGAGTTTGTGCCAAACATCTAGAAGTACCACCAGCTTAGGACCCTTGTAGATGCTTGGGCTGTAGGTGTGTAGGGAAACTGACAACCTGCAGGAACTAATTTAGGGGAACAGTATGTCTGTTGAAATACCACCTTACAGTTTTGTGTGAGAAATTGTCCTAGTGGGAGGACATGTGAGCTTTGATTTTACTCCATTCCTACTGTAAAGATGTAGCCCTGGAGCAGTCTTCTCTAATGTGGGCAAATATGGGTCTCTTGCATTTCTGCCCTTTTCTAGGTGTGGCTTTCAAAACCTAAATTCAACTTGCTGGTTTGCCTTAGTCTGGCATTAGCTTATTTTCTTGGTCTCTTCTAGTGTCTTTGCCTCAGATCTCTGACCGTCGTTGGAGTGTCCCTGCGTTACTCTTATTTTCCAGCCATAGCTGACCCCTTAGTGCTCATACTTAGCTTCATGACTTAATTACTGTTTCCCTACTGGCTTCTTCCAAGTGTGTTACCTCCAGGCCAGACCTCTCTAGAACTGCACCTTCTACCTTCTCTGTGTATCCAGTTGAAAATTCTTCAAGCAATTGCAAACAAAAACTATCATACCCAAGACAATTCTAGGCCACTTGTACATCTAGATTCCCTATCTTGGTGGGTGCCTATTTTTGCTTATATAGTTGTCTCAGCTGAAAGTCTTGTTTTTTGTTTTTTTTTTTTTTCTTGGTGTTATTCTCCTTCCCTCCTATATCATATGCATTTCATGAAACCTTTTAAAATCTCATTAAATGTACAAAATCTCATGGACCCCACTGTAACCGCCTGTCTATGCCACTGTTCTCACTCACTTGAGTTACTCCAGCAGCTTCCCAGCTAAGCTTACCTCCTCTTCCTTCTTTACCTCTTATCTCCTGCACACAAATGTGCCTATCTGTCAGGATGGTCCTTCTCTGCTCAAACTCTCACATGACTTCTTACTTCCCTTGGAGTTCAGGAGACACATGGACATACAGGCATCTTTGACCTTCTTTCTTGCCAGCCTCTTCAGCTACACTGATTTCTTTCCTGGCCCTTAGTATCCCAGACAATCTTCTTGCTCTGGCCCTTTACGTTCTGTTCTTTCTGTCTTAAATGTGCTTCCAAAGGTACCTTATATTTGTCAGGTGTTTGAACAAATGAAACCACTTAGGTCCTAATTGCCATTTTTCAGGTCACAGGCCTTTTTTACCTTGTGACTTTATTATTCTTCATTACCATGATAGTTAACATTTGTATTATGACACTGCTGCTATGTATTCTTCTAAATGTTTAATGTGCATGTGCACACTTTATTCTCACACAGCTAGTGTGTTGCTCTTTTTTCAGGACTGAGTTTGAATTTAGGGTCTCATAGGTACTAGGCAAGCACTCTGCCACTGCGCTTCATCCCCAGCCCTCTTTTTCTGCTTTATTTGGAGATAGCGGTGTCTCGCTAAGCTTCATAGGCTGGGTTCAAACTTACTGTATAGCTAATGCCAGCCGTGAACTTGTAATCTTCCTCCCAAGTAACTACAGTAATTACAGTACTATACCTTCAAGCCCACCATTGCCACTTTTACTGTCCCCATTTGACTAATAAGAAAATCCAGGCACATATTTTATTTTTATGTTATGTGTATGAATGTTTTGTCTACATGCCTGTCTTTGCATCACTTGCATATAGTACCCATGGAGGCCAGAGAGAATACCAGATACCCTGGAACTATAGTTCCAGATAGTTATAAGCCACTGTGTGGGTACGGGAATTGAACCCAGGTCTCTACAAGAGGAGCCAGTACAGTTGACCACTGAGCCATTTCTACAGCTGAAGTTGAAACATTTTTACCTAAGGTAACGCACTCAAGTGGTAGCAAAGCTGGGTTTAAACAGCCTGATTATAAAACCTGTGCTAGGAGGCTGCAGAGATGGTTCTGCAGTTAAGAGCACTGGCTGCTCTTCCAGAGGACACGGGTTTAATTCCAAGCACCCACATGGCAGCTCACAACTGTAAACTCCAGCTCTAGGGGTCTAACATCCTCACACAGGCATAAATGCAGTTAAGACACCAGTGTACATAAAATGAAAATAAATCATCTTTAAAGTAAATAATAATGGGGTGGATGGGAAGGCAGTCCTCACCTTTTCTGAGGAATAGGGGAGGGAGGGGGGAAGAAGGGTAGGACCAGGAGGCCAGGAGGGATAGGGCTACTATCAGAATGTGAAATGAATTAATAATTAATTAATTATTACAAAATAAAAAGTAAAACTTTAGACCATTACATTTGGTCATATTTTAAAAATAAATGAACATAAAACTGTGCTATTAATGTAATTGTTTGAATTCCATGCTCTGTGCCCAGAATCCTTGTTACGGTTGAGGACTATATGTGACTTACTTTTTTTGTTTACTAGGGCCTGCCTGTATCTGCCACTTGTATCCATGTCATTGTCAGGGAGACAAGTTTTTTTCTGTTTTATTTACTATCCTATCTTTAGCAGTGTCTGCTCCATCTCCTCAATGAGTATTTAGTGAAAATAGACCTTTTAAAAGGATAGTGAATCTATTGATGTAAGTTAGTACTGGAGTTTTTGTTCTGTTTCGTTGGAGTCAGTCTTACTTTGTAGCTTGTGTGGCCTTGAACTTGAGATGCTCCAGTCTCAAGTTATAGGCATGAATTACCAGGCCTTGCAGTTTGATTCAGTAACTTACAGGTTTTTAAAAGTAAGTAAGTGACTGTGTGTGTGTGTGTGTATGCCACATATGTATGGTTGTCCAGAGAAACCAGAAGAGGTAATTCATGACTATATAATATGTTTGCTAGACACTGAACTCAGATCCTCATGCTTATGTGGCAAGTATTTTACCAAGTCCTAAAATTTAAATATAGTCTGCTATGTCAGGCATGGTCACCCATGCCTGTAGTCTGAAATATTCAGGCAACTGAGGTGGGAGTTTCACTTGATTCTGGGAATTCAAATTCAGCCTAAACAACATCACAGGACCCTGTTTCTAAGTAAATAAATAGTATATATGACCCAGTATTTTCTATCAGAGGACCGTACGATAATCCCCAAAAACATGTAATTTCAAGGAGGATTCAGTACGTGGCATATAATTATATGAAAATTCTTAGTACAGTAAGATGATGATAGCAAAATCAGCAAAGGATAAGGAATGTCGAGGTGACTGGAGAAACCCAGTTTTAAACTTCCAAGGTGTTGGTCCAGTAGTCACACAGGATACACACTTCATTCCCCAGCAACAAATTCCAACCATGTAGATTAAGTACTTTCTTTTAAGGGTGCAGATCAGTTGGTAGAGTGTTTGCCTAGCATTTACGAAACTCTGGTTTATATTCTCAGTACTTGGGACAGAGAGACTGGAGGGCCAGACACAGACCAACCTGGATTACATAAAACCCAGTCACAAAACTTTAAAGACTGATTCCTACTCAAGAACTAAAGTCAAGGCTTTTCTTGGGAACTGATCACTAGGGTATCCTCTGCCAGGCTTCTAAAGGGAACATTGGGGTTCCCCTTAAAGTGTCTCATTTGCCTCATCTAGGTAGAGTAGGTCCAGTATCGAAGCAGCCAAAGCCAACTCTATCAGCTGGCTCTCAGGCCTTCTGTGATAACTGCACATTTTTTTGTGTATGTATGTGTGTATGTATGTACATAAGATGTGTCAGAGGACAAAGCCTGACTAACAGGCAGAAAGAGCAGGCCTTGAGGGAAATGAGTGACAGTGCTGTCTACGTTAGCACTATCCAGATCAAAAGCAGCACGGACTAGGACCCGGGTATTTCTGAAATGTGGACTAATGATGTGATTGATTTCTTCAGAGCTGGGAATGGAGGGCAGGACCTCATTATATCATAGACAAGCATAGGGGTTGTTTGTTTGTTTGTTTGTAGATATGGTCTTATGGAGCCTAGCTGGTCCCAACTCTTGATCACTCTACTTCCACCTCCCAAGTACTGAGATTGCAGATGTTTCCACCTTGCATGGCTTATGCTGCATTTTGCTGTGCTAGGTTTTTTATTTTTATGTAAATGGTTTTATTAATCTTAGCAACTGGGGCTGGAGAGATGGCTCAGTAGGGCTGGAGAGATAGCTCAGTAGTTAAGAGCACTGTCTGCTCTTCCAGAGGACCCGGGTTCAATTCTCAGCACCCACAGGACAGTGCATAGCTGACTGTAACCCCAGTTCAATGGATCTCACACCCTCACACCAATGCACTCAAAATAAAATAAATCTTAGTAGTCATAATAGTCAGAAAGGGCTTCCAGGCCACAAAAATAATTTGACATAATTTTGGTCAACACTTTTATTGCTTGCTTTTTTTCATTTAGAATTTTTGTTGTTGTTGTTGTTGATTAGATATTCATCCAAAAGTCCTATGTGTTTTCAGGTCCTTTTCTGGACTTTCCTTTCTGTTCCGTGTTTTCCACTGACTCTTATACCACACCTTTACACGCTCTCGCACCGTGCCACACCTTTCAATTACTGCAGTTTTAAACTAGCTTTAATATGTAGTGAGCCTTCTTTTTCACTTTCCTGACTGGCTTTGCATGTGATGTTTAGCAGCACTGTTTTTATTTGGTTTTTGTTTTGTTTTGTTTTCTGCTTTTCGAGACAGGATTTCTCTGTGTAGCCCTGGCTGTCCTGGAACTCACACTGACCTCAAACTCAGAGATCCACCTGCCTTTGCCTCCGAAGTGCTAGGATTAAAGGCGTGTGCCACCACCACCTGGCACATTTTTCTACTGTGGAGAAGAACACCAGTAGCTATTTTTATTGAGATTAGTCCAAGTTGTAAGACATTTTAGGATGGGTTCATCTGTAAGAACATAGTGTGTCTTTCCATTTGTTTGTCTTTGCTTTTACCTGCTAGAATTTTTAACCTTCTGGCTTGTTCAGTTTAGTCCTAATATATAGATACATCTTTTTGTTTTATGTTATTAAAATTGTATCTATTATAATAGGTCAGCCTTTAGAGAAATTATATCCTAAATTATGCAGAGGGCTCCACTTGCAGTCTGAATGTCTAGTTAGTTCTTGCTGTAATGAGCACATTGGCATCATCCTGTGGGAGTTGTTGCCATGAGTCTCAGTAAAAGATGTACCTGTTTGCAGAGACTTTGAGGATGAAAGCTAGATGTTTTGAAATTTTGCCTTGGTATATCTGGTGGAAACACTGTTTCTAGAGATCCAGGTGCCATGTGGCTGCTAAGCTACAGTTACGTGTCTGCTATTATTTTAAAAGTTAATAGTCGACATAGCAAACTTCACTGTTTTGGGGGCAAACCTTTTTAGCAAGTTGGTATGCATGGTAATGAGACGTGAATGTATATCTGCAATTGCTGCTGTTCCCACATTTCTTTATAAGTTAAAGAGCCCAATCTGTACAGTAGTGATGTGCATTGGAAAATTTCTAGGTAACTACAGGTTTTCAAATCTTTAAAAAAAGTCTTAAATTCTTATATATTGCAGAATTTCACAAACTTGTTTGGACAGCCACTTGTCTGCTTGCTTTCTCCGACAGCGTATCCAAAAGCTTTGCAAGGTATGTTCTTGGTGCCCGTCACACAGTGTGTCTTCATGAATAAAGACTGTATTTGTTTTGACCAACCATCATGATTTGACATGGACATACAGTACATGTAGCAAGTGTCAATTTGAAATATGCCTGGAGTCCTTGCAGACAAGGCTTCCCTAATGTACTATGATTAGGCCTTGAGGTAATTCATATCTGAAGTAGTTTGATCCCTTGCTGTTAGAGACCTCTTGGTTTTTTAGGCTTAAAAATTGGTTCTGATTTTCTTGTCATAGCTATATACCATGATTTTCCTACATTTTTAATTACTTACCTTAGGCATCTTTGAAGACCTTAAACCTGCTGGCTTAGGAAACTTCTTAGCCTATGTCTAAGAGTTAGGATACTTTAGCTGGCACAACTTAAAAGGCTTCTTCTTTTTTTTTTTTTTTTTTTTTTTTTTTTTTTTTTTTTTTTTTTTTTTGGCTGCTTGTTTTGTTCTGTTTTGTTTTCTTCAAACTTTCATCTTGTGCTTTTAAAATAAAAACCTCTCCAGAATTCACCAGAAGGACAAGTTTGTTTGGGCCATTTCTCCAGTGGCTACAAAGTGAAAGCCTTTTGTCCTTAGTATTTTGTCCTCAATAGTTTACACATAAAATCTAATTCTAACTCCCAGTCATTTCCTAGGTCAAATGCTAAGTGAAACTTCACACTGTCTTAGCAGTACTTGAACTGTTTCACTATCTCCCTGACTGTGAATAGTGCCGATGTCTCTCTGTGGGAGATGGCATTTCACTGCTACTTCCCAGCCCGAAGTCCAGTCTGCTGACATAGTTTGACACAGGAAGTGATGGTCAGCACTTGAATGCCTGAGAGAAGCTGGAGACTTACACCGTTGTTTTAAGGTAAGTTCTGCTGTTTAACAGGGAAATCTTGTAGCAATTCTAAGTTCATGTAGCCAAAGCCAAATCCTAAGGGATAGAACTTACCTTCAAACAACGGTAAAATTCTCCTGCTTTGAGCATTTTGCATCCTGTTTCTTATTGTTTCTGGAGGAATGTAACCTCTTCCCACTACTAGAGAGTGCTGTCATCATCCTGTTCTAATGTAGTTTTATTTAAAACTACATGATCAAGTGTGTTAATATCAAAATTTGATTAGAGAGTTCATTGCACAGAAGAGGAAAGCATAGACTTAAAGGTGCCAGCTGAATTTGAGTCTCAAGGAAGCCACTTATTAGCTGTGTGACACTGGAATGTTAGTAAGCCATTTTGTACAACAATTACTTTATCGAATGGAAATAATAATAGTACTTAACCCTATAGCATAGTGCTAGGTATCTAGAAAGCACTCAGTGCTGTTAATGATTCATGTCTCTAATGGGTTTTTTTGTTTTTTGTTTTTTGCCCAGCATCCTATCTTTACACTATAAAACTTAGGTTACAAACACTTTTAAGTAAAAATTCAGCCACCAGACAGATTGGATATTCTTTTATGGGAAACATTTAGAATTTATTCAGTAACATTGTTGCCACTGCCTTCTACTAAAGGGCCTGGGCACTCTGGCCACAAAGTAGTAGATGTATTTGATAAGATTCCTACATTTTTGGTGTCTGTATCTCTATCATTAGTTTAGACATACTTAAATCATTCAGTATAGTTTTTAAGATTTATTTATCAGGCATGGTCCTAGGCACTGGAGAACAGCATTGTATCTGATAATACGGTTGTGTTTCAAACAGAACCAATGAATCATAGAAGATAAGATGACCTAACAGGAGGAATCATGGGAGTACTAATGAGGAACTGCTACTAATACTTAGGAGGGAAGCAAAAGGAGAGATGGTGGGTGGAGATGAGGAATGACTGAACAGGAATGTTCCAGCCAAGAAATTGTATGTGCTATAGCTTTAAGCTATGAGAGCCCATAAAACACTTAGAGAAGTTAAAGTAGTGTCTCTGGCTGAAGGGAATGTGTGACTGAATGATAAAAATCCTTTCAAGACTGGTGATATGATTGAAGTTAGAGATTTGAGTGGAAGATGTTAAACAGAGAAGGATGAAAGAGCATCCATAGACAATGAAGTAGAGAGACACTTAGAGACACAGCTAAATGATGGTGTTAGGAGCTCAGTAGTGACTGAATGCTGAGTCTACTAACGCTGCAGGATTTTCTGAGAGACAGAGAGCAAGAAGACAGGAGTCTGCGGCTCGGGTGTTGGTAGAAATCCTGAGTCTTGATGAGAATTGTAGGAGAAGCATATGTTGAACTCAGGGTCTTTCTGAGAGTGGAATGGAGTATAGCCAAGTGCGGTTAGGTAGAAATGTAGTGTGAGTTACATAGCTAGTGGGTGTTAACAGTGTGCCTTTTTGTACTCTTTGAAGTACAAATCTGAAATCTGTAATGAATTCATAAATAGTGTTAGTTTGGAGCACAGAGCCATAACCAGGGAATTCAGTCTTAGTATTTGAAAATTAAGCATCTGTGAACATGAATGGCAACTAATGTCCTAGGAGTTGGTGAGATCAGCAATGTATAGGCCAAAGAAAGAAAATATTGACATTGAAGAGCCAGGCAAAGAGCCAAATATGGTGACACATACCTATCATCCCTCACTTAGGAGGGAAAAAGGCAGGAGGATCAGGAGTTCAGTGTTGTCCTTAGCTACTTCATGAGTTCAAGGCTAGCCCTTTCTTTGCCTGGGTCGCAAAGAAAGAACAACCCATCGTGTAAATTGGCAGATCAAGTACTCGTCAGATATTTACCTCATAGATGCTTCATGAGTCAACACTTGTCATATTCAGATGAAGTTGGTTAGTTGATGTGAAGATAAGAAATGTGTTTATCATTCATAATTGAAGGAGGCTCAGTGTTTTTATTTTATTCAGAAGGCAATTTGACTAGGATGCGTTTTCATAGTTTCGTGAAGAATTTACATTGTTGGATTGTGATTTACTGATACAGCTTTAATTTTACACATTATTAGTGCGTTAAAATATTCCTCATGTGTTTGCTAACCCTTTGTAAAACTCTTGTCTGTATGTAACATGTTTGTTATTACAGATCAGTCTCAGCGAGGTAGCCTCTTCACTCTCTTTTTGAACAATCCTCTAATGGCCTTCCTATTTGTGTCTGGATTGTCAAGCATGCGTAGAGGCCTGTGGGAAAAGTGTCAAGAATATCTTCGAAAAATCAACCGTGATATTGCCCAGCTACTGACCCATTCACGTTCAATAGGTACCCTGCTAATCTACCTGCACACTTAACAAAGCTTACTGTAGTGGCTTAAATGGTTTCTTACTATAAATTGTATAGGTTTTTTTAAGGTACAGGCAGGAAAGTCATGAAGCTTTCCTTATCTTAGTTCCCTGTTGAAGTGTCATTTTCATGTCACCTCCTTTCACTGTCTCTTTCTCCTCTGCAGATCAGGCCTTCCTCCAGTTTTTTGGAGATGAGTTTCTTCGATTGCTTCTCACAAGGTTTGTCTTCTGCTCAGCCACCATGAGGATGCACAAGGCCTTTCGGGTAGGCAGAGAATCATTAAAGAAAGACCAAGTTCGCCATCTTAATTGTTACTGAGAGTTGTTCGTCATGTTTTACTCACATTAAATAAAGTTTAAATAGATCCAGGATAATATTTAGAAGTATGTACAGCATTAAGATGAGTAGTATGGCCATGGTGATGCAGGCAGGCAGGAACATGGAGTTCAGGGTCAGCCTGGAATTCACAGTAAAAGTTTATCTTTAAATGCCGAAACAATTAGAAAAAGATTAACCGTATTGACACATGTTCCCGTTATGGACATTTTCATGAGCTGCTGTATTCCCAGCACCTGAGAGGTAGAAGTCAAAGTTCTCAAGGTCACCCTTGGCTACACAATGAGTTTGAGGCCAGTCTGGGATATATGAGACATTATCTTTTTAAAAAATGATAAACACAGAGCGGTGGTGGCACTCACCTTTAATTCCAGCACTCAGGCAGAGGTGGGAGGAGTTCAAGGTGAGTTCGAGGCCAGCCTGGTCTACAGAGTGAGTCCAGGACAACCAAGGCTACACAGAGAAACCCTGTCTCTAAATAAATAGAGAACAGACAAAACCTTTCTTTTCTTGGGAATCCTGCTATGGGTCCTGCCAAATCTCTCCTCAAAATCAGGTGATACCCTGAGTGCTGTGATCATTTGTCTTTTATTAAAATTTTGTGTATTTTCACTTCTGTCTAGTATATGACTGGATTTATATTGCTTTATTTCAGTCACTAGTGTCCTGAGGTCTGGAGCTCAGGGATAGAAAACCCAACTAGCATGCACAAGGTCTTAAGTCCAATGAGCAGCACCACTGGAAAAATAAAATACACACATACCCATGAACATGCATATGTACATGTATATATGGCATATTGCCACAACTGAACCATGTTGATTGTAGTTTTTATCCTATAGCATTGACTGTGTCTCAGTTACATACCCATTCTGCCAGCAATGGACATTTGGATTGCTTAGGTGTTTATTATATAAATTATGCAATAATAGTTGGTGCATGCCTTTAATCTCAGCACTCAGGAGGATCTCTATGAGTTTGACTCCAGCCAAGTCTACATGCTGAGTTCCAGGCCTGCGAGGCTTTATGGTGAGACCTTGTTAAAAAAAAAAACAAAAAAACTAACAAATGACAAAAAGACCAATAAAACAAAAAAATGCACACATGTGTCTTGGGCATGAGGCCTGTTCTGGAGTGTGATTGATAACCCAGTGATACTCTACTGTAGAGGCTCATTTTCCTTTCCCAAGCAGGTATCAGTAGCTTCTTGGTTGGGGTTGGGATTTTGTCTGGTTTGTAGCTGTGCTGGTCCTTCTGTATGTCACCCCTGTGTGTCTAAAAGACACTGTTTCCTTGGAGTCACCCATCACCACTGGCTCTTACAACCTTTTCACCTCTTCTTTTGTACAGATCATTGAGCCCTGGGGTTAGGGGTGGGCCTTGATGAAGACATCTGTTTAAATTGAATGCTCCACAGCCCCACTCTCTGCACATTGTCCAGTTATGGGTCTCTATATTATACCATCTACTACAAGAAGTTTTTTCTAATAAGGGTTAAGTGATGCACTGAACTGAGTCCTGACCAAGTTGGTACTCATGGTTTTTGTTTTTTGATGTTCTACATTGCATTTTTTTACTTCAGTATAGAACATAAGGGTTTTTTTTTTTTAATGTTTTTTAAAAGATTTTAAAACTTTTAGTTTCAATATTCTGCAACACATTTTGATTCTAGTTTGGCTTTGTATAATTGATCCAGTCTTACTGTGTAGCCAAAGCTGGCCTTGAACTGTCTATCCTCCTGCCCCAGCCTCCAGAGTGCCAGGATTATCGCTATGCCCAATTATGCATATCTACAGTGAAATACACAAAACTGGTGTATACCATTGGTGTATATTGTATTATTGTGAATGAAAACCTCTACTAAGCATCATTCCAAATGCAATAGCATCATTTCCAGAACATTTCCTTCCTAACTGTTCTGATGAGTCTGAACCAATCCATCACAGATCGCTACTCATGTGGTAGTTACTACACTGCCATCTCATAGACCTGAATCAAATGGGCTAAAATCTTGTATTAAAGCCATTAGTAAGATTGGTGCATTTTGTTTCATATATCACTAGCTTGTTTCTTTTTCATTCTTTTTATTTATCATGTGCCTAAGCGTTTTGCTTGAATGTGTGTATGTGTACCACTTGTATGCCTGGTTGCCCACAGAAATGAGAAGATATCATCAGGTCCCCTGGAACTAGAGTTTTGGATGGTTTTGAGTTGCCATGTGGGTTTTGGGAACCAAACCTAGGTCCTCTGCAAAAGCAACAAATGTTCTGAACCACTGTGCTGTCCCTCCAACTCCACTTAGTTCTTTTTTTCTCTAAGTAGTAGATCGCTGTTCTATTGTTGATGATCACCAGGGCCCCTGAAAGTCTTTAGCTAGTAAATGAAACTCTACTTCAGTGCAAGTAGAAGAGTTTGTGTGAGCCTTTGCAGGCATATTTTGATTTTTTTTTAAGTTCTCCATATACAGAGAAGGCTTAATAAAAGTGCTTCCTTTTATGCTGCTTCCCCACAAGGCAGCAGCTTGATCAGCAATTTTAATTTTTTGACTTGTGTGGCAACACAAGATCTTTTTATTTTCAGTCTCTTCAAAGATAACCATTAGGAAACTCAGACTTCACTGCCTCTGTTCCTATTTCCTTGTCCTCTCCATTGGCATGACTCAATGTGTCCTATTGTCACTAGTTTGCTTTTCTTTCGTAATTGTTTGACATCCAGTTGTGAATTCACCCCTACTGGCTGTCCATCAGGACCACTTGCCCCAACCCCTTTTTTGAGTTGTATTGGCAGAAAGTTGTGTGTTCCATTTCTAGAAACCTCCAGACCATTTTTCAAAGCAGGTCATTAACACTCCCTTGGCAAGGTATGAAAGTTGCTTTTGTACCTGGATGCACTGGGTGCTATCAGACATATATTGTGATCCCATCCAGGTGAATGGGGTCCAATTTGTATTATATTCATCAGGAATGGTAGTAAATATCTTTCCTTCTGTTTACTGGTTGGCTAATTTATTTTGTCACTTGGTTTTGTAGCTCTTTGTTTTTAAAAAGTTTTGAAGACTGTAAGCTTTTGTTTTAAATTTTTTTTATATTAATTACAGTTTATTCACTTTGTATCCAAGCTGTAGCCCCCTCCCTCATTCCCTCCCAACCCCACCCTTCCTTCCTCATCTCCTCCCATGCCCCTCTCCAAGTACACTGATAAGGGAGATCCTCCTCCCCTTCCATCTGACCCTAGCCTATCAGGTCTCATCAGGACTGGCTGCATTGTCTTCCTCTGTGGCCTGGTAAGGCTGCTCCCCTCTAGGGGAGGGAGGAAGTGATCAAAGAGCCAGCCACTGACTTTATGTCAGAGACAGTGCCTGTTCCCCTTACTAGGGCACCCACTTGGAGACTGAGCTACCATGGGCTATATCTGTGCAGGGGTTCTAGGTTATCTCCATGCATAGTCCTTGGTTGGAGTATCAGTCTCAGAAAAGACCCCTGTGCCCAGAAATTTTGGTTCTGTTGCTCATCTTGTGGAGCTCCTGTCTCCCCCAGGTCTTTCTATCTCCCCCTTCTTTCATAAGATTCCCTGCTCATAGCCAAAGTTTGGCTATGAGCTCAGCATGCTTTGATACCCTGCTGGGTAGAGTTTTTCAGAGGTAGGCTCTGCAGGCAAATGGTAGGAACTAGAAAAGGTCATCCTGAGTAAGGCATCCCAGAAGCAGAAAAACACACATGGTATATACACTCACTTATAAGTGGATATTAGACCTATAATATAGGATAAATATACTAAAATCTGCATACCTAAAGAAGCTAAGCAAGAAGGAGAACCCTGGGTAAGATGATCAATCCCCACTCAGAAAGGCAAACTGGATGGACATCAGAGGAGGGAGAAAACAGGAACTAAAAGCTTTTTAAATGTTAAGGAAATTCAACTAATCAGTTTTCTTTTGTGGTTTGTGTTTTCTTAAGGTACCTAAGAAATCTTTTCTGTTCTGAGTTTACAAAAGTTTTGTTCTCTTTTTTTTTTCTTTTTTTTTTTTTTTTTTTTACTAGTTTTTATTTTAGATTGTGTTTTTTTAGTCATTTTGATTTCTACTACAGCTTTTTTTTTTTTTTCCCAGCTTTTTCATTCTGGAAATTTTTTGTTTTTTGTTTTCTAATTCCATGTACAGACCCCTCAGGATTTGTATGGGTTTTGATAGTATAGAATATTGGGCCTAGCAGCCATAGAGGTTAGCAAATATTAAATAATTCAGCATGCAGATGTATTAGGCTAACCCATGTGAAGCTGTTTTGAGAGGTTAAAATTGTCACTTGTTAGTAATTCAGTACAGTAGCCAAGTGTGGTTATGCACTCAGGAGGCTGACCCAGGAAAATTGCCATATGTTAGAGGTATAAAAAGATTCTTTAAAAAAAAAAAAAAAAAAGTTCCCAAACTAACCAAAAAACCAGTACACTAGTAATAATAACTGTTAAGAGAGGAAAGTAAGTGTTTAGGTGCTCCTTAATACTGTGAAACGGCATCATTTCCTCCTATCAGACTGTGACACACGACTTTTCTTATTTACCAGGAAACTCGAAATTACCCAGAATCCTATCCACAACTGCCAAGGGATGAAACCGTGGAGAATCCTCATCTTCAGAAGCACATTTTGGAATTGGCCACCATTCTGGATGTTCGAAATATCTTCTTTGAGAATTCTATGGATGACTATTAAAACCCTCTTGTTTTAACAGTTTTTTCATTTTCCACAGATTTTAAATGGTGCAGTTTTTTAATGTAATGACAGAGACATAGTGTGTTACTTGGTTTTTATTTTTGGATTTAAGAACCATCATTTTAAAAGCAAACTGAAAAAAAAAGTTCAGACTTTTAGGGTAACTGTTTTAAAATATAATCTTTCAAGTCTTTTAAAGTCTCAATGTTGAAATTTTTATTTTTTGGTTTTGACATTAGATACTTACCTCTGACATCCTATACTCAAATAGTTACTTTGCCACCCTAGGAAGAATAAATTATTTATTTTTACATAATGAGGACAATTCATAAATTATACTTGGACTTGTCTGGATTTGGGGAACTATCTAATTGTTCATAGTGGTGAAACTAGCCACATGGACTACTGAAAATCAAGAGCAGAGCCCTTCTGTGGAGTTTCTTTCTACTCCACACTAATAGGTAGGAAAGTGAGTTACTCTCTGATATACAAATGGATGTCTTAAGATCACTGAATATCATTAAATTATGTCAAATTTTTAGAATTTGTTTAGGATTGAATTGCATCTGGAAATTAAATCTTAAATTGGAACTTTAAGATGATAGACCTTACTTAGAATGTGAATACTGTTATCATGAAATTTGTTTGCGTATTTTATTTTCATTGTAGTCTTTGAATGCCAGAAATGCAAAGGAAAATGCTTTTAAATATTTCACCCAAAAATCAAGTCAGTGGTTTCATAATCCTGCAATGTCTCCAGTAGGATTTTGATTGGGTTTTAAACAGTGTTTTCATAGATTCCTTGGTATACTCACTGCACAGTTTCTAATCCTTTTTCATATTCAAGTGTTATTGACACTTGAATATGACTCTGTCATATTCAGTATGACACTTGTTATTGACTCTGTCAAATTGACAGAGATACTGTCAATTTGAATTGAGGATAATTGGGTATTAGGAAAGTAAGTTTTGAGTTGATTTTGCTTTGGCAATTTGGAAGTAAGATATTGAAACTCCCTGATTTTTGTTATTTTATATTCATGCACAAGTTTTTTTTTAATATTTTAAATAGGACTCAGTATGTAATATAAAGAATTTTATGTGTTCTTCCCCTCCATCTCCTTGATAATCTCAAGGGTTGCGATTATGAGAAGGTTCCTCCCTTCCCGGCCCCTTTAGGTTGCATGGCATTTAAGTTCAAAAATCAGTGCATCATCCTTCTGCCTATTTTCTGTGTAGGTTCATGGTCTACCCCTGGCAGTTCCTGGGGTTGCCTTCTCTCACCTAGCGCATCTTGTAGTTGTAAGTTGTGACCATCTCTGCTCCAATGCATGCATTTCATGATGTCCAGGTTAGAGTTGAGTCAGGGATGTTTTGTTTGCTGTTAAATTGTTTGTGTGTTCTTTCACACAGTATTTTTTAAAACTTAGAAAAAAAAGTTAATGTGGAAAGAGCCATTGCAGGTGGTAGTTTTTCCTTTTTAAAAGGCCTACTTTCTTTGTTTGCAAATCACGGTTTTCCTTTTTTCTGAACTGTAGCAGTAAATGGTCATTAGCTCCTCTGTTCCAGTTGCCTTAACTGCTGACCTATAACACACACTTTCCTGTTTCCTGACATTTAAAGTGGCTGTCCTGTGTTTTACTCTTTTCTGCTAAGCATAAGGACCACTGGTTTCAGAAGCAAGAGGTCTGCGTTCTAATCTTGGCTTTTTTAATAATTAGCATGATGCCCTTTGATGAGTAGCTTCATGTGTCTGCTTTTTAGCACTCTTCCATATAAAGAAGAGTGACTTACCCAAGATCCTGTTCTTGTCTGTAATTCTACAGTTTGGAGCCTTGGTTCCAAAAATGTTTATCTCCTCCCCACTGCTTCCAGAAAAAAATTGATTTGTATGTGTTTTTAGCACTATAATATCCTTCTCATATTGTGTTTACTAAGATAGTTCAAAAAAAAAAACCAGTAGATCCTACTTAGCTGTTGAGACTTGCCTAGACTGTCCTGGGGAAATTACTTTCCTTGATCAGAAAAATGGGTCTTAGAGATCACAGTGTAAAACTAGATTATAATGGGGGCCCTTGAACAAATAGTAATGTAGTTCCTAACTAGTAGCTAAAGATCTAAAGTGGACCGAAACTGAGGCTGTAGCTCCATGGAACAGCATTTATCTAGTATTCAGAAATCCTGTGTTTGGACTCCATCATTTTTTAAAGAAAAAAAAAATAGAAACAATTTTGAACTGGGTGTTGTGGTGCATGCCTGTAATCCCAGTACATAGGAAGATTGCAAGATCAGGGTGAACCTAGACTATACAGCAAAAGTGCATCTCAAAAATAACTGCTAAGAAACCTGTCTTGGGGGGAAAAAAAACTAGTAAGAGATCTGGAATCTTTTGAGAACAAAACTATGGTAAGAAATTTGAAACATTTTTAAAAGTTATGCCTTTAAGAAGAAAAACATCTATTTCACAGCTGACATTTTTTTTAATGGCACTTGAAATGCAAGCAAAAGAGACTTAAAAATTCTTGCATTGCGGATTAAGAGTATGGCTTGGTAGTAGAACCTTGCCTAGCATGCACACAGCCCTGGTTTCCATTCCCAGCACTTGGAGGTAGAACAACAGCATCACGAGTTCAAGACCATTTTTAGCTATATAAAGTAAGCTCTAGACCAGGCTGGGCTGCAAGAGACCCTGTCCCAAAAACAGATTTGCTTATTTTAAGCCCTTAGAATTTTTAAAAACTTAAATATTAGAAATAAAAACGGCAAAGCTGAGGAAGTAACATTTTTTTACTCAAATTGCACAAATTTCTGTATAGATTCTGATAAAGTTTCTGGTTTCTTAAGAATCACTGTAAACAAACTAGAAAGCATCAGACTCCAAGAGACCAGTTACACACAAAGCAAAGTGAAGCACAATGCGATTTTCTTTCTGTATTCATATATTTCTAATACTAAAGCAGCCACCTTGCCTGGTTTATAGCAGAGACAGCTGAAGTGTCCAAAGACTGCTGATTATTTTATGATAGGGCTACAAACATCTCATCTCAGCCCAGTCTCCCCAGTAGCCCAAACTTCTTTCTGTAAAAAAAGGAGAGAAAAGTTTAGAGCTGTAAAATCTTAACATAAAAAAATTAAGATTTTGTTCCCAGCGTATCAGATATTCAAATCAGTCAGGATAAGGCTCAGTCATAAAGTGCTTGCCTTGCATCTCCAAGGCCCTGTGTTTGATTCCCAGTACAGTGAATATTCATGCCAGTCACCCATAGCATATTCTTATTAATTATAAAATCAGATGTTTTTTTTTTTCTTTGATTTTAGTCAGGATATACTCTTTGTGTTTCCCTCCTAGGAAGTGGTGCTCTCAAAACCTTTCAAAGCACAGAATTTATTGTGCTCTTTATATTTTTTAACAAAGCTGAAATGTTTCACAGTTTGGAAACTGAGGTGTAATTTGATCTTACTTGAGGTTTTCCTAACTCAGGGTCTGTCTGAGTTTGGAGTTTGATTTTGTTTTTTCTCCTCTGTCATGCAATAGAATTCCCTTAAATAGGTAATGGTACTGAATTTCATTAGTGTCAAAGAAGTACAGATCAGACTCCTGAATAGGTCACAGACCCTTCTCTACCATTCTCCAAGTTCAGTCTCTGCCTGCATCTGAGAAGTGGTTTCAACCTAGTTGAAAAGTCTCAGTTATCCATGGAGACTGATAGTCACCTCAATAACCAGATGTTCTGGAGATACATTAAGGTACCAGTGTCTGCTTACTTGGCCACTGCCATAATTATCTGTCCACTCTATAAGAGTGAGTATAAGACTTAATATAAACATGAATATGAATGCCTTGAGTCTCCTGGTGACTTGGGAGTGTTTTCTGTTCTCATGTTTATTTGGAGAATTTAAAGAGTGTTTAGGTTGAAGGCTCTTTTTAGAACTTATTTATTTGAAATTCTTATTTTTAATGGCATGTGTATATTTTTGTGAGGCTAAATCTCTGTAAACTTTTTGTATATGTGTACATATCTGTAAATATCTTGGTATGCAGTGATGCAGTGTGTGTATATTATATACCCATACCCATTGTGGGCTGAATTTATTTTAGTTCTGTGAGGACATCAGAGTGGCATTGTTCATGCTACTATAATTAGGTTGTGGCTAGATCTCTTTAACAAGCCTCAATTTTAAGGGGCTTGTGTTGAGATAAAAATGGGCTCCTTTGGAGTTGAAATTAGGATATGAAAATACTAAGAGGAGGCTTCATATTTTCAGCTTTAGACTCATCTACAAACTTCCATTTAAATTGATATGTTTACTAGAAACCTGAAAACCTAAGTTTGTAAAACTGAGACACCAGCAGTGTCTTAAACTTTATTGGTCCAATTTTTTTTAGTCCATATTTGAGTTACTACTGAGTAGAAATTGTTTATATTATGACTTTGGGGGTGGGGAGACTACTGAAAAAAATTACTTTGCTCTCATTTGAAAATAGGAAATGTCTTTAAGTTGAGGAAATTGTCATGTTTATCATTTCAGTATTGGATGCTAAATCTTAATTTCTGAAATTTTTTCCCATCAGTATGCTCACTCTGTATGTGTTTCTATGAGGCAAAAGAAGGCCAAACCTCAGAGGGCTGGATAAAGAGGAACTGGGTTGTTGATGTGTGTCTGCAGCAGTGTCTAGTTAAATAAACTTTTCTTACTGGCATTCATATCAAAGATACATCTATTCATCTGGGGGGAAAAATGTTTCCAGCAAATTCAGTGCCTTTACTTTTATTGCTGAGTTCTGTAGGAATACTTTTGCTCTACAGTTTAGCCGTACATTCACATACAAAGTAGATTTCTTAATATGAAGTGCCTGAGAGGGTATAAACCCTAGGCTTTCAGCTGAGCACAGTGTGTGTGTTGGGGCAAGGGCAGTACATCTGTAATCCCAGTTCTTTTAAAGTGGAGGTTCTTTTAAAGTCAAGAGTTCTTTTAAAGTCAAGAGTTCAGACCAGCCTCTGAAGCATAGTAAGTTCAGGAGCAGCATGGTCTACAGCACCCCCTTACTCAAAAATCGTGACAGAAAAACCAAACAAAACAAAAATGACAGAAAGACTTGGGATGGTAGTGTTGGGAACCGTAAAATTATAGAAAATATGTACAGTGCCAATTCATGAGTGTCTGGGATATTGCTGAGTATCATTATCTTTAGTTTATGTGTTTGTTCACATGAATGTAATGGATGTTTAAACACACTTCTATATTCACTGAAAATAGTAAAGTTATTTCTGCATTGTAAAATAAAACTGCAGGGCAACTTTCTACTCTAATCTTCCAAAAACAAATCAATCTTATTAACATTATATTGTTTCAAAGAGAGAAATCAGTTTGAGTCAATTTTACCATTTCTAATACTATTACATTTGCCTCCCCATTGTTAATAAAGCAGCCAGTTATTCATACCTTTTCAATTATACTCTTAAAGTTGTCTTTTTTTTAAGTACGTTAAGATGCATTAATGTGTTTTTTCTGAGAAATCCTTCAAAAAATGTTCACAGGCTCTAATGTTTTAACAGCCAAACTTCTTTGTGGGTGGCAAGTCATATATTATGTTGTTTAAAAATTCATAAAACTAGGGGCTGGAGAGATGGCTCAGCAGTTAATAAGAGCACTTCTTTTGTTTGTTCTTTTGCTTTTTTTATAGCCCTGGCTGTCCTGGAGTTTGCTATGTAGGCTGAGCTGGCTTTGAACTCACAGAAATACTCCTACCTCTGCTTCCTGAGTGATGGGATTAAACGTCATGAGCCACCATACCTGGCCAAGAGGACCTGGGTTTCATTCTTAGCATCCACATGGCTCCTCACAGCCTTCAGCTCTCAAGCACACAACATCCTCTTCTGGCAGAGACATATATGCAGGCAAAACACTCATACGCCTAAATGCTTGTTAAAAAAAAAAAAAAAAATTTTTTTAAAGCATAGTAGGAAAGGTTGATGGCTGTGCCTTTAACTTCTGTCCCAAACAGTCACAAAGCTGGTAACTTTGCAGTTGAGTAAACTATGAATTGCTGAGAAAACAAAGCCTTTTCCCCATAATCTCTGGAATGCTTATGTACTAATGCTGCACACACAGTCAACTCCTAGTCTTTCCTGAATACTAGGGCCACATAATTAATAAAAGTAAAAAGATGATACATCTTCCTCAGAGTAGACCTTCCAAATGTAAGTCTATACTTAGTCCCATCTTTCCTGACTTCTGAGATAATTTTCAACAAGAAGATAGTTTTCAACATTCTTTGTATTTAATGAAGAATGTGCAGATGGGGTCAGTCACTTGCTTACAGGAAAGGAATGATGTAGGAGAAACATGTAATTAGGTAAGCATACAGGTATTGAGTATAACTGATTTGGTGCCAGAGAAGTATTTTCTTTGGAATTCTATAACTATGTTTTCTTAAGCAAAAGTCAGTATAGAACCCCATTTTTATACAAGACTGTTCATAACTGTTAGCACCATTTCATAGTTTTAAAATATCCTTATTTCTTTTTGTGGTTTTCAAGTTTTGTTTAAGTTAGATTACTCAATGCAGTAATTTTGTTGGTGGTGGTGGTGTTTTTGTTGTTTTGTTTATTGACAGTATAGTCAGTATACTTTAAAAAACAGTAATAAGGTATATTCCATTGCATCTGACAGATTTGCCTACAGACTCAGTCTGAATTTGGTCACAGAACAGTCTACAAATTGCAAATATTTTTCCCTTAAGTGGACAGTTCTAGTCTGTATCCTAAGACAATCATCTTTTTAGTTGTAGTATTGTTTGTGGCAATATCACTAATTTCAAATTTACTTTTCTCAGATCTCAGACTTTACGTTTTAAATTTTTATTCTTATGAAATGAAAGTAATGGAGTGAGTTATATCACTTTCAAATTAAAGATAATTATGGCTAGTTATAAGTCTGCAGTGAAAGGTATTTAAATTATTATATTTTTTAATATATCACGGGTTTTTTTTTCCATTTAAAATTGTCATGAATGTCCACTGGTTCCTGGTTCAAAAGTGAGATTTATAGTAGAATTTGAACTATGAATTTTCTTATACATGAAACCAGCATAACCATTATAAAATGTCAAATGATGTTACCCTTTTCTCCAGTAAACATTTCCAAACCACAGAGAAATGCCACTGTATGTTTTCAAAACCTTAACTCCCATCCTCTTTTGCATGCCACTGATTTTTTTTTTCCTAAATTAAAAGTATACAGTGATGTATCTAAAAATCTTCAGGAAAAAATTACTTAAGGTGTTTTAGCATAGTAAGTTTTGTTACTGTTTGCTAAGGAGTTTTTTTTTTTTAATTCTTTATGATATCATCATTAAAATACTTTGTGTGGTTCAACACAGTAATTTAGAATTTGATTTATGTGACCTTTTGTAGTTACCTAGAAGCATTATTTTCACCACATAGACTATGATCACTAGTTTTCCAAACTTTTATTTTTTATTTTAATGAGCCTTGCTCTTCAACTGGGGTCCTGTATATTGTGGGATTCTTACAATTGAGGCAGAAAGGTCTTACATACTAAGAAATGCAGATACAGTGTCCTAACATATTCTTTGTAGAGATTACAAGAGAAATCTACCCAAATAAGTTACCCCTATGTTGTAGCACCAATATAAGTAGTAGTTGCATTTGTCACTAAATCAGAAGTAGTTAGAAAACATTTACTTTGCTGTAAAGATTAGTATAATTTCAGAGAACTTTGTTATTTTCTGAGCAGTTTCCGTTTTTTAAGGCTTAGCATCAGTTAGCTTTGTTCAAGGTATCACTGAAGTTTTAATTTAATCAAGTAAGATTTTTTTAAAAGTTGTTTGATCTTTTTTACCCTGAAAATAATGGTGAACCTGTTGTCTACATTATGTTAGGCAGAAATGCACTTGTTGAAATCATAGCAGAAACTATACTTGACTTTCTAGTAGTGTGAAACACTTTAAAAAAAAAATGTGCTTGTCTGTAACTGAGATGTTATAGAATTGTAACACTGTAGGGATTATAGAGTTATATTAGCTCAACAGATTGAAGCACAATATTCATGTAACAAACCTTATCCAAGTGCTCTCTGTCGTGAAAATAACAAAGCTGATTGCCTATTTAGTTGTTCACAGATCACTATGATCCTTGAGACTTGTCTTGTTCATTTGGGTATTGTGAGTTAATACTTTAGAATAAACCTGCCAAGCTCTGTTATACAGTAAACTGTTCGGATTCACAATTTTTATGTGTTACTGGTGAATTTTGAAGAGACTTTACTACAGTGACTAAGGGAAAATTATATTGTATGATTTGACCTCAACGTTTGTGTTGTAAAAGTCTTGTCTGTTGGCGTTTCTAAATTGTTTAAACTATACATTCTCTTAAGGTTTTTATTTCGTTTTGTTCCTTTCCAGCAGTCATTTCTGCTTTTGTCTGTCACAATTAACATTTTATAGACCTTAGAAATTGACAAGTTCTTGAACATTTTATTTTCCTGCTTTGATCACTTGACTCTTGTGTGATTTGTCATAAATAATGTGAGCCTTTCACTTCTTCACTACATGAATTTCAGAGTAAACACTGTGATTCTGCAGAGCAGATTCCGTAGGCGTTCCAACGTTAACTGTTCTGTTACACGGTGCCTATCGCATAGAGGGCACATAAATACTAGAGGATGGAAAAATAAAACGTTGTGGTTTTGATGTTTGTTAAATAACAAGATTACAGAATATTTGGGGTTTTGTGGTCAGTGTAATAAAGAACTTTGCATTGATAAATATTCTCTAGGAATGTGAATACATTCATCAAGTGTGAACTCTTGTAAATGAATTTTGTATCTTGAATCACGTATATATTAAGTGTATCATCAATATTAAAATAAACATTATTTGCTTAAAGTTCTGTGTACTTCTTTAGTATTATTGACAGCTGTTTCTTTGGGATATTAACTTGGGCGCTCTTAGCTGTCTTGAGTTACAGATTTACACTTATAATACTACTACTTTGTAGTTTTGAGAATACTGTTTAAGGTATTTGTCAGGTGGAACAAGAGAAAACTGGAAGAATAGGTGGAATCAACAAATGCTAGGGCTGGTGTTACCTCTAGGGAAGGACTGAAGTGTCTTTAACGTGGAATGCTTGAGGAATATGGAAATCTTAGGCAGCACAAGAATAATAAGGTTCTAGAGACTTCTTTCAGTTGTATGAAACGGATGATCGACAGGAACTTAGACTCCAAAGTTAAAACCCGGGTCACAACGGGAAAGGTGTCAGCTGTAGTTTGGGAGCACAGGCTTTCCGGTAGCCCCGACGCCGGCCCTCGAGTACGGCCCGCCGCGGGGCCGCGGCAGCCACGGGGCTCCTCCCACCTCAGCAGGGAAGGCGGTGATCGAGGGCAGCCGGACTGCCGTCCGCCGTCGTGCAGCTCGCTGACGTGGCAGTGGCCGGGCAACACAGGTAGAGGCGCCCGCGACCTGCAGCCGTTCCAGCTCAACGGCCCAGGAAGCGCGCTCTTGTGCCGCTGAGTCCCACACGGACGCATGCGCGTACGGAGAACACAGCCGACGCGCAGCCACTTCCGGCGCGCGGCAAACGTGCGGTTCCGGGTCGGTGCTCGGCTTGCCGGCCTGAGGTGGGGGCCCAGCACCCTCGAGAGTCCGCGGAGGCGTGGCTGTGCCCTGAGAGCAGCAAGTGCGCTACCGGAGCCCCGGGACGCAAGTAGGCCTCACTCCCTACCTCCTGGGGCCTCCGGCGGTCCACCGTGAGGTGGGAACAAGCTGGACCCCGACCCAGGGGTGGGGGCGGTGCCAGAGTGCTCAGGGGACTCCGGGCGGAGGCTGCCCCATTGGCCTGAGGGTCTGGAGCCGCCCTCCGCTATCAGAGCCAAGCCACCACTCTTCTCTGGGGCGCAGTCCCCTGCTGTCAGAGGTTGGTCCCCTCCCTTGTTTGACAGCTCTAGCAAGGACGCGGCTCCAGGGCGAGCCAGAGGGAGTGGGAGCTCAGTTGCGGTGTCGGCACCTTCGGATCTTAAGCATCTGTCTGAACTTTGCGGTTGGTCGTTTGCTCTAGCGACTTAGCGCTAGAATAAGGGCTCCGGGACCAGACCACCAAGCCTGACCAGGTAAACACTTACATGTAGGAGAATCAGCTGAGAAATAAATACTGTCACTGGGAAACCTTCAACTAATTCAAGCTGTTTTGCTCAGAACACCTAGGGAGAAGTGAATGTAGACACCAATGCTGTTGGAAATTGTTTCTGCTTATAGGTGAAATTCTTAGGCTGTTCAGTGGGAGTGGGGGCCATCCCATTGACAGCAGTACAATAGTGTCAAGGTGTATTCGCCCCCTTAATCATCCTTGCCCAGCTTATTTCGACCCACTCCCACTGAACATTTTGATCTTGCACTTGCAATATCCAATCTATTTTATCTTTGTGTTCAACACAGGGCAGTAACTTTGACCTCCAGACTGTTTTAAATATAGTAGATAAAGACAGGTGACTCCAGTGGTTTACAGAGATTGGGAGTAAAGTTTTGAAGGAGTTTATAGACTTTAATGGATAATCTGATGTGGCAAGGAGTCATCTGTCATCTTACAGCAGAGTGTATCCTTTACAAGACAGGAAAAGTTAAGGTTGAAACCGAATGGTAGTCTTTTGCTTTATTTGTGTTTTGAGACAAAATCTTACTATGCAGCCCTGGCTGGCCTGGAACTTGCTCCATAGACCAGACTGGCTTTGAATTCACAGAGATCCTTCTGCCTCTACTGGGATTAAAGACCTGCATCCAACTCTGCAGCTGCCCAGTCGTGATTTATATACCATTGAGAGGAAAGAAATTTTGAATCTCATGTTAAATCTCATTTGGGAAGAACTTAATGGCTTGAGGTAATATTATCAAGCACAAAGAAAACCACGCATTTCCACACAGATGGGAAAATTTAAAGGCTATCAGATGACGATAGTTAGACTGGATTTCTTGGGTTTGGGGTTGGTTTTGTTGCTTGTTTTTTTGTGGTTTTTTGTTTTGTTTTGTTTTTTTTCTACATTGTGACTTTCAGTCAGGAAGCATCGATTGAAAACGAGTGGTTGTGTTGCATATTTTGTATTTTTTGACTTTTGTGTCTTTGACTTAAAGAGAAAAAGCACTAAATTCTTAGTAACATACTATTAGAAGAAACATTCAAAAGTATTAAGTCATGATTACATGCTGGTGGCCTGGGAAATTTTACTATGTGTCATACACCATTGCTAAAACATAAAGCTGAGATTTATGAGTCAACCAAGTGTAGATACTAGCTCTATGACTTAGCCACATAGTCCTTGAGAGGTTATTCTGCCTCTTTCAGACCAAATATTTCTTACCCATATATACAAATGATGCACATGAGTGCTTTTAAAATGTTTTTTGTTTCTCTGTGTAGCCTTGGCTGTCCTGGACTCGCTTTATAGACCAGGTTGGCCTAGAACAGACACCAATCCACCTGCCTCTGTCTCCCAGAGTACTGGGATTACAGGAGTGTGCCACTGCGCCTGGCACTTTTAAATGTTTAATAACTATGTTCTATTATATCTGTGTGTATACATGTATGTGAAGCTTAACTTGATGACTGAAATATAAAATCTTTCCAGTGTTTAACTTGGAACTATCTCTTTAATCTGATTTATAGATACTGTGTTGCCAAAATTCTTTGGTCCACATTTAAGTGGGATGCATCTAGCCTGGAGGTGTGAAACTTTTTAGGTACTCTGTCTGAATTTCATTCACTGAGAAGTTCAGGGGTTACTTTACCCTGCAATATAGCCACACAGCAAAAATGTTTGCAAAACTAAAGAAGAAAATTGCAGAAGAGACTGCTGTTGCTCAGAGGCCAGGCGGCACTGCTAGGATTCCACGATCTGTGAGCAAGGAGTCTGTGGCCTCTATGGGAGCTGACTCAGGAGATGACTTTGTAAGTATCTTCTCTTGCTTTGAATATTTGATGAAGTCAGTATAGAGTTTCTAAATACTACTGCAAGAAATCTTTCCAATAAAAGTTTTTAGATTTCATGATTATTTTATGCTTTTTCTAGTTTATAGAGGTAGAAAACTCTGCATTCCTCATTTTCCATTCTTTTAGCATTTGGTTTGTTATCCATTTTTCTCTCCTGTATTCTGTGCATTACCCTCTTATTCTGTTTTTCCATTTATATAACCTGTGCATCTTTGTTTATGTTTTAGTTTATTAAAATGTACATCTTGCCCTGTGTGGGGGTGCACACCTTTGATCCCAGCACTCAAGAGGCAGAAGCAGATGAATCTCTTTGAGTTTGAGGCCATCCTCATCTACAGAGCGAGTTCCAGGACAGTCAGAGCTACACAAAGAAACAGTCTCAAAAAAGCCAAATACATACATACAGACACACATACATATCTTGTTTTTCTGCAAGCACATACATTTTAAGTCATTGTTATTTAGCAGGGTCTGTAAATTATGGTCTTGAGTTAGCCAGAGTGTAGTTTTATTGGGAAAGTTGATGGAAAATTAACTGTAATGGATTCAGTGTCCTATGTTGTTTATAAAGTGAGTGTGTGTGTGCGCGCACGCGCGTGCGTGCATGTGTGTGTTTGGTAAAATTTCACAGTATGCTGCTTTATCAGGAAAGAATCCTGCTAAATGATATACTAAGTTAAATGACTAAGCATTTAGTGTCTAGTATATGTATATATATATTCTTATATGTAAATGTATATAACATAAAAGCAGACTTACTCCAGCTCTACAAGGAAAGAAAGCATGTAAAAAACAATGCATATGTAAAGTGTAAGTCATGAAACAAATCTAGTGCCCATTTAAGAAACAGAATATTACTAATACTGTTAAAGCCACTTATGTGCTACTTCCAAATTCCCCAGATGTGCCAGATAGGCACTATCCTAGATTTTGTGTTTATCATTCACTTGCTTTTTAAAATATCTTAGCAGTTTTTTTATTTAAAAGATTTAAAATATCTCTTAGCAGTCATAAATAATCTGTTATTTAAAACTTTATTTTTGAACTTAAAAAAATGGTATGTCATAGTCTTCTTAGACTTACCTTTTTCTTTTCTTTAACTCAACATTTTTCTAAATCTATCTATGTTCCCTGAAGCTATGGCTCATTTATTTTTAACATTGCTAAAATTCTGCTATTTGAAATGGTTGTGTTTTATCTTTCTTCTTCTGGTGATTGACACTTGAATTGTTTCCATGGTCAGCTGAGTCTTCCTTCTCTTTTCTTCCTCTACCTGAATTGAGGTCATATTACGTGGCAAAAGCTATTAGGTTATTGGAGTGGAGCAATTAAATTACAAGATCAAGATTATCATTGGCTCCTATAACTTACAGAAATAGGAGTGGCAGTTTGATTGCCTAGCTGAAGAATTTAGTTTTAACACTGAGTTCTGCAGCAGAAAGACCTGCTTTCCCTTCATGTTGATTATAAATGAAGTCCTCTCATCTAGAATCTGTTGTAGACATAGAGATTGACTTGAGTTTAGGGACTACTTGACTTGAGACTTTTCCAGTAACGTGTTTAAATTTAAATAATTACATAGTCTGAACATCACTCCCTCTCTCTAGACCCTTACATTTAACTGAGTATATTTCTATAAACAGACATCTTCCCTGTGTCACCTCAGATTCAAAATGAATAAATTGAATTCCTTAACTCCATCTTTAAATGTGTATCTCATCTGCCCAAGTCCTTGAACAGAAGCTGTAAAGGCTTTTTAGAATCCTCCCTCTTTTGACTTTTTAGTGTCTAATCAGTCAACAGATATTTTGGATTCTATTTCCCAAATGTCTCTGAAACTTACCTCTCTTCTCAGACTACTAGTACACTTACTAGTGTTTCCTTGTTTTTCCTGGATGAAAGTCACCATTCTGGGTGCCCTGATTCCAGTAGATTTCCCCCATGATATTCTCTCTTTTTTTTTTTTTTTAATTAATTTATTTATTATATATACAGTGTTCTACCTGCATGTACACCTGCACCCCAGAAGAGGGCACTAGATCTCATAGATGGTTGTGAACCACCATGTGGTTGCTGGGAATTGAACTCAGGACCTTTGGAAGAGTAGACGCTGCTCTTAACCTCTGAGCCATCTCTCCAGCCCCCGTGATATTCTTAAAAGTAAATCTATTCATGTCTCTCAGTGCTTAAAACCCTGTAGCTTTCTCCTCATTTTCAGGAACTCATTATTGTGTTTTATAAACTGATGGTTTTGTCAGAGCTTACCTACCCAACTTCATCTTACTCAGCTTTCCTACACCATATGCTAAATCCATATTTAATTTATTGAACTTCCTGGAACAGACTTCATTGCTTCCTGCCTGCAAATACTTGCCTGTGCTATTTACTCTCTCTAGAATGTCTTATGTCTCTCTTTCATACTCATGATCCTCTGAAATATTCTTGGTCATCTTTTAGAGACTCTCCTCACATGGCACTCTAGAGATCCCCTTGGAGCCTGACCCTTCCCTTCTCCTGGGTTTGGTGCAGATTTTATCTTTCCTCTGTAGGAGCCCCTGTTATTTTGAATTCCTGGTGCTGACTCACCTGATGGGCTCTTCCACTAAACTAGGAATTCCATGAAAGGCAAAGTGGAGGACTTAACAACTCACAGAGGTTAATTACAGAACCAAGACCTAGACTTATTTTTCTTTTTCTCTTGAGACAAGATCTCACTACGTAGCCCTGGGTAGCCTGGAACCCACTGTGTAGGCTTCAGTCTGGTTGGCTTCAGTCTCATGGAAGTTTCCTTTCCTCTACGTCCTGCGGACTAAAAGCACATGACCTCACCAAGCTGAATTTGATCTCTTACTGCATCTTTACTATGTGGCAGTGGACAGCTTCCTTCACTTATCTTTGTTTAGTTCCCATACCTGCAAAACGGGTTCTGTCTTTATTAAACTGGATCTATCTTTATTAAAGTATGTGTCAGGGATCTACCAACTTATCCCCCAGGCAGGATGCTATGCCAAGAGCACTCAGTGTACACTTTTAACTGCCATCATCATTTACAGGGAAGGGATGTAAAGCACAGTTAACAAAGGAGAGAGACATGTGGAGCAAAGTTTGGTGGAATCTCTAATTTTTACAGTATTATACTCTGTTGCCCAAGTGCTAAGCTGTAGCAGTACATGGAGAATGTTTGCTGAGGGTGCAGTACACATACATGCCCAGACATACATGCAGGCAAAACCCCCAAACACATAGGAAATACATATTTCTTAGAGAAATCCTATAGGAGCTGGGCGTGGCAGTACACACCTTTAATCCCAGCACTCAGAAATGCCGGGACAGGCAGATCTCTGTGGGTTTGAGGCCAGTCTGGTCTACAAAACAAGTTCAGGACAGCCAAAACTACACAGAGAAATCCCGGTGTTAACAAACCAAAATATTGGTCCAGTGGTGGTACATACCTTTAATCCCAGCACTTGGGAGGGAGAGGCAGATGGATCTTTGTGAGTTTGAGGTCAGCCTGGTCTACAGAGTAAGTTCTAGGACAGCCAAAATCACATACAGAAAAACAAAAAATAAATAAGTAAATGAGTGGGTGAGTGAGCGAACAAATAAATAAATAAATAATTTTGTGGGACCTGGTTCTTAGTAGACGTTTCATAATCAGCTTCTGTTGTTGCTACTGCTCTTTAGGGAAGCCTGTTTCTCCATTGTTCCTAATGTTTAGCACAATGTGAAAGCCTAGGATATTTCATTCATAGTAATAAAACAACTTGTTTTGTTTATTTCCCCCACATTTCATCACTGTTGGCATTAGGAGGTAGGAGAGAGGAGTAAATCAGGAGCCATGGGTATTTAGGATTCGTATCCCTATAAAGGCTCCAGACACTGCTTTTCCTTTTCTACCATGCAGGGTATGGACAAAAGGTGCCCATCCGGGGCTGGAGAGAGGGCTCAGGGGTTAAGAGCTCTGTCTGCTCTTCCAGGGGTCCTGAGTTCGATTTCCAGCAACCACACCACATGGTGGCTCACAACCATCTATGCCCTCTACTGCTCTCTTCTGGCATGCAGGTGTACCTGCAGATAGAGCATTCAAAATAAATAAACAAAATCTACCAAAAAAAAAAAAAATCCATGAAATAAGAAGTGAGCCCTTACCAACAATAAACTTTCCCTGAGCCTTGATCTTTTAGACTCCTCAGACTACAGAACTGAGAAGTCCATTTTTGTCATCTCTAAGCCACTGATTCATGGTATCTGTTATAGCAGCAGAGAAGATAACTAGTAGCAGATGGTATGAAACAGAAGTAAGTCTGTGGCAGCTTCTGTTTTGTGGACTGACAAGCGCTGCTTCATTTAGTCCTTATACAGCTCTATGAGGTCAAAACATATCACTATCACAGTTTGCCCATAAGGAAAACTGTGCAGGCTGGTTGGGTAATCAGCCCATGTTCTTGCAGCTAAGAAGTGGTGAAACTAGGCCTTGAACCCATAGACTACTTTTACCTGTCCTAGATACTGACTCTCAGAGGGTTAAAAGAATCACTGGCAGAGTACTCTGCTAACATAAGTGAGGCCCTAGATTCAATCCCTAGTACAGAATTTTCTTAAAGAAACTGACTTCCAGTAAATATTATGGTAAGTAGCTGAATGGTAAGTAGCTGAACAGGTAAATAAATGTTTAAAATAGGTTGTGAATTATTCATCCACTTATAAAACCATCTTGGGGATAAAGTGAGGAAACAATATGAAAGATGTAGAAATATGTATCAGAGTAAATAATAAAAGGTCCTGATGTCTATTATTTGAACCTCAGCAAAATAAGAATAGAAGAAGCAAATGTGAGAAAAACAAACCTGCATTTGAGGGGCTAATGGGAAATGATCACTAGGCTACTCCTTGCTTTGATTTATTTTTGAAAACTTATAGTAAAGGCAAAGACTCAGGAGTCATCAGGGTGACACATACCTATAATCCTAACATTTGGGAAGCTAAGGAAGGATTATCTTCCATTCATGTCCAGATGGGGCTACATAGAAAAACATTGTATCTGTCTATCAAAGGAAGGAAGGAAGGAAGGTAGGTAGGTAGGTAGGTAGGTAGGTAGGTAGACAGACAGACAGACAGACAGATAGATAGAATTTTTTTTTTTTTTTTAGTATTTTAAATTTTGTTTACCTGCCCCCTGGAGTGTGTGTGGTATACGTAAGTGTGCACATATATGTGCAGGTACATTCACCTGTTCAGGCTTATGTGGAGGCCAGAGGTCAACTTTGAGAATCTTCTTCTATTTATCCCTACCTTTTTTCTTTTCTTTCTGTTTTGTTTTGTTTTTTGGTGTAGTGGGGGGGGGTTATATGTATGTGGGTGCCTAGGTGAACACACATGCAAAGGCCAGAGGGGGGACATTGGATATCTTCCTCTTGCTCTCTGATTTCTTTCAGAATAGGTCTTTCACTCAGAAAGAAGGCCCTTTGGGCTATGCAGGCTATCTAGGAAGTTCTTGGAATCCACTTGTCCCCAGCCTTCTCCCCCAACACTGGGGTTCAGGTACATGCAGACATGCTTGGATTTTTATCTGGGTGCTCAGAAATTCAACTCATGTCCTCATGCTTGCCCAGCAAACACTCTAGCCCACTGACCTTGGAGCTCACCATTTTGCTATGGTATCTACCTATCTTCTCCCTCCCACCCAGTATTGGCTTTTATGTGGGTGTGTGGATCCAAATTTAAGTCCCTATACAGGAAGTACTTTACCCACTGAACCATCTTCCCCGCCCCAATTTAAAAAGAATATATATATATATATATATATATATATATATATATATATATATATATACACACACACACACACACATATACACACACACTTTCCTTCATCTCATTTTTCTCCATCAGAAGAAGTACTAGTAGTAGTAGTAAAAAGATAAGAGTTTGTATATCCAAACAGGTGAGATGGCTTAGTGGGTAAAGTCACTTGCTGCCAGGCCTGATGAGAGTTTTCTCCCTAGGACACATGTGGTAGACAAGTACCGGCTCCTGCAAATTGTCCTCTGGCCTCCACACAAATGTATATACATTGTGGCTTCTTCTGGCGGTACAGTTGTACATGCAAACAAAATACCGCATTCATAATAAATAAATAAGTTTTTTTTTTTAAATGAAGCTTTGTCTCAAAAAAAAAGAACCCTCTCCTCCAAAAGTAAGTTATATTTTAGCAGTAATGGGTGATATCCAAAGTAATAATAGTGCTACCCATAAACTTAAGGACAGGATTTAACCATGTAGCCCAGGCTAGACTCTAACTCAGAGATACATGCCTTCTCTGCTTCCTGAGTTGGGTATAAAGGCCTGTGTCACCATGCCTGGCTCCCCATAAGTAAGTAAGTTTGTTTATTTGTTTGTTTTTTAGACAGTCTCACTAACTAATCTTCGCTGTCCTAGAACAGCCTATGTGGACCAGGCTGGCCTGAAACTCAGAGATACTACCACACCCAACTTAACATAAGTTTTAAAATAATTGATGTTGGGGGGAAAACGGATGCCTATTCATATATTGAATTATTGAATGCAAGTTTTTTGTGAAAGTCTGATGCATTTTGGAAGTTTGGATTAAAAACCTTTTGTTTTGTAAATGGAGACACTGAAGCTTTATCAATACAGGACAAAGCTTTGGCCATGCACAAGATTTTGGTTCTTTGTTAAAGACCTTTCCCTCTTTATTTTAATCTTTAAAAGACAAAATTATTTCTTTTTTGTATTATATTCTTGGTGTAATATGATCATAAGGAACTTAATTTATTTCATACTATTCCATAAAGAGCTATTGTAGTAGCCTACACCCACAGATGACTTATCTGTGTGACAGTCCCTGTGGCCTTCAAGTCACAGAGGAAGGTAGTGTCGCTTCAACTTTCCAGGAGGAGGAGGAGCTAAAGGTGCATTAGGAAGTCTTTAGGGATTATACTCAACTAAAATGTAATAAATATAAAAGAAGAGGTGTTATTTTTCTAACTAGTGCTGCCTCACAGGGCCAGAGATCCATGTGAACTGACCTTTCCTTTCATCTGTCCCAACAGGCTTCTGATGGAAGCAGCTCCAGAGAAGATCTCTCATCCCAACTTTTGAGAAGAAATGAACAGATACGGAAGTTAGAAGCCAGACTCTCTGGTATGTGTTAAGAAACCATAAATAGCAAACACAGGCCAGGTGACCCTCCCCTGCTATGAGCCTGCTTTATAGGATAACTCTATAGGAAGTTCCACATAGCATTTGATCTCCTAAAACATAAGGGTTTTTGTTTTTGTTTTGTTTTGTTTTGTTTTCCTGCTCCTGAAGTTTTTAGCCACTGCTGTAAAAAGTGTTTAAAGTTCATGTAGAAGCAGGTATGATGGTACAGACAGGCCTTTAATAACAGTACTTAAGGAGACAGGAAGATTCTAAGTTTAAGGCCAGTCTTTTGCTATATAGCAAGATGCAGAGGGAGGGGGGTGTCAGAGAAATGGATCAGAGGGTCAGTGCACCTGCTGCCAAGTCTGACAACCTGAGTTTTATCCCGGGGACCCAAATGGAGGAAGGAGAGAACCAATTCCTGAAAGTTTTCCTCTGATCTTCATGTGTTTGTATGTGCACACAAAACACAAAAATAATGAAGTTTGATGGTTCCTTTTTAAAAATGAGAAAAGTGTATGTAGAATACATTAGGCCACATTCCACAATTGCATTGCTTCCTTTCAGGTGGAAAGTTATAGGGACTCCTATCTATAGGGAATGATTAACAGATGTTGAACTCATGTGCTACGGAGAGGCTTTAGTGCTGGGCTGCCACTTGATGTAGCTCACGTTACCTGTGTGAGTCTTGCTCCACTGCTTAGGGCCACTTTTCAGTGGTTTCCTTAACTTTAATACCTGCTTCTTTAGGAGGTGTAATTCTTATTACAGCTCTGTCTTAGTCACTGTACTACTGTTGTTGTGAAGAGACACCATGACCAAAGCAACTCTTATAAAAGAAAGCATTTAATTGGGAGCTTGCTTACAGTTTCAGAGGCTTAGTCCACTGTCATCGTGGAGGAGAGCTTAATGGCAGTCAGGTGTGGTGTTGGAGAAGTAGCTGAGAGCTAAATCCTGATCTGAAAACAGAGACTGGCCATGGTGTGGGATTTTGAAACCTAAAAAGAACACCCCTTTCCTTCAACACACTTCCTTCAACAAGGTCACACCCACTCTGGGCAAGGCCTCTTATTTCCTCTTTAATAGGACCATTCCTTGGTGACTAAGCATTCACATATATGAGCATATGGGGGTCATTCTTATTCAAACCACCATAATCCCTATTCAATTTACAAATTACACAGCTCCCATTATTTCCTTTACCAGATAAAGGCATGTTCATAATAGAATTGTAAGTTTTTATATTGTGAACTTATTTTGATAGCTTCATCTTGTGAAGTGCTCCATGGTTTATTTGTCTTCTTTTGTTCCTTGACTTTATGCTGATTTTATTTGGGTGTTAAAACTAAAATTCACTGGATTTTATGTAAAATAGATTTGTATAACTATCAAGGGTTCATAGCATTGTTCACACTGTAGTTTATCATTTTGTCTTCAGGATCAGCTTCTTGAGGCCCACAAGAAAAGGCACATAAGTAGTGAGTGGTAGAGCTGGGATCCAAACTAAGATTCAGCCCTATCTCCAAATAGTTTGCTTAAAGTCAGTTGTTACTATCTTGTATACCTATCCATAAAGTTGGTTGTTCTGTCTTGATATCTATAAACAACACCAGTAACAGAAGTGAAATAAATAACTGTTGCTTAATGTTGGGAAGGTACTTGTAGTTTGGTATGTGATTTCCTTAATACATAAAGGAGAATGGTTGGGCTTGACTTAATGATGGCAGAGGACCACAAAGAGTTGACATTAATCAGCCCACTTAACATCTTAGGAATTGTCACTGGCTTTGTATGAGTAATAACAATAGTAGCTATGTTTTATTCATCACTGTGTACCAAGCACTTAATGAATAAATTAATGCTTCCTTTGAAATAGATGTAATTAGGGCCAGCAAGTAATTAGGCACACACCCATAATCCCAGCACTCAGGAGTCAGAAGAAGGCAGATCTCTGAGTTTGAGGCCAGCCTGATGTATAGAAGTTGTTCCGGGACAGCCAGGGCTACACCAAGAAACCCTGTCTCCAAAAAAAAGAGAAATAGGTGTTATTAGTATTAGCTAAAATAGATGTTATTGATATTAATATTAACATATGAAGAGACTGATATTCCAGATGAGTAATTTACTTAAGATTCCTAGCTCAGAGCTGACAAAGTTGGGATTTGAACTACTGTCTACTTTTATGCTATACAATACTGTTTTCTTTGGCACCCCAAATATTCTTTCGCCTTTGAAGTGACATATGTCACCCACTTCCTGTGTATAAAGGGAGCATACTTGTCTACAGAATTAAGCACTTGCAACATAAAGGCAGTTCTACGCTGTTTGCTGTATACCTAACCACTGCTGCTCAGTTGCATGGTCTGCAAGTGAGCTTTTTAGTGAACATCCTTTATCTGCCATACTACTAAGGGCAACAGGGATGGGAACTGTTTTAGTCACCTTTCTATTGCTGTAAAGAGACACCATGACAAAGACAACTCTTAAAAAAAATTTAATTGGAGGCTTGCTAACAGTTCCAGAAAGTTAGGCCTTTATCATCAAAGTGAGGAGTATGGCAGCATACAGGCAGTCAATGGAACAATAGCTGAGAATTACATCCTGATCCACAGACAGAGAGAGAGATACTCGGCCTGGTTTTGGCTTTTGAAACCTCAAAGCCCACACCTTGTGACAAACTTCCTCCAGCAAGGCCACACTTCCTAATCCTTCTAATCCTTTTAAATAGTACCACTCCCTGATGACTGAGCATTTGAATATATGTACCTGTGGGAGTCATTCTTACTCAAACCTCCAAAGTAACCCTGATACTTAGAACTAAGGAATAAAGTTGGTGGTAGGTTTTTCATAGCAGGGCACTTCTGATGACCAGGCCAGCCTAATTGTTCTCTGTCAAGGCTAAACAAATCTACCTGTTTGTACTCACTATTTATACCATGGATAGTTTGTACTATTCCTGTTCGCCTGTGTCATTCATTGTTAATGGGAGGCTTTCTACCTAGCTTTCCTTAACAGGACTGGTTTTCAGGTTAAGAAAATCATTACCATTTTCATTCATTCATGTTTTGTTTGTTTCATTCATGTTTTGTTTGTTTGTTTGTTTGTTTGTTTGTTTGTTTAATTAACTTCCTTTCTTGATGTTTGTCCACTCCTGGTATGTGCATCACCCTCCTCACCCAAGACTATGCTGAACAGGTCCGAAACTTGCAGAAGATAAAAGAGAAGCTTGAAATTGCATTAGAAAAACACCAGGATTGTACGTATTTTTTTTTCCTGCTTTCTATAATCTTTTCAGGCTTTAGCTTTTTAAATGAATTCATATATTATTACATGGTCCATCAGAACTCACCTCTATTTTAGAGTGTTCTTAGTCAGATTGATGGAACATTTGACTAAAAGTTATCAAGTATAAGCGTATTTCTGTTGCTTTGTGGGCATACTACTTAAGGGGATCATTTTGTACTCATTTCTATCTAGTTGACCCACTTTCTGATTGCCCTTAGGTTTTAGTATAATCTAGTACCTGGCCCTTGGGTCTAACCAAGGAGAATATTCTCGATGTAGTTTCATTACAGTTATATTGACTAACTGTGGGAAAGCTATGACATCACTATACCAGCAATAGAATGGACTATATTTTGTTAAATTACCCTAACCTATCTAAACTCATGTTTTCCTTGGGTATTGTCATCCAAAAAGATGCTACAGGAAGTCAGAAGAAAACTAAAGCAAAAAAAAAAAAAAAAAGAAAAGAAAACTAAAGCAAGCTTTTGTTTTGTTGTTGTTGTTGTTGTTATTGGTATTGATTTTTATTTTGTTTATCATTTCTGATGAAGAGGTAGTAGTTGTCACTTCACAATAGCCTTGGTGTTTTCTGCATACCTGTTTGTCATTATACTGTTCAAAAAGCAACTATTTAATATCATCACTATTACAGAAGGCAAAAGTAAGGACCCTTACTGGGATAGAAAGGTTCTAGAAACTTGAGTTTTTCAAAGTCTCATAATCCATTTTTGTGATCTTGCCTTTTTCATTTGGTGGCATTTGTAAACTACTCACATGGGCTATTTGTCATGCTTTTTCTGAAGTATTTCCATATCTCAAATAGAGCCTCTTTGTTAACAGCTTCCATGCGGAAATTTCAAGAGCAGAATGAAACATTCCAAGCCAACAGAGCCAAAATGGCAGAAGGACTGGCTTTGGCATTAGCCAGGAAGGACCAGGTATTTAAATATGGTACTGCCCAAGGCTAGGAAAAGATCTCACTTAGAGACCCGACTTAAAAATCATGACTTCCACAGACCTGATAAAAGTCTATAAGACCTAGAAGGAAAGGAATGCATATAACTTCTTTAAGAATTCATTTGACCTTTTCTTATGAAGTCACACTTTTAATCATGAAATGTGTCCAGAATGTGAAAGAGATTCTCTGTGTATTTTTGTAAACTAGAGACAGGAAGTGGTATGTCCATAATCTACTAGTGATCCTACAAATGAGAAGATCTTACCCTCTAAAAATTTGTCCCCAAACCTACACCTGCACTACCAAACAGTAGCCTCTTCCAATATGACACCGTCACATTACTCAAAGGAGTTCACATAGCCCTTCTGACTCTTTCTCCAAAACCAAGTATAAACAGAAGTGAAAATCTTGATCTTCATAGAAACAGCCACTAAAAAATGCTAAATGAATGACAAAAAGAAAAGTAAGCCAGGTGTGGTGTACACCTATAATCTCAACACTTGGGTGGATACAGGAGGAACAGGTGTTCAAGGCTAGCCTAGACTATATGAAACCCTATCTCTAAAAAAAGGGGAAAAATAATAAATTAATACAAAACAAAAATAAATAAATAAAAAGGAAAATAATACTACAGTAACTATGGGGTATGTTGTGTTTGATGTAGTCAGTAGTGTTTTAAATTAGAGTAAACCTCAGTGTTTTATAGTGATAATTCTGTAGATAAGTGTTGATTTGTTTTAAAGTATAAATGTAAAAGCATTATGTACAACTACTTAGTTGATAACTGTGGTGTGAATATAAGTAAATATGAAAAAAAAATCAAAACGTAGTATATTTTGATTAGCAGCTATTGTGATTAGGCCTTTTGTGCCGATGTTGTTTTCCTTGCATTCTGTGGTTCCTGAACAAGGAATGTAATATCTCTTCTTTGTCACACACCAGAGGGCATAATGCATATTAGAAAATCAAACAAGGGAACAAATAATTACCAAATATTGTTGGTCATGCTCCCTGAGACTTTCAATAAGTTGACATCTAAACATCAGCCAGCCATGTAACCCAAATGAGTAGATTCTACTTCCCAGAATCTACTCAAGATGCCCTTCTCAAGAAGTAATAGCAGTGTTCATGGAAGACACAGATGAACAGCAGAGCTTGAATGTCCTGCTGAGTAGACACATGCAGACTATATTGTGTTCTAGAATTTTATGTAAAATTCATTTTCCTTTTCTTTTAGGACATTTAGTTTTCTTAATATTAAACTAGTTGATGGTTATTTTTTGTTTGTTTATGTTACTGTTTATTATTCCTTTTTTTGGTTAATTGATGGCTTTTAGGGGGAGGTTATTTTCTGAGAGTCTTAGTGTTGCAGATTCTCTTCCCTGGAAACTGTACTTCTTCTTTTGTTTTGTTTTAGGAATGGTCAGAAAAGATGGACCAGCTTGAAAAGGTTAGTCATTTTTCTTTTGTGCACGTTGGCATCATCTCTGGGGCTTAGAAAATGCTTTTTCCAGCCAGAAGAAACTAGTTAGTAAAGGCCTGTAACTCCAGCTATTTGATAGTCTGAAAGAGGAGGATTACACAGTCAAAGCCTGCCTTGGCTACAGAGTGAGTTCAAGACCAGCCCTAACAACTTAGTAAAATTCTATCTAAAAAATAAAAAAATTAAAAAAGCCAGGTGTGAAGGTGTGTGCCTGTAATCCCAGCACTCAGGAGGCAGGGGCAGGTGGGTCTCTGATTTCAGGGTCAGCCTGGTCTGCAAAGCAAGTCCAGGACAGCCAAGCTGCACAGAGAAACCATGTCTTGAAAAAAACAAAACAAAGAAAAGGATTGCTTGTTAAAATCATATATATGTTATCTGTAACTGTGTGACTGTGTGCCACATGTGATGTGCGAAGGTGCTCATAGACTCCAGAAGCATTGGACCCTCCGGAACTAGAGTCACGGTTAGTTGTGAGCTCCTTGCCATGGGTGCTGGGAACCAAACTTGCCTTCTCTGGAATAGCAAAAAGTGCTCTTAACCACTGAGCCAGCTGCCCCAAAATTCTTTTAAAATTAGAAGGGGGAACTAGCAAGGTGGCTCAGTGTGTAAAGGTACTTGCTTCCCAGCCTCATGCCTGAGTTCAGTCTCTAGAACCCACATGGTAGAAGGAGAGAACCACAAATTATTCTATAATGTACACACATATGCCATGGCACACACATGCCCACGTTCACAGAAACACACACAGACACACACACACAAATAATAAACATTAATAAAGATGAATCTCACATTCTATGCAAAAAAAAGGCTGTTTCCCTAGTACCCAGCTTACAATTCCAGACCCTGGAAGCAGAATACTAGATTATTAGACCGACTTCAACATCCTGCCTATTCCTCTTCCATAGTGGGCATGCTTGGTATCTTTTGTTAGCTCTTCCTGTAGTGCTTTCTACTCTCATCCTTTTCCTTATTTATCTGAAGGCTGATTGCTGCTGCATTAACTGCACTTGATGCCTCTGGCTTTGAGTGGCCACTTGAGAACACCAGAAGAATGATGGTGGAAAGAGTATAATCCAAATGTTTATTCCTCAGCTTTGTCCACATGCAGTTCCTTGGATCTCCTTAATCCCATGACTAAAAAGTTAAGCTTCTGTTGGACTAGTGGTTCAGATGAACACTTTGAGATAGTTTTTCTCATGACCTCTCCCTCTTTTTAGTGCCCTTTGCCTAACAGTTAAGTTGGCTCTGCTATCTGTTTTCTTGTGGGCCCTGATTGACATTGGGAATGCTGCCTAACAAAACAGGGGAAACCAGAACATTTCTCAAGGCTTAGCACTGAGGAGGTAAGAGAGGTAGTTGGCTAGACAGAGATGAGATGATTATCCAAGGACCATTGCTCGCTGTTCTACATAGGGAGCTATTTGCTCCGTAGTGAAGCCTGTCTCAGAACAATGTCTGGTGGCTGGAGAGATGGGGAAAAGCACTTGTGGCCAAGTCTGGAGACCTGGACCAACGAGTTACCATTTGATCCTCACACGTGAAAACTATTTTTAGAAGTTCTGCTTGTACAATGAAGATTTCTTGGGTTGCCTAAGTTGGTGTCTTTATTTTACAAACAGGATAAAAGGTTTCTAACAGCTCAGCTGCAAGAAGTGAAGAACCAGAGCTTGAACCTTTTTCAAAAGAGAGATGAAATTGATGAGTTAGAGGGGTTCCAGCAACAGGAAATCAGCAAAATAAAACACATGGTAGGTGTTTCTGTTTCAGAAGTTCAGTAATAGTACCAATGAGCAGTGAGTCCTTATGCCTCAAGAGATCATCACTCACAAGACTGTGAACACCCTCATAGTCTTTGATATTAACCACATTGCAATGTTTTTCAGATTTATTAAAAGTGGAAAAGTCCTGTTTGAAATGTATCTTTTACCTCCTGTTTGTTTAAGTACTATACATTAAGCTCAATTCTCATCTCACAAAAATGTCATTCTCTTTTTTCTTTCTGTTTTTGTGTGTGTAAGAGAGAGCAAGACAGAGACAGAAAGTAGGCATGTATATGCTCTAGCATTTGTGTGGAGGTCAGGAGACAATTTCCCTTCTCCCTTCCACCATGGAATCCAGGGATTGAATCCAGGTGGTAAAGCTTGTGCAGAAAGTTCCTTTACCCACTAAGCCATCTCAATGGTCTGACCGTCTACTCAAATGTGTTTCTTAGCAGTAGCCTAATGGGACATTTTGTCTTTTTATCAGCTTTTAAAAAAAGAAGAATGCTTGGGGAAGATGGAACAAGAATTGGATGCACGAACCAGGGAACTTAATCGCACTCAGGAGGAGTTGGTGACTTCCAATCAGTTGTCATCTGACTTAAGCCAGCAACTAGAAGAATTGCAGAGACACTGCTCAACGCTGGAAGAACAGAGGTTCTTGCTTGGTCTGTGGGGCCCTTGGGAAAGGTGTTGGTGTAGTATTGCTAAAGCTCGCTCACATGTCCCCCTTGCTCATCACAACTTTTGATCTCTGCTGGCTAAGGCTTCTGGATTAGTCCTTACATGCCTAGGCCTCAGGCCCTCCATGCCATCTCAGCAGTGGCTTTCCCTCCCTCCCCTGTGTATGCACAAGTTCATTCCTATCCTGCTAAGCAGTATAATCTGATTTGAGTTGTAAAGTTATTGAGTGCTCAAAGACAAGATCAGAGTTCATTGCTTAGACCTGGATGGTCTTCCTGCTTCTGCTTCCAAAAGCCAAGGAGCCTTTTCTCGGAGATAAACTTAATGTGGCTGTAATAAGACTTGAAGCCTGAAGTGTAAGAAGTCGTGTGCATTCTTCCTTTGGAGAGTGTGTCATACAGGAAATATCACAATTTGCTCATTGTCTGCTTTCTTTTAATGAAGAGATCACGTGACAGCTTCAAAAGCAGGTGCAGAACATAAGATTATAGTCCTGGAACAAAAGGAACAAGAACTCCAAGCGTTCATCCAGCAGCTTTCCATTGACTTACAAAAGGTAAGCACAGAAGCATGAATGGGGATTTCCTCCTGTTGGAGTGTGTGCTTCTTGCATGGACCACATGTCCTACTTTCTGTTCTAGCCAAATGGCGCTCATGGGGAGCAGCTACTCAAATTACCCAAGTTGCTTAATAGGAAAGGCAGTATTTCCGCGTTTATTGGTACATACTTGTAGTCTAAGAACTTAGAAGCGAAGACAGGCTTACTGACTTAGGCATTTGAGATGGCTTTGCAAACAATGTGAGACCTCCATTTTTTTTTTTTTTAAGAGGTGGAAATGGTGAGCCAGGCACAGTGACGCACGCCTGTAATCCCAGCACTCAGGGAGGCAAAGGCAGGCAGATCTCTGTGAGGTCGAGGGCAGCTTGGTGTACAAAGCAAGTCGAGGACAGCCAAGGCTACACAGAAAAACCATGTCTCAAAAAAACAAAAAAAAAAGAAGTGGAAGAGGTGAAGGGGTAAAGTAACAGGAATTCTCAAAGGGTAATATTTATTGGTTTTGGTTTTGATCGGCACTCTAAATTGCTTAGGGTGGTCTAGAACTTACAATTCTCCAACCTCAGTCTCCCAAGTAGCTGAGATTAAAAGTTTGTACCATTGTATCCATATAAAATAGCATGTCATTTGTTTGTTCTACACATGTCTTAAGGGCCTGGGAGTTAAGTGCAGCTGTAGAGCATTTGCTTAGTATAAGGCCCTAAGTTCAGTCCCTACCACCATAAAGAAAAATAATATTATGTTCGAAAGTAACACATAATAGACCTTGAGTGCAAGAATATGTAACAGTCACTGATATGGCCACATTTTATTTAGACTTAACATTGTTTTTTATTTTTGTTGAAAGAAAATTTATTGCCCAGTAGGCAAAAACTGTAGGCCTGTGCTAAATTCTGAGAATAGATAGATGAACAATAATAACTGAATTTGAAAGACTGTTCTTTACTTCTTACGCGTGTGTGTATGTGTTTAGGTTAGAATTCGACCCAGAGTGGTCAATTTCTTCTTTCTGCTGTGTAGGTTCTAAGAATCAAACTAGGTTATAAAGCTTGGTGGCATGTGCCTATTCATTTCCTTTTTCTCATTTTATATATATATAAATTATTTTGTGTGTGTGTGTGTGTGTGTGTGTGTGTGTATAAAAGAATTGTTTGTTTATGTGTTTTATGTTCTTTGACTGTATGCACATCTGCACACTAGAATAGGGTATCAGATTCCAGATCCCATTATAAATGGTTGTAAACCATCATGTGGTTGCTGGGAATTGAACTCAGGACAGCAGCCAGTGCTTTTAACCACTGAGCCATCTCCCTAGCCCCATCCAATATATTTCAATCATATTCTTTTTCCTTCACCAACTCCTCACAGATTCCGCCTACTCTTCCCTACCTGCCCAACTCCATGTTCTTTCTCTCTCTGTTTTTCTGTCATTAGTTTGTTTACAGTTTTATCTAGTATAAGCATTGAGGAGTTTACTTTGTTTTTTGTTTGTTTGTTTGCTTGTTTGTTTTTTATATTGCTCCTTGTAAATATTCTTCATGTCTCTTAAAGGGATGAACTAAGCCTCCTTATTTCTTAAGTAGCTTGTGTCTTACTATAAAGAAAGGCACAGTAAATCCAGGTCCAAGGTACATGGTCCTTATAGCCAGCAACTGGCTTTTGTCTTCCATGGAAAATGGTAAATTCTTCCCTGGGCCCTACTCATAGTGGCTGTGACAGACCATGGAAGAGATGAACCTCCAGATACTCTGGCCCAGCATGGCACTTTGGAAACTCAGAGAGGTACAAGTAGAAGAAATGGCCTCATTCCTTTTTTTTTTTTTTTTTTTTTTAACTTATATACTTTTTTTTAAATATGCATTGGTATTTTGCCTGCATGTATATCTGTGTGAGAGTGTCAGTTCCCCTGGAACTGGAGTTATAGACAGTTGTGAGCCACCGTGTAGGTGCTGGGGACTTGAACCCAGTTCCTTTAGAAGAACAGTCAGTGCTCTTAACCACTGAGCCATGTCTCCATTCTCTTCTTTCTTTTTCTTTATTTTTTGAGACAGGGTCTCTCTATTATATAGCTCTGGCTATCCTGGAACTTAGCTATGTAGACCAGCCTTGCCTCAAACTCACAGAAATCCACCTGCCTCTGCCCCCTGAATACTAGGATTAAAGGTATGTACCAACACTGTCAGTTCAGGAAGTTGGTTGTTCACTGGATTCTTTTTCTGAAAAAAAAATATATATATATAATATATTATATATTATATAGTTTATATATAATATATTTATAAAATATATTATATTATATATTATAATATATTTATAAAATATATTATATATTATATATATTATATATTTATAAGATTTTTTTTTTTTCAGGCAGTGGTGGCATATGCCTTTAATTCTAGCACTTAGTAGGCAGATGTAGGTGGATCTTTGTGAGTTCAAGGACAGCCTGGTCTCGAAGCAAGTTTCAGGATAGATAAGGCTACACAGAGAAACCCTGTTTCAGCTGTGCCTCAAAAACATTTTTCACATCTGTTTATTTTGAGTGTGTATGTAGGTCAGAGGACCATTTGTGAGAGTCAATTGTCTCCTACTGTGTCAGTTCTGGTGCTCGAGGCCAGGTGAACAGACTTGGCAGCAAGCACTTTTACCTGCTGAGCCCTCTTCACTGGCCCTCAGATCTGGATTCTAATTTAAGTCTCACTCTAAAATTTATACTTGTTCTTATGAGTTTTGTTTCCTTGAAAATAAATCACCCAGTAAACCACAGCACATGTCTGTAATCTCAGTTCTTGAGGGGCTGGTGCAGAAGAATAGAAAGTTTGAGACTAGCCTGGACAATGTAGGAGTTTCCAAAACAGCCAAGTGTGGTGATGCCTTTAATCTCAGCAGTCAGAAGACAGAAGCAGGCAGATCTCTGTGAATTTGAGGTCAGCCTGGTCTACATAGCAAGTTTGAGGACAGCTACGACTACATAAATACTATCTCAAAAAATAGAAAAAAGGAAAAATAAAACAGTAAATTTATAGTATATAGATTTATGTCTGTGGTCCAAAGTCCCTATCCTTAATTAAATTAATATCTAGACACATTCATTGTTTTCCTTCAGAGGCTTACAGTTTGATTATAGAACTCAAACTGCTTATACCCACAAAGAACAACCTCAAGTCCCAGATTAGTCATGTAGATTTTTCAAGCTCATAGGATGTGTCAGGGGAGAGTATATTTCTATACAAGAGCCAAGGAAATTTGCCCAGAGGAAATGGAATGACAAGAATAAGTAAGATACCAGAGGGTAGATGGTATAGTAGAAAGTCCACCTGAGGCTCTTTATGTCTGGTAGAATCATCCGTGCCTTGGCTGGATCACTATTGCCTTGGCTGGCTTGGAACTGGCCTAGAACTCAAAGCTTGTCCTTACTTTTCCTTACAAGTGCTGGGATAAAAGGCATACACCTCTACAATTGCTCATCGTCTTTTTATAATTAAGAAACAAGGCCCAGGAAGGTTGAGGCTATAGTCATAGAAAGTTCCCTCCTTTCTGAAAATCCTATATGCTTTGCTATGTTTTAGCTATTAGAAATATCATGGTGATCAGAACAAACACTTCCCCTGCCTTTTTGGTGCTTGTATTCTTGAAGAATGCACAGATTTTACCAGTAGTAATATCACTATATAATTAATAACTGGTGAGTGCACTGAAAGAAGACTTTGATATGCTGTGGGAGCCTTTATAGATCTCATCTTGGGATCTGAATGCCTCCTTCAAATAGTGACACCCAATGATATTCTCTGGAGTTAGAAGGGAAGTATGAAGGGAGAGAATCTCAGTCAGGAAACAACATGAGCAAAAACCCTGAGACAAGTAAAAGAATTGGTATAGGAAGGACCTAGAGGAAGTCTGGAAGGGTGCCTCAGCATAGAAGAAGAGACTTGTCTGACTGTAGGAGGGGGCATACTGACAAATCCTTACAGGTAGAAAACTTTTACTGTTGTCCAATTGTGAAGTGATGGTGGATTAATTTTTTAGTAATTTTTTTATTTATATGTGCATTTGTATCATGAACATGCATCATGGCACACGTGTGGACGTCAGAGGACAAGCTTCAGAAGTCAGTTCTCTCCTTCCACTATGTGGCTCCCAGGGATTGAACTCAGGCTGTAAGGCTAAGCAGCCTTTACTTACTAAGCCATCTGACCAGCCAGTGATGGTAGCATTGCTAAGAATAATGGCAAATAGAGGTTTGACAAACTTAAATACTGAGGAGACTGACAAAATTGAATTTCTTGGTTCCTAGCTTGAACATCTGAGTTGCTAATACTACCAGTCATTACTCAGAGTACTACAGGAAGATCAGTTAGTAACAAGGTTATGAGTTTAGAATAGGTTTTATTATTGTTCTTACTACCCAGATATGACTTTATAAACTTTACAGATTTATGAAAATAGGGTGAGGTTAAAAAAAAAAATGTAGCTAACTGCTGACTCCCTTGTGTAAGGCTAGGAAAACAGTGTTTATCTACAAGGCTTCTGTGCACACCCTTCACTGTTCTATCTCATCCTTTCTTCCTTCAGAAATAAGCACAAACTGGCCATAGTTGTGCACATCCTTAATCCCAGCACTTGGAAGAGGCCAGCCTGCTCTATATAATGAGACCTTGTCTCAAAAAAACATCATAATGATAATAATAATAATAAAGCACAAGCCATAGATTGTTTTAATTCTTGCTTTATTTTATATTTTCATCATATTTGATTCCTATACAGTATCATCATTTGTTCTTTTTAGAATCATATAAATGAAATCATAGTATAAATATTCTAAACCTTGCTATTTTGTTTTGTTGAAACCCAGTCTCACTTTGCAGCCATGGCTGGCCTGGAGCTCACTATGTAGACCAGGTTGGCCTTCCATTCACAAAGATTCACCTACCTCTGCATTCTAGTGCTATGATTAAAGGCCTGTACCACCACACCCCCCTTCTACATCTCCAGTCTCAATGTAACTCTTATTTTAGGCCTGCACTTGTGAGACTTAGGTATGGCTGGAGAACAGATGAAGAGGGAGTCTTAGGAAATGATCAAGTTTAGCAGCAGACATCATGTTTGGTAGGAATTTCCATTAGTCAGCCCCAGGTGCTGAAGGCCTGATGTAGTACACCCAGACCAAAAGCAATGTAGGATGTGATCCATAAGAAGAGTAACTGGAGCTTGGCAACTGATTCTTTTTCTGACCCCAACTTTATGCTCTACCTAACCAACACAGTAACTTGTGTAAGATGGTTGATCCACAGTGGAATGGGTCACTATAGTATTCCTCAAGTTCAGAGTACTATGCAGCAGAACAAGTGTAGGCTTGAATCCTTAGTGTATCACTGAGAGATCTGTCAGTTTTTTGTAATATAGACACAATGAAGAGTGGTTGTAAGGACTAGAAATAATGGGAAATGCTTATACATATTTTCATATTGGAACTGCTGCTGCTGTGGCTTGCAAGTATTTCTGTTACATTGGTTTTCATTATAATGGGAGAGTCTTAGATGCATCAGTGTGGGCAAAATGGTTTCCTTCCCGTCCTTTGTTTGTTTGTTTGTTCGTTTCTCTGTTTTAGCCCTGGCTATCCTGGAACTCACTCTGTAGACAAGGCTGGTCTCAAACTCAAAAAGATCCACTTGCCTCTGCCTCCAGAGTACTGGAGTTAAAGGCATGTACCACGACCTCCCAACTTAAACATTTTCCTTTTTCTTTGGGGAGTAGTTTTTGAGATGGGGTTTTGGGGTGTGTAGCCCTGACTGTCCTGGATCTTTCTTTGTAAACAAGGCTAGCCCTCAACTCACAGAGATCTGCTTACCTCTGCCTCCCAAGTGTTGGGGTAAAAGGTGTGTGCCATCATGCCCAGCTCTTCCTTCCTGCCTTAATATTCATCTTTCCTGTCTTACTTAGTTTCTGAATATTGTCCTTCACCTTAACATCTGGGCCACAGGTTTGGGGTGTGTCTTCAGCCTTTCTGGTGTCTTCTATCCAGTTTACTGGTCCAGGTGAACTTGTTTTAGCTATTTGTATATGTTATCTGTTATAGTAAACAGCCTTAAGGGTGAAAGGATTTATTTTAGCTTAAAGTTTCAAGTTACAGGGTTTCTTACAGTGTTCTATTGCTGTGAAGATAACATGACCCAGATAACTCTTACAAAAGAAACCATTAATTGGGGGCTTGCTTACAGTTTCAGAGCTTTAGTCCATTATCATTATGGCAAGAGTATGGTGGCTCTAGAACAGTTGCCAAGAGCTACATCCTAGTTCATAGGCAGAGAGAGAGACTGGGCCTGTCATGGGCTTTTGAATCCTCAAAGCCCACCCCAGTGATACACTTCCTCCAACAAGGCCATACTGTTAATAATTATTAATATTTAATATTGATTTATCTTTTGGTTAAGCAGCAGTTATTCCTAAACCAGCTCTATACACAGATCACCATACAGAGACTAGAATTTATTTAATTAACCTAGAGCACAATGCTGAGCAATTATTACTCCATCCTAAACCTCCAAGCCCACACAGCTTCCTCCCATTCAGATTTCCCACGTCATACTTGCTTTTTAGTCATATCTCAGATCATGTTCATTTTTCCTAATGTCTCCGCATCCTCTCCTCTCTAATCTCTCCTCCCACTCCTTTCTTTCTCCTCCCCTCCAGACCTGGATATCCCGCCCTAATCTCTCCATTGCTCAGCATTGGCTGGTTGTTTTTATTGGTAACACAGAGAACAAGTGGTAGCATATTTACACAAACTTGAGACAGACTATGCTTAGAATAAGCATCACAATACAATGTCTGGACTGAAACCGGATAGTGGGGTAGAGAAATCAGCATTTGAATGAACAAGGCTAAATTGTATACATTCCACAAGAACATTATACCAACACCATACCTCCCTATCCTTGTAATCCTTTTAAATAGTTCCACTCCCTGATGACTAAGCATTCAAATATATGAGCCATTTTTACTCAGATCACCAAATAGTCCATGATTGAGGGAAGTGAGGGTGCCAGTCACATTATATCCATAGTCCAAAACAGAGAGGAGATAATGCATACAGGCTCACTTGTGCTTAGCTCTCTCTCTACTTCCAGAGACCATACTTGTTGCTTCTGTAGTCAGAACCTGTATATTCTCGGACAGCAACATATAATATTTAGGCCTAACAAAGTTTTTTAAATTGTGAAGCTGTGTATCCATTCTTCAGAGTCCTCCCACTTGACCTTGCTTTCACTGGGTAACTGTTGAGAATGGTATTTCTTCAACACCCTATACTGCATCTTCCTGAGGAGAGATTAGCCAAGGTTTAACATGCCTGTGGCTTGAACTGGAAGTATAAGAAGGGGATGCAAAGGAGCAGAGTGAGTGTGAGGTGTGTGTACATACCACTGTTAAAAGTCTGATTCCCTGCACCCTTTGGGATAGGAAAATGGGCATCCTCAGTGGATGAAGGACCACCACAGATCTGAATGTTTGTGTATTCAGATTTCTGGCTTCTTGGATCTGACCTTAAGCAGCATTTGATGATTGGTAGTGATGAAAGGACCCATCGTGTCACCTATCATCACTACATTCGTTGATAGAATATCAAGCTGAAGTGTGCACTGTTGTTCTGAGGCCAAGCTGTGAGAGTCATGGTGGCCTGTTGGTTCTTGTCACTTATTTCAGAAGTTCTCTTGCTGTCTTTAAAGCTGTTATCTTAGCTTTGTCTTACTGTATCCAGCTCTTGAGTTTCTAAGAACATCATTATGGTTTTCTGTTTTGGAGAGTTATTTATTGTCAGTGTTAGGGACTAAATCCAGAGCCTTTGAAATATGATTCCATAGGTCATTTCAAGGACACTGAGAGCTTCTTTAGTGGGATTGTCCTTACTGCCTCTACAGGGAAGTGATGAGTTTGTTCCCTCCTGATTATTGGGTGCTTAAGTTGGTGAGCATGCACACTTGTTGTTGTACAAGGTCTCCTCCTTCACCTTGTGCTTGCTTCTTGCTGTGGTAGGGCTCTTTCTTTAATGTTGCTGGTTCTGATCTGGCATCTCTGTGCCCATTTTTCAGGGATGGGTTTTTGATTGCATGTTTTTCTGTGATGTGATTAAGCAGAGAATTTCAGGGAAACATAACAGGGCAGGGAAGAGTGGTAAGAGGGCTATAGTCTAAAGAGGACTTAAACAATGACTCTGCTTTCCCCTCCAGGTCACTGCTGAAACTCAAGAAAAAGAAAAAGTCATCACACATTTGCAAGAAAAGGTTGTATTCTTGGAAAAGAGACTAGAACAGAATTTATCAGGAGAAGATCATGCACAAGAACTCTTGAAAGAGGTAATATCTACACATGCTGGCCAGTGTTAGAAAGGCATGATGTTGAATATGTTCTGAGTTTCTAATCTAAAGATTAGATAAAAGCTCTCTGCAACTTTATGTAGCTCTTTTGGGCACAAAACTCCTGGGCTCAAGCCATCTTTCTATCTAATTTCTCAAGTAGCTGAGATAATAGGCACATACCACAGCACCTGGCTTATCCAATTGTGGATTGACATCAAAAATAGCCTTAGCCAGGTGTTGGATGCACACACCGTTAAACCTAAGCACATGGGAGGCAGAGGCAGGTGGATCTCTGAGGTCAGCCTGGTATACAGAGTGAGTTCAAGGACAGCAAGGGCTATACAGAGAAACCCTGTCTCAAAAAAAAAAGAAAGAGAAGGAGGGAGGAAGGAAGGAGAGAGAGAGAGGAAAAAAAAGAGAGAGAGAGGGAGGGAGAGAGAGAGAGAGAGAGAGAAAGAAAGAAAGAAAGAAAGAAAGAAAGAAAGAAAGAAAGAAAGAAAGAAAGAAAGAAAAGGAAGAAAGAAAGCCAAAACCCCTGGGGGGAAGGGGAATAGCCTTATAGGGCAGGGCAATGTCTCCCAATTATTAGACTGGTTGCTTGACATGTAAAAAGTCCTGGACTTATTCCTGAGCACTGCATAAGAAAGTCATGTCTGTAATTCTAGAATTTAGTCGGTAAAAGCAAAAGAATTGGGAAGTGTAGGGTCATCCTTGGTGGTGATTTTGAGACTAGCCTAAGCTACACGAGAGCCTGTCTCAAAACAAAAACCGTCCTTCTGATGTCTCTGTGTGCTTATTGGAGAAGGAAAGAGCTTAGTTTACAGGACTATAAGGACAGTTTGCACCCTGACCATGTCATGACTGATACTACCCAGGCTGTCTTGTCTTGCTGTACTGTTCCATACACTTTCCTCCCTCTCTACTGCCAAGGAAAATTATGAAATCCTTTAACTTGAGCAACAACAAGGTTTACCTTGGCTGGGGAAGCTGTAGATCAGACTGATTTTGCCTGTAGTAGAGGTGAACTTTCTCTCCTCTTTGTAGCCCAGTGATTGGCCTCATCATGACAAAGTGGACAAAGCCATGAGCATACCCTAAAGTAGACTTCAATGTCTATTAAGCCAAGCTTCTCCTGTCCAGCCACTGCAGTACTGCAGAACTTCAGAGCTTCTCACAGCACTAACTAAAGGTGCATTGAAGTCTCTAGGCTGGCCACCCAACACCAGTCTCCACTCGTATGAAATTAATCTTCCCAAACTGTATTTCTGATCATATTACTTCCTTGAACATCTTCTACAATTCCCTTAAACATCTACATTGAGTATAAGGTGGGTTCTAATGTCTAAGTTGTTTTCTAGAGGGAAGCATCTGTATCTTGTGTCTAGTCACTGTGACTTAAAGCAAGTCACTTAATCTCTTTATTGTTTTCTCTATAAACTTGGGTTCATATTATGTCAAACTTGATGAAATAAGAATAAAAATTGGAGTATATAATAATAGCATTGCTAGTTTTGGGGTTCTTGTTTGATTTTTTAGTTTTTTAAGACAGGGTTTTCTGTGTATCCTTGACTGTCCTGGACTCCCCTTGTAGACCTGGCTAGCCTCAAACTCTCTAAGTGCTGGGATTAAGCCTCTATGCCTGGCTTAATAGCATTACTAGTATTATAACCATTATTAAAGAGTGAAGAGGAATTACTTGGGAGTTTGTTTAAAGTATGTATCTCTAATCCTTTTCTAAGAAATGCTGACATCAGCAGGTCTCTAGATAGGTCTAGAGGTCAACAGGTCACTAGCCTTACTCTAGTAAGACCTCACAGTTAGCCAGTCTCCCCAAGTTTTGGAAGATACATTCGAAAAAATTCTGCATGCAAAATAAAGTAAAACTTTCTTTTTAAATGAATGAATTTATTAAAGAAAAAAAAACTTGCTTTTTATAGCACTAAAGAGTTCCTCATCATCTGACCCTTATACCAAACATTCATAGTCTTGAGTTCTAAAGAGTTATAGTTCTTGGAACACAGCAAGCTCTTTTTTGGTTTTTGTTTTGTTTTTGTTTTTTGTTTTGTTTTGTTTTGTTTTGTTTTGTTTTGTTTTGTTTTTGAGACAAGGGCTCACTATGTGGCTGGCCTCAAACTAACAGAAATCTGTCTGCCTCTGCCTCATGAGCGCTGGGATTAAATGCTTACACCACCATGCATGCCTATCTTCCAGTGTTGTTAGTCATTTGTTCCAGCCTTGGGAACAAAAGATTGTCAGATTTATTTGTGTATCCTCTATGATATGTGAAATATATCTCATTTTGCTGATGGTTTTATCTATTTGTGCCTACCACAAATGTGATAGCATCAATAGATACTCATTAAATATAGAAACAACTTTTTCTTACTCATCTTTTAAATTGCAGAAAACAGTTGCTGAGCAGAATCTGGAAGATACTAGGCAGCAGCTCTTGGCTGCTAGAAGCAGCCACACCAAAGCCATTGACCTCCTGGAGACTCAGGTACTGAACCTTATTCCCAGTATATGCTGTGCTGTGTAAATCCCAGCTAAGACACTCCTTGATCAGAGCATCTTCATTCCAAGGAGCTTTTTTTGGCGGGGTCGAGGTAGTTGTTCTGTCCATTGTAGGCTCCAGCTGCATTTTTTTCTTTTTTTTTTTTTCTTTGTAATAAATTAATTTATTTTATATTCATTGGTGTTTTGAGTGCATGAATGTTTGTGTAAGGGAGTCAGGTCTTGGAGTTACAGACAGTTGTGAACTGCCATGTGGGTGCTGGGAATTGAATCTGGATGCTCTGAAGTCAGTGTTCTTGACTGCCGAGCCATCTCTTTAGCCCCCTAGCTATATTTCTTATCTCCCAGCGTGGGTATTACACAACCTCAGTGTTTTTTGTTTTGGAGTTTGTTTGTTTTGCCAGTTTGGTGAATGTGAAGTGATGGTCCATTGTGTTTACTGCTGTGGTTTTTACCAATTGCTTCATCTTCCTGTTAGCCTCTAGGATTTCTACTTTTGAATTGTCTACAAATCCTATACCTATTTTTCTTTGGTGGTTTCAGGCTTTTCTTAATTGGGTTATAGGATTTTGTTTCATATTCTAGTTCCTAATCTCATCAGTTACAGTCTTGAACCAGTCTTTGTTGGTATTGTTGACAGAAATTCTGAAATTTGTTATCACTTCTGTCTGTGGTCTAAAGCTCCATCTTAAAAAAAAAATCCATTCATATTTCTAAGTCACAGAGGTCTTCTATATTTTTAATTAATTGTATACGTTTGTCCACATAATAGAGCTCTTGTTCACTTACAGACTGTCGTTGTGTGTTGTATTCAGTAAGAACCTAGCTTTCCTTTTCTGTAGGTTTCTTAGCACTGTTCACCTAACAGTCTGACCTTCCTCATTGTCACTGACCTAACTTTAGCATATACTAAGATTTTCTGAACACATTGGATTGTCTCTGCCTTTGCTGATATATTTCTGTAGTGTGTTGGCAGTATGTATCTCAGAATCTGTGGACTAAGTGAGATTAAAATTCATGTTGTGATCATCAATCCTACTTCTGGGACTCTTTCCCAAGAAAGTTATTGAAACCACATCAGACAGTTTTATGTGACGATATTAATGGCTGCTTTATTTTACATTGAAAAAATGGTCAAAGAGGGCATTCAAGTTGGCTCATCAGGTAAAGGCACCTGCTGCATCAGCCTGACAAATCTGGGTTTGATCCCAAGAGCCCAGATGGAGTGTAAGGAGACAGTCAACTCCACAAAGCTGTTCTTTGACCTCTTCAGCACGCTTTGGTGTGTGCATCCATAAACCCACGTGATATGTGCCACACACACAATCAAAAATTTGAAAATCTAGAACAAATACAAATGTAAAACAATCCAAGTACCCACAGGTAATCCTGTAGACATGTGGTCAGTAAAGCAGGAAGCACTCTTTGAGAAAATAAGAATCTCAGGTCAGAGTGGAGCTGAGTGGGAGGAAAAGGATGACAGATTATTTAAATTGTATACAAACTATAAAGAAGTCATAAAGGTTTGAAGAAAAAACATTGAAGTGGTATTGCTTTATAATGGAAGACTCGGGACTCTCTTGCTTGTTCTATAAAGTAGGGATTTATGTAAGTGTGTTATGGAATTGAAGCTGGGACCTTGTTCATTCTAGGCACTCTCTCTACCACTGAGCAAAATCTATGTCCCTGAGTTGAACTTATTTTTTATAATTGAATTTTATTTATTTTCATTATATGTATAATCTCCCAGGCTGTCCTACAAGTTGTAGCAATCCCCCTATATCTCAGCCTTCCAAGTACAAAGTTCCTCTGTGAGCTTACCTGCTCTGTTTTGATTTTTTTATGTTGGGATTTTTTTTTTTTTGAAGGGGTAGTTTTCTATGTTTGCTTATTTTTAATTATTTTCTTATGTGTGTGGGTATTTTGCCTATGTGTTATATCTGTGCACCATGTGCAGGCCTATGTCTGCCAGAGGCCAGAAGAGTCCCTAAAACTGGAGTCCTGAGCATCTCTGAGCTGCAGCTTATGTGCTACGAATTGAACCCTGGGTCTTTGGAATAGCAGAGTAGCCAATGCTCTTAACTACTGAGCCATCTTTGTTTTGAGACAGGGTCTCACTATGTAGCCCTGGCTGACCTATAACTTTTATATATACCAGATTGGCCTCAAACTCAGAGCATGTGCTCACACATACACAGTCTCCTAGAGCCTCGGCTAGCTTCAAGCTTATTATGTAGTGAGGGAGAGCTTTGAATTTCTGATCTTCTGCCTCCACCTATTGACTGCTCTGATTACTATACCTTTGTTTCTGGCTCTAATTTTACTTTCTTGTTTGTTGTTTTATTTTTTTGTTTTGTTTTGCGAGACAGGGTTTTTCTGTGTAGCACTGGCTGTCCTGGAACTTACTTTGTAGATCAGACTAGCCTCAAACTCAGAAATATTCCTGTGATTTAAGTCATGTGCTGTTACCACCAGGCTCCCCTTGCCCCCCACCCTGCCCTGTTGTGGTCTAGCTCTAATTTTAAAGTCATTCATTAAACCTGCCCAGCTTCTTGTGAAAAAAAGAATGCTTCTGTTTTTTCTCAGGTGAAGGACCTAGAGCACAGTCTACAGGCTGCTGAAGAGCAGCTAAGCGAGAGCAGAGACGTTGTGGCTGCCCAGGAAGTCCAGATCCAGAAGCTTGTAAGTGTTCAGCATGTGCAGGTTCCAGTGCTCTCCTTCAGCACCTTTGCAGATGCCCCAGATGTGCACAACACTTATCTGTACTCACCATTAACAGAGCAAGGGAGATTACGCCAGGGACTCAGTGTTACCTAGAGCCATGGACTAACTGGTAGTATCTACCTAACATCTGCCTTTCCTGAGGACCCTGCCCGTTGGTGGATTCTCAAGAGTTCAAAGCTTAGCTTTCCGTCAGAGGTGTGGAAAACAGGTCAAAACTACTAGGTGAGCTGGGTATGGTGACACATTCCTTTAGTCCCAGCATTTGCAAAGCTGAGGAAAACAGATCTGAGTTCAAGGCCACCATGGTCTACATAGTGAGTTCCAGCCAGCAGAATATATAGTAAGACCCTCTCAAAAGCTAACCAAAAAAAAAAAAAAAAAAAAAAAAAAAGTTGAAGCATTTGTACATTCAGCACACCCTGAATGAGCTAATAAGTTGGAGCTAGGGAAATAAAAGCAGCCAGCATTGATTTCTTGTTTGTGACATCCCTGGCACTGTGCAGAATGCTTTTTCACTTAGTCCTTGTAGCACACCTAATAAATTGGCACGGTCTGTCATACTCACTCTGTAGAGGAGGTAAACATAGAGGTGTCGAGACTCCATCTGTCCATGCATAGCCCTGTTCTTCACCACTTCATTCTCCTGCCTCCCCTGGGAACACCTCAGCCATAGAAATCCAGTGAGCAGCTGACGGAGACCTATATCTGAAAACAAAGAGGTGCTCAGCATGCACCTTGAAGGGTGTGCTAGTGGCATCTGGACAACTGCCTGGTTTCAGTTTCCAGGGCAGAGCTAGACCCAACAGTAATATGTAGAACATGCAGGGGTTCGAAGCCACACCAGGGCAGCAGAGGTCAAAGAGGATAGTTTCTGTTAGACAGACAGGCCCTCCTCTGAAATCTTTGTGTCTGGGCTAACTGTCCTCTGATTTTCCTGCAGATCACTACAAACCAAGAGAGCAGTGTTTCCCAGCAGCAGGTTCATGCCCTGGAGCAGCATTTTAGGGAGCGCACCCATGCACTGGAGACCCAGATTGAAGCTCTGGAACAAGCACGGGTGGCCGACCAGATAGCCTCAGAGAATGGAATGGTGAGTGGAGTGGGAGTCAGCCCATGCTGGAACACTTATCGTTGCAATTGAGCAAAATGGTGTCTCTAGGCTGGGGAATCACTTGAGAGAGCAGTTCACCTTTTCTATAAGGACTTAACCTGCTTAGGAGACTGGAAGTAAAAAGACCAGGTTTTACAGAAATGCACAGCAGATGAGTTTTCCACAGGGACATCTTTCTGTTCTCCAGCAGTCCACTCGGGTTTTTCTGAAATCCACATTGTTCCTCTATATTAGCTTCTCTCTTCTATGGCCCCTCTATGTGTCCCACAGTCTTAAAAGGCATGGATTTCTTAAGGACTTAGAGATTGAGCCTCACATCTGCTAGGCATATGTTCTAGCCACTCTCCTGCCCCTGGAGATTTTCAGTATTTCAGTCATTTCTTTTATGGAGGCCAGAGATTATATATCAGCTGTCTTCCTCAGTTGCTTCCCACCTTCCTTTTTGAGATGGAATTTCACCTATTTGGCTAGACTAGCTGGCCAGCAAACCCCAGAGTTTCACCAGCCTCTGCCCAGCACTGGGATTACAGGTGTGTACCACCACTCTCAGCCTTTTTCACATGGGTGTTAGAAATCTAAATATACCTCATACCTTCCTAAGCACGTTATCAAATAAGTCATTTCCTAGCCCAAGAAAAGTCATTTCAAAAGGGCAATGTCAGAGAGATCAGGCTATGCCTTGGAGGAAATATGGCAGGTAAGACCTTTTCTTACATGTGCTCTGCTCAATTTACAGCAACAACTGCAGCAAGAAAATGTGGCCCTTAAAGAAAGCAGAAATGAATGTGAACGTTCTTTACAACAGCACCAATTAGAACTAAAGAAACTAAAGGTATTTATCTAATAGAATCAGTTTTACAGAAGTTCCTCTCTGTCACATATGTTCAGAGTGGATAGGTAAAAGTCCTGCACTTACAGCAAAGAGGAAATGGAAGTTGCTCTTGTTCCAGTGCTCTGTTAGGTATCTGTTCAAGTCTTCTCAGTGATCCAGGAGGAGGAAGAGTTGTGCTCCTTTAGCAATTAATGCTGTTGACCTTTGAGAACAGTCAGTCCAAGTCTCATCTAGCTGTTCACTCCACTCCAAAGTGCAGCTCTTTCTCTGTATCCTTGTCAACAGCTAACTGAAAACTATGCTGTCAGAGCAACCCTCTGTCTTATAAAGGAGGCCTTAGAAAGATGTTTATGTATGTTGGGGACCTTATACCGGAGTGAACAGTTTGCTGGGTGTTGTCTTTTCCCATGTGTGAAGTTGGTGCTTTAATCAGATCTTATTCCTGTTGTTCACCAGATAGAACTACATGCCCACTTTTTTTTTCTATTATACATTATTGTATATTGCCTGCATATATGTCTGTGTGAGGATGTTAGACCCCCTGGAACAGAAGTTAGAGACAGTTATGAGTTACCATGTGGGTGCTGGGAATTGAACTCGTGTCCTCTAGACGAACAGCCAGTGCTCCTAACCAGTGAGATATCTCTCCAGGCCTGGCATGCCAACTTTCTTATAGGCCCTCTAGGTTCCCTGGGTCCTTCATGATACTTTTGAGAGGTGAGTCATGGCAATATTTGCCCAGTTTGATCCTGGTATCAAGCTTTTTTCCTGGTATCAAGCCTTTTCAGACCTTCTCTGTATCCACACCTGTCACTCAGGGCCTTCCCCTTGCAAGCTCCCAGTAACAATATCCAATGAGTTGCTTAGGCACTATTGCAAAGGTGCTACATCAAAAAGCATGTATCTTGCAATCAGATTTTCTTTTTCTTGGGCGGTGGTAGCACATGCTTTTAATCCCAGCACTCAGAAGACAGAGACAAGTGGATCTCTGTAAGTTCCAGGCCAGCCTGGTCTACAAAGTGAGTCCAGGACAGCCAGGTCTACACAGAGAAACCCTGTCTTGAAAAAATGAAAAAGAAGAAGGAAGAGAAGAAGAAGAATAAGGAGGAGGAGGAGGCAGCTTAGGCTGGCTTTGAATTAGCTCTGTAGCCCAGAAAAGGGTCTTGAACTTGTGGTCATCCTGATTCAGTTTCCCAGGTAGCTGTGATGACAGGCCTGCACCATAAAGCCCAGACTGAAGTTAAGTTTTGTTTTGTTTTGGGTTTTGGTTGGTTGGTTGGTTTGGCTTTGGTTTTCATTCCATCAGCAGATATCTGAGTGCCAGAATTGCCAAGATACCAGGATAGGTGTTAGGATGTGTCAAGAACAAGACAGGCAGGGCAGTGGTGGCACATGTCTTTAATTTCAATTCTTGGAAGGCAGATGTAGGCAGATCCCTATGATTTTGAGGCCAGCCTGGTCTACAAAGCCAGTCCAGGACAGCCAAGGCTACACAGAGAAACCCTCTCTCAAAAAAAAAAAAAAAAAAAAAAATTAGCAAATGCTATGAAGAAAATGAGGCCTTGTGAAGGACAGGGGAGGGAAAGGAAGGCTTCAGTGGCATTTCAGCAAAAGATGTGAACAGTGAGGCCAGCAAAGTAGACATTCCAAGGAAATGCTGTTTCTGACTTTAAAAAAAAAAAATGGCTCTGAGGTGAAAGCTTGTTCTGTTCAAAGAACTGCTGGAAGGCCAATGTGGCCAGTGCTTAGTGACAGAGAGAACAGGACTTCCCAGTATAGAACACAGCAGGAATTAGGAAGTACAATGGAAAGCCATTGCAGAAAAGCATGGGAGAGGTTTTATTTTGAAGGTGTTTCTTTAGCTATGCATAGAGAAATTTCTGTAAGGAAAGCTTTTAATAACACAAGCTGGAAAAGATGGCTGTGTTAGGTCAGCATATGGAAGACACATTCAGATTCTCGGTGAACATTTAGGACTTTCTACTGATTGCAAGAAGGAAATGAGAGGAATGGGAGGTGGAGTGACTCCTAGGTTTGGTTTGTGGAATTCAGAGTTTCATGACCCAGCACTGTTGGCATTTGCGCTAAGATTTGTTGTTGTGGGCACCTTGCAGCAAATGTGTACTGTTGGATTCTAGGAGTACTTTGGTCCACTAGACACCAATAGCCAGCCCACTGATGACAACCAGAAATGTCCCTAGGGAAACAAAATTCCACCTGACCAGAGGGCTGGCCACCTGACCAGAGGGTTGGGCACATAGAGATACCATTCACAGGTGTCTAGGATATATCTGTTACTTTCTTAACTGACAAATCTGGAAGTCAGTGCAGAGGTTTAAGATAATTATATAAATTAGAAAGACAGCATAGCAACCTGGCAATGGTGGCACAGTCCTTTAAACCTAGCCTTGGGAGGCAGGCAGATCTCTGAGTCTAGAAGCCAGCCTGATTTTCAAAGGGAGTTCAAGCATAGCCAGGGATGCAGAGAGAAACCCTGTCTTGGAAAGAAAGAGAGAGAGGAAGAGAGAGAGAGAAGAAAGGAAGAGGGGAAAAACAGGAGAGAAGAGAAGAATGGTGGTACAGCCCTTTGACTCCAGCATTTGGGAGGCAGAGGCAGGAGGATCTCTTGAGTTCTAGGCTAGCCTGGTTTACATCATGAATTCCAGACCAGCCAGCAGTACAAAACGAGACTCTGTCTCAAAAACAGACAAAAAGACAGTACTGGGCACTTGTAATTTCAAAACTGGGGAGGCCAGTCAGTCAAGCCAAGTCAGTGAGTGTCAGACTCAGTAACACACCCTGTCTCAACAGGGAAGAGAACAGATGGTTGAGATCAACCTCTGTCCTCCACCTTCTCTCTCTCTCTTTCTCTCTCTCTCTCTCTCTCTCTCTCACACACACACACATACACACAAGAACATGTGCACATACACACATAACTTTAAAAAACAGAATATATGAGTCATTAAGAAAAAGCATTGAAACCTAAAGGTGATTTTTTTTTTTTTTTCTAATTACATTTATTTGGATAGGACTGTAGAGGTCAGAAAAAAAGTTGAGAAAGTTGTTCTCTGGTCCAAATGTTTGATCAAATCATTAGGCTTTGTGGCAACACCTTCACTTGCTTAGCCATCTTGCCAGTCCCTAAAGTTGATTCATTGAAAGTCAGTAAAATTGTTAAAACTCAAAGTGAGATGAATCAAGGAAAAAAGGAAATGACACAAAAAATGGCCAAATTACCAAAGTCAAGAATGAGAAATGAGACATTATTATATATCTTATAGGCATAACATTATAAGAAATATAAACAACTAATTCCTAGCTATTTAGGGAGTTCAAGGCCGGGCTAGGCTAGAGGCCCTGTCTCAGTAAAACAACAGTGATAACAACAAAACATCCCACAATGTTATACCAATATCTGTTGTAAAAGTTAAAAGTTATATGAAATTGTGTGTAGTAGTACATGCCACATCCCAGCAGTGAAAGGCTGAGGTAGGGGCAGAAGCTAAGGCACAGCCTTAACTCTATGCATAGCCCAGTCATTTTCTATGGCAAAGGGAGCTCTGCAGGTGAAAAGTAAATGAAGGATCTGGAATTGGAGAGTTCCTCCTAGGTTATTGGGGACCAGGAAGACCCCAGGAAGGAACAGCCTTCCCATCTTCCTGGAATGCCCCTGAGACAGAGGACAGACCCAGCTGACCTAGCACTTAGTAGGCAGAGGCAGGCAGAGTTCAAGGACAGGCAGTCTATAAAGCAAGTTCCAGGACAGCCAGGGCTATACAGAAAAACCCTGTTTTGAAAAACATACACACACACACACACACACACACACACACACTCACACTCACACTCACACTCACACACTCTTTGAGCTTTTCTTTACATGATAGCATTATTAAAATCAGTGAGTTTTGGGGCTAGAGAGATGGTTCAGCAATTAAAACCATTTCCAGAGGTCCTGAGTTAAATTTCTAGCAACCACATTGTACCTCACAACCATCTATAATAGAATCTGATGCCCTCTTCTGGCATGCAGGTGTGTGTGTGTGTGTGTGTGTGTATGTGTGTGTATGTATGTTCGTGTCCGCATACACGTGTGTATGTGTATAAAAAAAAATAAATCCAAAGGAGAAAAGAAAAAAAATCAGTATTTTATTTACTTGTTTTTCCTACTTGTTTCTTTGATCCAACTCAGAGTCCAACAAATCTCTAATAATGCCTCTGTCTGCATTTCTCCCTTCTTTCTGTCTTCATGCATTTTTAAAGGACTGTAACTTATTACATACATATATTTAGGGTCTGTTGTTGTTTTAAAGACAGGCTCTCACTCTACATTCCCATATGGCCTGAAACTCACAGAGATCTGCCTGCCTCGGACTCCCAGGTGCTGAGATTAAAGGCGTTCATTACCACACCCAATTGGGTTTTTGTTTGTTTAAGTTTTTCAAGGCAGGGTTTCTTTGTGTGGCCTTGGCTGTCCTAAAACCAACTCTGTAAACCAGGCTGTCCTTGAACTCACAGAGATCTGCCTGCCTCTGCCTCCCTCAGTGTTTACACTAAAGGTTTGTGCCACAACCACCTGGCTTTGTTTTCATTTTATTTTATTTTATTTTATTTTTATTTTATTTTATTTTATTGTTTGTTTGTTTTTTTTGTTTTGTTTTGTTTTGTTTTGTTTTTGTTTTTGTTTTTTAAAACAAGCTGTTACCGGAACAACTTCCCCACATATACCAGGCTCAACCCCAGGTACTTAGCTGCCATGTATCAAGATTCTTGATACAAAAGACTTTGGGTTGTTCATCTGGGTAACATAACTACCTGCTAGGAGGCCTGATACCTCCTACAGGATATAAACCAGACTTACTTGGCAGGCTGGAATATCAACTTGGAATCTAATAGTTGGGGACGCATGAGACTCTGAGGCACTTCATAACTACATTTACCTGGCCATGTATACCACTCACTATCAAAAATCCATTCTGTGTGTCTGTGTGTTTGCTGTTGCTACAGTTGGTATTAAGTTGGTATTTGGTATTAGGTTGTTGTCTTGTGTACTGGGCCTGAAACCTGGAGCTTCCCTTGTGCTACTTGAGTGCTCTACTATAGAGAAACCCCTCATCTTATTTGTTTGTCTTTTTGAGACAGGGAATCTCCATGTAGCTCACGCTAGCCTGGGATTTGGAATTCTCTTTCTCAGCCTCCCAGGCACTAGGATTACAGCTCTGTGCCTACATACCTGGTCTATTTTCTCTTTTTTAAAACCGCTGACCCCAAGAAGACTTTTATTTGGAGGAACAAACATGGCTACAGATGAAAAGTGCCAAGGACAGTTCCCCAGCATGAGTTTCCTTTGTGCCCCAGCTGCCTTCCTGCCTTCTCAGATATATTGAGGCCATCTGCCTTTCCAGACACTAGCAGTCATAAGCATCTCTCTAGACTTCCCCCAAAAAACATTCCTTAGTAGGTAAAGCATTCTTACCAAGCCAGAATCTGCAGCTCCTTCACCTGTACCAGCAGCCACACCCTGAACCAACATTTGGTAGCAGGAGATGATGGGGGGACCCTGACAAGGAGTCTTGCACAGCGCACTTCAGGATATCACCATTAGCCTGTCAAGTTCAGGTACCAGTTGTCCTTTTCTGCCAGAGCTAGACTCACAATAACAATTGTGAAGACAATTGTTATTACTCAAGTAAGGAAGGTCCAGCATGCCATGTCCCAGCTGACCCAGAGAGAACTGTTAAGAAGACACAGGAAGCCCACAGACCCAGAGAAACTGATGGTCTTCTTTCTCCCTCAGTGATATTTTGCTGGCTCATTAATGTAGACAGCTTCCTATTTTGGAGGGACGGACATAATGTCAGCTCTGATCTTGGAACATTCCAGGAGGTCCTCTTCAACTTAGCTTCAGAGTGTAAAGAAGGTTCTTGATACAAAAGACTTTTGGTTGTTCATCTTGGTAACATAACTATCTGCTAGCTGAATTTATTTGATCAAGGGGAAGAGATGCTATGATAGGTCAGACCCAAATCATATGCCACAAAATTAGGGCATTGTTACGGACAGTCCAACTCTTGCCATGTAGAGTCTCAAGGTGGGAATGGAGGACAGAAATGAGGTGCTTACACAGAATCCAGGGAGTTCTGGGTAGACAGAAACAGCAGATATTAAATCATATTCTCTCCAGGTTATTCCCTGACCAAGTGGTCAAGACCTGAAAGGTTATACTATATACTTGTGACTCTTGACAATCATGAACATACTCTCAGAGAAGGACAGTGGTAACACACTCTCAGAGGAGCACTCTCAGAGGACTTCCTGTGCTGCAGAAGTCCTGCCAGTCAGCTGGGGCACTGATGTTCCTGCTCATATTGAAGATGCTTTAGGTGGGAGAGTCTGGCATCCAGAGACCCTGGATGTGGGTCGGACTAGGTCTGGCTCTCCGTCTGCTCCTCTACCTGCTAGTACTGGAACCTAAGTCAAATCACCAAACATCTTGGAGCCTCTGTTTTCACTCTTATAAAATAGGCCCATGGGCTGTGATATGATTAAGTAGATAAAGGCCTTGCTACCAAGCCTTCTGGCTTGAGTTTTATGCCTAGGACCCACATAGTAGAAGGAGAGAATTAGCTCTGATAAGTTCCCCTCTGGCCCCACAGGTACATAGTGGCATGTTATCCCACACGCATACATAAAAAAAAAAAGGAAGGAAGAAAGGAAAGAGGGAGGGAGGGAGGAAGGGAGAGAGAGAGGAAAAAAGAAAGAAGGAAAGAAGAAAGAAAGATAGCTTTAAATTATTAAATGTCTTATGGGGACTAGACAGAGTGTATTATGGCTAGCAGTTAAGAGAATTTGCTGCTCTCCAAGAGGACCTGAGTTCAGTTCCTAGCACCCCAGTCAAGCAATTCAGAACTGCCTGATCTGCAGCTGTAGGGTCCCCTTCTGGCTTCCACAGGTGCCCATACACATGACTTATACTCAACACTTGCACACACATAAATAATATACATCTTATAAAAGGGCTTCTGTGGATGAATCAGTGAGAGTAAGCTCTTAAAAATCTCAGCAGCTGCTTCATTACATTTCCTATGACCAGACTGTGCCCATGAGTTTTCATGTTTTGTGTGGGTTTCATCTGGATACTGGATGGTGAGCTCCCAGAACCACTGCCCTCATTGATGTGTCCATTTGTTAGAATAGATACAGTGTCTAACAAGGTAGTCATCAGAGGCATTTAGAGAAGCAGGGAGAATGGCCCTGCAAAGGTGTTGGGGGGGAGGGAGGTCAAAAGAGGAAGCTCTGTTGTGCCTCAAGAAACAGATAAGAAAATAGACTGTTTTGGGCTGGACGTGGTGGCGCACTCCTTTAATCCCAGCCTCAGGAGGCAGATACAGGTGGATCTCTTGAGTTTGAGGCCAGCTGGTCTACAAAGTGAGTCCAGGACAGCCAGAGCTCTATTACATAGAGAAACCCTGTCTCAAAAAAAAAAAAAAAAAAAATATTTTGGGACTCAGTCACCTACCTGTTTTCTGAATTCTAGGATGAATGGAGCCAAAGAGAAATTGTGAGTGTGGCTATGGCTCAAGCCTTGGAGGAGGTGCGGAAACAGAGGGAAGAGTTCCAGAAACAGGTAGGCCCCTAGCTGGCTACCAAGGCGTGGGCCAAAACCATGTTCCCCTGCAGTCTCAGGGTCACTGCACCTGCTGGGGCCATCAGAGTCCCCATATGCACAGGGTAAGCATGTCAAAGGTCTTGGGGACATAGTCCATTGGAAGATGCCCTATGACCTGTGGGATACTAAGAGAAACTACTACCAAGCAACTGTAGCCCATATGATACCTCTTCCTAAGTTTTCATGGCTATTGAGTTATAAAACATTGATTGGAGAAAAGTCCTTAGGTAGGGATCTAACAGGTGGACTCTGAAGTGGTACATCACCTCCCACTACTCACAAAGGGGAAGTTAAGTTTCCAGCCAGAAGTGTAAGGGAAACCATATGTGGGGACAAACAGAGCACCTAGCAATGTTCTGCTAGCTAGAGGCTTCCAGTGAGTTCTTGACCAATCCGAGGCCCAATCACTTCTGAAAAGAACTTAGGGTAATCAATCATCTGACTCCAAAATGAGGTGATGCAGCAGGCTGGTGAAGCATGGGTGCTCAGAAAGGGATGTATTGAGAGGCTGACCAGAACATTCACACTCTGGCTGGCCCAGCATAGGCCAGAGGGGCAATGAGGAGAAGCACCCTGCGCAGTGCCATTTAGGAGAACGGATCAGATTGCCATAGGTTTGTTCTAGGCTGCAGATGTCATGGAGGGCTCCCCATCCTCCAGTTGGAAAACGGAGTCCCTGTAGGAGAGGGGATTATGTCAGCCCCTCTCATGCTGAGTTTCCTGCTAAGGCTGCTGAGCTGACAGCCATCATAGAAGAGAAAAATCAGAGCCTGTGTGAAAAGGATGAGGTGCTTCTCCAGAAGGAGCAGGAACTTCGCCAGCTGGAAAAAGGTGAGGAGTTGACCCCGGCCAGCAAGGTGTCATTAGTGAGCCAGCCTGTCACAAGAAGTGTACAATCACTGGCTCACACTATGCTCCTACCACCACAGGTCACAATTCTGCCCTGCTGCAGATGCACCAACTGCAGAGTGAACTGGCGGCCTTGAGGACCTGCAGGGCCCAGGAGGCAGTGCCAGCCACAACAGGAGAGGACCCCCTGCCACTGCAGGGCCAGGAGCCACTTGTGAGTGCTTTCCTTTTGCTAGGGGGATGGGAGAGGGTAGAGAACCTGCTCTGTACTTTTACAGTGCTCAGCTGCCTAGGGGGCTTGAGACCTATAGGGCCATGGCTCTGTGGCAACACCTATTAGTATGCCAGTTGATCACCAACTGGCAGGCACTGGATGGAATCTTCTCATGTCTGACCTTAGTTCCCCCCAGTTGCCTGCACCAAGCCACACCTGTACAATGAGCTGGGACCCCTTCACCACAGACCTTCGGCTCACCTGCCTTCTGTCCTGTTGCCACTATCCTGTAGATCATCTCAAAAGCTATGCAGGATTCTGAGTATGAGCTTCCAGCTGCAGAAGGAACTCCAAATGGTGAGGTTGGGGCCATGGATCTAAAGCAGCTACAGAAAGAAAAGCAGGACTTAGAGCAGCAACTTACAGAGAAAAATAAGGTAAGGACACTGCACCTGGCTAGCTGTACTAGCTGTGTTCTGCTCTAGCCCAGCACTCAGGCCCTAGGCCCAGCTGTTCCTCCTCATGGCCATTAGCCCCTCCCCCAAGTCTACCATCTCTCCTCCAGAGATTGGTGCTGGTTTTTTTCATGGCTTTTTTTTTTTTTTTTTTAAGCCTTGGCTGTCCTAGAACTTGCTCTGGCCTCAAACTCAGATCTGCCTGCCTCTACCTCCCCATCGGGACTAAAGGTGTGAACCACCACTGCTCGGCTTCTAATAGCTTTTGTTCTCACTCACTGTCCTACTCTGCTTCCATCTCTGTCAGTGCAAATTGCAGTCCTTGCGAGTGTAATGGCGCATACCTGTAACCCTGCACTCTGGAGACAGATGCAGAAGGGCCAGGAGATAAAGCCAGCCTGGGTTATATGAAACTCTCTTTAAATGAAGACAGGTCAGGTCCACTATGTAACTCAAAAAAAAGAAAAGAAAAAGGAAAAAAAAGGTCTTTGAGACAAGACCTCACTGTGTAGCCCTATCTGGCCTAGGACTCCCAGAGATCTACCTATTTATACCTCTCCAGTACTGGGACTAAAGGTGTATGCCACCTTAACCTTGAGGCCTGCTTTCAAAAATGGGCAATTGGGAAAGACAGCCATGGTAGTATTCACCTTTCATCTCAGCACTCTAGAGGCAAAGGCAGGTGGATCTGAGTTCAAGGCCAGCATGCTCTATAGTGAGAGCCTGTCTCAAAAAATAAGTAAATAACTCAGGCATGGTGGCCATCACTCAGGGAGGCTGAGGCAGGTAGATCTCTGTGAGTTTGAGGCCAGCCTGGTCTACAAAGCAAGTTCAGGAATAGCCAAGGCTACTCAGAGAAACCCTGTCTCAAGGAAAAACAAACAAATAAATAGAAAGCCAAGGACTAAGATGGGGCTCAATAATAGAACACTAGACTAGCTAGCCTGCATAAGACCCTGAGTTCAATCCACAGCATTACAAAAATAAAATGAAGTAAAATGAAAACCCAGTCAACAGAGTAAAGCATGGACAGCCCCTTTGTTGCAAGTTATAAAGTGTTAAATGAAGTTCGGCCTTTCAGATGAATGATGGAATGTGTAATAAACTACATTTAAGCCTTATAATAATAAACCCATTGATTGAAATACAAAAATAAGGGGCTGGAGAGATGACTCAGTAGTTAAAAGCACTGGCTGCTTTGCCAGAGGAACCTGTTCAATTCCCAGCACCCACATGGCAGCTCACAACTGTCCATAACTGCTATTCCAAGGGATCCAACAGTCTCACACAAACATACATGCAGGCAAGACACCAATGCATATGGAAAAAATTATATATGTACATATATACATATATGTGTATATACATATATGTAAAGCTAGTATTGGTGGACTATACAGAAAAACGTCATGACCTTTTACACTATCTGAATTACCCTGCAAATTATCAGTGCAGTGGTGATGTGTAAAATCCAACAGCCTCCCCCCAAAAAAATGGAACCTGAGGTGCTGGAGAAATGGCTCAATGGTTAAGAGCATGGTTGTCCAGAGAACCTGGGTTCAATTTCCAGCATCTACATAGTAGCTCCAGTCCCAGAGGATCTGAGACATCTTCAAGCAAAACTCCCATGCACAAAAAAGTTAACTTTAAAAAATGGAATATATTTTGCAGAGACACTGATAGCAGCACCCTCAACATATAGGGGCACTGCCAACAGGCCTGAGGGCCCAGCACACACAGTTGGGTGGGGAGTATACTGTGAGAGAACATGATGATACTGTGGCCCCTCTGGGGTCTAGGAAAGCAAGGGGTAGAGCGTCAGGAAGGAAGGAAGCCCAGGAGGCAATGAGAATGAGCCTACAGGAGGGCCTCTGAAGGCCTAACATGACACTGACAGCTGGCTTTGGGTGGGGATTACCTCAGGTTATGAAACAGATGCAGCAGAGGATGCTGGAACTTAAGAAGACTCTGCAGAAGGAGTTGGTAAGTGCCCACCTGTGCCCTCACACAGTCAGCCCACATCTCCCCATTCCCATGGCCTCCCTGACTCTCTGGTCCTCCTGGGGTCCTTGGCTGCCTGGTGTGCTCTTAGTTGATTGCAAAAGGTTCTCTGAGAGATTAGGTTTGGGCTAGTGGAAGAACAGCCTGAGATCTTGAAAAGTGTTCTTGTGACCATGCAGCCTTTGGGCACAGGTCTGAGTCTGCCTTCTCCATACCATCTCCATGTGTTCTTGCATAGATAGGAAAACATGCTCTAGTTCACTCCTCTCAGCCACTGACCCCAAGAGGAGTTGCTGAGCCTTCCTCAGGTTCAGGCACTTCCTTCTAATCAAGGGCCCTTTTGCCCAGTGATGTGGACAGTCAGTCAAGGAGCAGTAGCTGGTCACAGCTGGGGCTGGAGAATCCCTGTGATCCTAGACCTAGCTTGAGGGGTTTGACATGGCACATCTCCCATTGCTTTTCAGAAAATCAAACCTGACAGTGAGCTTTTTGAGGTCCGGGAGAAGACAGGCCCTGAAATACCAAATATGGCCCCTTCTGTCACCAATAATGCTGACCTGACTGATGCCCGAGAGATCAACTTTGAATACCTTAAACATGTTGTTTTAAAATTCATGTCCTGTCGAGAATCTGAGGTAAAGGCTTCCAAGCTGCTTTTTTGGGTTTTGGGCTTGTACAGCCAGTCCTGCATGGCTTCCCTCTTGGCCCAGTTCTGCCTTCTTCCCCTCACCCCTCAGTACGAAGCATACCTTGACGGGAAGTGGTTCCTTGGGAAATGTGGGTTTCCCCTCTGAATTCCAGCTTGAATGCTCCTGAAGCTAGAAACCTAGAAAGTCTGTCCTGCATGAAGAGCAGGGTAGCTGGTAAGGATGTTCTCTTGGCTCAGTCCCCAAAGTGAGAGATGACTCAAAAGCCTGGAACTGCACCCACTGCCTCATTCTCGTGAACCAAGACAAACAGGAAATGCTGCCATGTAGCCCCTTAATTGTTTGCTTACCCCTCAAGGCCTATGGCAGCAAAAGTGGGTTTTGTTTCAGGCTTTTCATCTCATAAAAGCAGTATCAGTGCTGCTGAACTTCTCACAAGAAGAGGAGAACATGCTCAAAGAAACTCTGGAATATAAGGTGAGTTTCCTGGGTCTGCTGTTTCCACTATCACACAGTATTGTCAGTTACCCAGGCACTGTCATCCAGACCAGCAGCCACAGCTGTACCTCAGCTTATTTGCTTTTGCACGATGAAGTTGATCAGACAGTTCAAAGAACATTCTTTAGCCCAATGTTCTGTTCTTTGTCACCACTAGACTTTGTTCATCATAGCATTTTCACTGATGGCATTTTCTCAACTGCTCCAGTTCTGGCCTAGCACCTACACTTAAACAATGTTTTTCCTGGGCTGGGGTATAGCTCAGTGGTAAAGTGCTTGCCTAGTAAGTGCAAGGTCTCAGGTTCAACCACCAGCACAGGAAACCCCATGCAATTGCTAAGGCACCTGCATAAACACTGTAATAGAGTGGAAGAAACCCTCCTACAATTTCACTGTCTTTCCATCAACTCAGTGTCTTTCTACCATTTCTTTCCCTGAATCTGGGCTCTTAGCCCTGCAGACTGGAAGCTTCTTCGTTACTCCTCTGGCCAACTGGGATGACCAGAAGGCAAAGGGCTGTTTCTGCCCCCACTGTTTCTAGTTGTTTCTCCACTCAGAAGCCTTTTCTGTTTCAAATGCAGATGTCTTGGTTTGGATCCAAACCAGCTCCCAAGGGCAGCATCCGACCTTCTATCTCCAACCCTCGGATACCATGGTCCTAGACCCACCCAAGGATAGAGCTACATGGGCTGACACTCTGTGAAAAGAACACTGACACACCAGACTGGGTGGGTTTTTAATTGCTGTAACTGCAGTATATTTTGTACAAGTGTCTAGAGAGTTTACAAGACTTTATTTAGGCCCACCTCCCTGCAGACTGATAAGAACATCAGAGGGGAGCCAATTCTGTCATTGTGGTCACCAAACATGAGAAGGAATCCTGGGCACTGCCCGGATTTCCAGTGCTGCTAATATCCCAGCTCTGGCAAGCTGCAATTAAGTCCTCTCTTAACATTAGCACTTAAGATTGAAGTGGCATGTCAGGTGACAATTATCAAGCAGAGGTAACAGGATTGTAGGTGGAGCTAGTCCTTGTATAAAAAGACAACTCAAGGGTGGTCTTTGAAGTCCCCTTCCACTAGCATGTCTGGGTTTTCATGCAATGCTGCCTCTCAAGAAAGTATCATTTCACTTTGTTTCCCCAACCTAGAACTTGAGATGTGTCCATCTCATAGGTAACGGGGCCAGTGTGGACTAATGAGTGTGCAACTTTCCAGTCCTGAGAAAACTAGCAAGCAGACGGAATGATCTCTACGTATAGCACCAAATACACTCAATTGCCTTCTTAATGAATGTACTCGTCTTGGATGGGTTGCTGGTAAACCATTTTAAACTATTTTTTATAGCAAAAGTTCTTCACTATTATAAACATGTTTTCTGTATTATAAAATCCATTTAAAAAAGAAAATCAGCATCAAGTCTTTCTAGTGCCAGGACTTGTGCCCCTTTGTAATTTTGCTTGCCTTCTATGGCACCTGCTCTCTGAAGCAATGGAGGAGTTTCTCTGGCTTTGCTCTGAATTCTGTCACATTACCACTGAGCACATGCCAATCACACTCTTTCTACTTAGGAACAACCTGCTGAATTCAATGGAAGCAGGCTCTCCCTCCCCTAGCCCCAGTATTTCGATGACACTACATTCATACATGGCACCCAGAAAGCCCAGCTGGCTGCTGCACTTAACAGCACACATGCCTCAGTTTTAGCTGATAGAAACTTAGTCAGAATGCAAGGGAAACCATTTGACTGAGTTTGATGAAAGTTTCATTAGCAAATAAACTAATAATTGGAGCTTCTAAAGTAACCACTGATCTAGGTAAATCTATGTTCTTCAGCTTAAAGTCAACTTATGTATGTACATACATATAATATGTCATACAGAAATCCAAGTATTTGCAGCATTTGCCTTCTAAATCAGGATGGCATTGCTTTGGCTGTTGCCCTTTAGGATGCCTCTTCCCATTTAGTGGGTACATGAAACCAGAGTCACTGGTAAAGTTATATGACTTTACCACCAAGTATGATTCCTTCCCCTCCTCCTGTCCCAGGTAAGAAACCCCAGGACTGAGCAGTACACAGCCTTTCAGAGGCAGCTGCAGAAGCCTTCTACACCTGAGGTTTCTCAGGCCCTTGAGCTGGTCTCTCACACACATGCACATACACACATACCGTGTGGCTGTGGGGCCCACTCATTTAGAATGGCTTTCCTGCTGCATGTTGAGCTCCTCCAGCACTAGAAGTGTGCAGTAGCTATTCCACATGGCTTGATGCACTTTACTTCTGTAAACTTTGGTGATGAGACAGTATGTGTAGCACTGGACGGTGATGATCTTACTACAATGTAAATAAGGATGGTATTATCTGAAAACTGCTGTAACAGAGTCATTTGTGGTGCAATACTTTTTGATTAAAGCTCTTCAAGATGCAACTACAGTGAGTTTTGCTTGATAAGGTTGAGATGTGTTTGATGTTTCAACCCTAATCCTTTGTGTTTTTCTTTTTTGGCTTTTTTTGAGACAGTCTCTCCTCTCTACATAGACCAGGCTATCCTGGAACTCACTCTGTAGACCAGCCTGGCCTCAAACTCACAGAGATCCGCCTGCCTCTGCCTCTCAAGTGCTGGGACTAAAGGCATGCGCTACCATCTCTCAGCTTTGTATTTAATATGGTATTTCAGGGATTATAGATGTTTGTCTTTCAAAAGAAAGCAAGCTCCCCAGATTAGAGATAAATAAATGTGATTTAATGAAGTCCATAGCCTAGTTTTACCTCTCAAGCATCTGCAGAGGATCTGGGAAGGGAAGGGCCTGTGGCACTTTGGCCACAGCACTACAGGAATATGAATGGGGGCCTCTACCAGCATTGAAGCTGCAGTTATGATATTCAGGAGCACTTGCTTTATGTCTGATAGCTGACTACTATTATTGGGGTTTAGTCTTGAAAGAAAATTTGTCAAGGCATAAACAGAGAATCCTGCAATACAACAGACCCTACACCAGGAGATAAAGACCCCAACTGTAATCATACAAACGGATGACTTTTGAAACCTCAATCATTAAAGGTTTGGCACTTTATTAAATAAGCTCCAAAATTACATACAAACCAAAGGATTAAGAAAAATAGACACTCAGCAAAATGCCTCTCAGTAGCATCCAGCATCACTGGTTAAAGTGTAGCATAGCTGTGACACCAACATGCTTGCTCTCTCCCTACCCCAGGGAGGGCAAGACAGGGACAGCTGTACCCCTTCCACCTTGGCTTTCCAAACCAAACTACCACTCATCCCCATTCCTTGCTTTACCACTTAATATACAGAGGACACACCGCAATGAACAGACTAATAAGCCAAGAGCTTTATTGATGCAGCAGGCACTTTACAATGAACCTAAGAGAGCCTGTCTTCTCTGGGAAGACAGGACATCTGTACAATCTCTCAGGTTTTTTCCACTTCAGAATCCAAGCTCTCCTTTTCACCACAGCCCTTGGATCTGCACCTGCCCAAATAGTCCCTCCCCATTTCAAACAGACAGTGCACAAAGGTACACCTGACATGGCCAGCCAGCCTGATAGTCAAGTGTCAGTTCTGTGTTACTCTGTAGATAAAGGCAGACACTCTGATCCTGCAAAGAATTTAGGAAACAATAAGACATTTTCTCCCTCCACCTCAAAAGTAAAATACATTCCAGCAGGTGTGTCCTGAAGTACTTAGTTGGGAGTTCTAGGAAGATGGTCCATTGTCAGTCCCTTCTTCACCAGCCTGGGCATCCAAAATTCTTCTCAACGTAATTTTTTTTTAAACAGTCTTTCTTGCTGTAAGAACTCTTATAATGGAGCCTAGTCCTCCTACAGCTAAGGCCTGTGGGGACAGGAAAAGGAAACATGTCAAACGGAACCTGACTGGCCAGAGGGAAGCTTCACTCACCTATAGAGATGAGGACACATATTCCCAGACCTCAATCCCACCATGTCACAGATTTGCTGCAAAAGATCAAGTTCTAGGGAGAGCCCTGTCCTAAAGCCTAGGGTCCCGAAAGCTGCCAGCTCTTGTAGCAACAGAGCTGGCTTTGGCTTAGGACCACTGTCCCCAAGCATAGAACAAAGCCCAAGTTTCCTTGTAACATTTTCATTGCTTCCTGCTGGTAGACTGACATCAAGTCACCTCACAGGGGTGAAAGAGCCTGGCTACCATACCACCAACAGCAATTTCTGAGCCAACGCAAAGATGAGGCTCAGCACCCTCACCAACAGGACCAGAGGCCATAGTCCAACACTTGGCTGGAAAGTGACCTGCCAGTAAGAGCAGTATTCTTAAAATTCAATACTGTAAGTGAGGGATCACTTGCCTAACACATACCAGAACCCTGGTTCTGCCTCTAACATAAGGGAAAAAATAAATAAAATAAAAAATCTCAGGATGGAAATGTAGTTAAGATAGTAGAGAAACCACCCAACATACATTAGGCCCAAAATTTTTGTCCCCAGCACCATATAAAGCCCAGTAGAGTGGTACATGCCTACAATCTCTGCACTAAGATCAGAAGTTCAAGATCATCCTCAGTTAAAAAAAAAAATTTGAGGCTAACCTGAACTACATGAGAATCTTAATAATCTCATACTGAACCTCCTGGCAAGAACTGTGTTCATCACAGCCTGGAACCTTTAAGTGGTAGGTATCTTTAAGTGTTGCAGGGCTGAGGGGTGTGCACTTGACACAGGCAGGACAAAGTTTGACACAGGCCTCAGTCCTGTATCCTTCTAATGAAGGACCAAAAAAAAAAAAAAAGCCTTTTTGGCTTCAAGTGAACGAAAGCCATTTTAAATGACTGATTTCTGCCAGTTGCCCCTTCTGGCAGTGAGATTGGGCCTACATTTCTAAAATGTCTTCAGCTCCCTCTTTTTAGCAGCTCTCTTCCACAAACAAAGGAAGAAACATCATGAAGGCCCTTCCTACCTCACCGTGCCACCTGCCTCCTGTCCTATACCAAGGACAGCCTAGCCTAAATCAACAGGTAAAAAACAAACAAACAAAAAATATGGCTGCAGGATTTGAAGATGGTTGTTAGGTGATTCTGGGGTGAGGTGAAATGTTCACTGTCAGCTTAGACCTGCCACTCCCAAATGCCTATGAGACCATCCTTCATGTGTTCTGAGTCTGACCTGCCAGCGAACCCTGGGGGAACTGCAGCTGCAGTAGAGCAACGTAGTCACATACCTTTTCATGCCACTGGAGTAACACTGCGCTGCTATTTTCTGTGGGCTTCTCAAACCCCTTATAAATGTACTTCATTAACAAGTCAATGCCATTTCTGTCCAGTGACTGTACAGCCTCATCAATTTCGCTGCTCTTAAAGTTTGTGAGTACTTTCAGGACTACACCCTGGGCCCGTTCCTACAGAGGATAGAAAAAGTGAGTGAGGCCAGGAGCTGCAATCCTAACACTGCTACAGAACACCCAAAGACAAAATATGCCAAAAATAGCAACCTAATTCATCTAGGGTAGAGCTACATGGATAAGCTAAACTTCTTTGGCTTTAAATTTCACTATATCCCATATTTCTACAAATAAGTTATTCTACTTAATGTGGAGAGAACAGTAGTTTACTGCAGGTAAATACAATGTTCATTTTCTGGTGTCAAAAGATTTAACCCAGAGCCATCCATATGCTAGGCAAGCCTTCTACCACTAAGCTCATCCCAGCCACAAGAATCACTACTCTTGATACATTAGCAAGGCCTCAGACTCTACAGATTACAAAGCTATCAAGCTACCTACTGCACCTGGTTATCTGGGGTATACCAGGTGGCTTCCATGGAAAGCAATTCCTAGTAGCAGCACTCCCAATGATGCAGAGTTACTGTCCAGGCCCCAGGGAGTTCAGGCTGCTGCTAAGGACATAATCAAAGCCCTGGTCCTGTTACTGAGCAGAGCTGCAGCACAACCTCTTTACCTTCACAGCTTGATTCTTGGTGTTGATTGGAGAGTTCCGCAAGGCTGCATGAAACGCCCGAAGCATGTCCCCTGTACATCAAAGCCAGTTAAGGATGGCTAGGCTCAAACATGTCCATGCTGTCATTAATGACCTCACTTCATAAACAGCTCAAGAATAGTCAAAGGGATCTTATCCATACCACCCACTGTCTCCTGCTGGCCTCTTTCAGGCAGGCACATCCTGTTATAGCCTTGACCTTTCCTGAGCCACAGGAAGGAATGGAGGGCACCTCTGCCAACTTCTAAGTTCTTCCTTCATATCTCCCTAAAGCTTCCTCCGGGGGGGGGGGGGGGGAACCTGCCCTCTTTTGTGGTAAAATCAGATAGAGCCTGAAAGAAAAATTATCAGGATCCCCAAGACCAAGTTCTCACTGCAAAGTATATTTTGCCCCAGAGGGAGAGAAGGCAAGGAATAAGAAACAAACACAGGAGATAGAAAATGAGGGAGAAGGGGAAAGGGGGCAAGGGTATTTGTCCCAGAGGACAATGGACTGCCTCTGGATAGAGAGGAGACAGACACATAGGAAAATGGTGGTTTATAAAGGTAGAATGAAGTGTTTAATTTTAATTGGCATGTTAATTAGGTGAATGGGGGAGGGGGGGTGATTGCTGGACCTTGGCCTCAGGAGGAGAAAGTGGCCAAATAAGGGAATAGACTTTTTTAGCTAGCTTCAGGAATATTATCTAATGGTTTTTAGCAAGGCAAAGGGAACGGGAGAGAAGAGCAAGGCCTGCCAGAGCCATGCTTGCCACGGTCAGGCTGGCCAGAGTCCCTTCAGAGCCTACTTGCACCTCCTCAATGCTGGGCACTGTCTGCCCTAAAGGATCTTCGTAGAAAAATCATGCACAAACAGACTCAACCTCTCATTCTAAACGGGAAGGAGAGACATAAACACATCTTAATAGTTTTGTTTTTTCAAGTAGGGTTTCTCTGTATAGCCCAGACTATCCTGGAACTCATCTGTAGGCTTCAAACTCAGAAATCTGGAATTATAGGCAAGCACTACCACCACTGGCTAAACATAAACACGCCTTAACTCTTCACTCCTATCAAACTACTAAAGAAATCAAGTGTGTCAAGTCTACCTCCCAGGCCAGGCCTAGTAGCATGTCTTTAAATCAGCATTCAGGCAAAGGCAGGCAGACTGAAGGCCAGCCAGAGCTACCTGTCTCAAAAAGAGGGGTAGGAGGGTGGTCTCTCTTCCAGGTCAGCAAGATCTCAGTCTGGCCCACAAAAGGAGCTATTTGCTCCTTTGCCCCATAAACCTTAGATAGAATATTAAGTTCACATTCAGTGCTGAGTTCTGAATACCCAGCACACAAAAGAAAATTACAATCTAGGTTATGTCCCCAAAGGTTACACCTATTTTAAACTGAATTACATCAGCCAACTTTCATTTCCTCATGTGAAACAGTGGCTTAAGCCAAAAAGCTTCAAAAATAGAACAAGGGATGACTCTGCCCAATCAGGTCTTTACTCTTGTCCATGCAGCAATCCCAATGTGTGAACAGCTAGTCTCTGGTGCAAACCTGAATTCCCAACTTCTCCAGGGAGTGCCATCTTGAAAAGCTGGTCTATACCACCAGGCAAGTCACTCCCCTGCCGTGCTGGATCAGACTTACCTTACAGAGTTGACAGGTGCCCACCCCTTTTAGTTTTGGAATTCCTTTTTTCAGGCAAACAAGGACTAGTCCTGCTACACCCCATAACTTTTCTATGAAAACTTTTCTATGAAAACCCCTCCACCCCATAACTTTTCTAACTTGATATTCCCAGGCAATAATCAAGGTCCCATAGGCTTAACAGTACACATGGACTAATCACTCCATTCACAAAATGAATGATGGGAAGGTGAGAAATGATATAATTAGCCTGCGAAGATGAAAATATTAGGCTTAGTGCTGCTTTAGTGACCACTTGCAGCTTGTCTGTCAAGCAGCCACTGCAGCCACTAACAATTAAGGGCCCCCAACTGCTGGGCAGAATAGGCGGCAACCACACAGCATTTACTAAACTAGCTCCAGACTTTCAGAAAACAAGCTGTGATAACTGAAGAACCCTCTGGACTATTATCAGGCATGGCTTTACAGCCATTTTAAACCAGATTAACTTTTTGATAAGTGATACAGGATGCTTAGCAGCTTCCCTGGCCTCTACCCTAAAGTTTCCAGTAACACCCCAAAACTGATAACCAAAATGTCACCAAAGATTGTCAAATTTCTGTGGGGTAGGGTGAAAGCACTATAAAATCACTCAAAACCACTGCTCTATAATCCTGCTTCAAGGACTATTATCTGTTTCACTGAGAAAGAAAACAGTGGTACTTTTTTTAAAAAAACTGCCAGAATGGAAGAAAAATTTCCCCAAGGTCTTGGACCCAGGACCAGATGCAGTCACATTTCACTTTTCTCTAAAAATCCTCTGGGACAAGACCTGACATCTATCTTAGAGACAATGAAACTGAGTCAAAAGGAAATTACCTGCAGAGGACACAAAACTACAGTGCCGGGCTGCCCTTCAAATCTAATCCCTCTCCACAATCCCTTGCCACTACAACCTGGACCCACGCTGTGGAGAACACCTGCTGTCTGTTCAGTAATACTCCTGAAGTAGTAAGATCAACAGAGTTGTCTCTATCATTCAAGAAAACAATACCAAGGTTGAGATATGTGACCTATGGAAGGTTAAAGCAGGTTAGAGCCTGCCTATGTGGATGCACAGCCATCTTTCTACTTCCTCATTCGGCTCTTCCACAATGACAATACCCAGCACAGCCCTGAGATAACCTCCTCTTACCCTCCTCCCAGACCTCTTCTCTCCCAAGACTCACAGGAGGTTCTGTAGACTGAATGCAGTGACTGCCTCCTGAAAGGGACTCAATTACTAGTTCTATCCTTCTCCCTACCTGGCCCTGACATCTGCTAGGGTTTCACTTCTCATCTGCTAACCTCCCTTCTCCCAGTCCCAAGAGGTAATGCTCTCCATGGTAACAAGGCTTCTGACACTACCATGAGTGTAGAAACCATCTCCTCTATGAGCTAGGCCAATGCCTCTCAACTGCCTCAAAAAAAAAAAAAAAAAAAAACAACCAGCCAGGGCCTTCAACAAGCTCCAGCAGCAACAATACCAAAGCAGCGGCTGACAAGCCCCAGTCTCTTCATCAATATAATTAGGATTCTAGGCCAAATGCATCATTCTGGAGCCTTGACAACAGTGACTGCCGATAAACCAGTCAGTACCCTGCACCATACTAAAAGCCTATCTTCCCCATTTAACCATCTGATGATGCTTGAAAAACAAATTTGAAATCTCCACATTTGAAAACACATGTTCAGTCTGAGAAGAGTTGCTTTAAAGATATCTTCCCAAAAGCAGTGGGCCTTACTTCCCAGGCTTAGTCAACTATTAAACACCCAGAACCTGATTTATATACAGCAAGGGCATACAACCCTACCCTGAAAGTGCGGGGGAGGGGTGCACACTTCCTTTCAAACCATTTGAATAAAGAAAAAAAATCTTCCTGTGAGAATAAGTCAGTTTCCTGTGGTGCTCAAACTGCTAAGAGTCCAGGCCAGCTGTGACAATCACCTCTATTTTTACTCTTCTGTTCTAAACGCTTGTTTTCTGTGACCACAAGCACCCATTTTCAGTCGCAGGGAGCCACTTTTACACTTGACACTGTACGTGTTGCTTAGCTCTGAATCACTAGCTTTTTACCTGATTTCTGCACAAGGCGGTTAATGGGAGAGTCGCAAATCACTTGTTGAACGTGACTCGGCCCATAAAGGCCGAAAACCCAACGTGCTCAGAGCAAAGTGGCGAGAGGTGAGAAAAGGTGGTACTACAATCTCACACCTGAGAGCTGGCCTTAAGGCATCACCTCCCACCTCCGCCCTCTAGTCTGCCTTCCTCCAACCATCCGCCCACCTATCTTCGCGCTGGACTGCATTCCGGCCCAAGAAAGCCAGTTAGACAGGCACAGGAGGGCAGTGGCCCTAGCTGCTCAGTGAATCCAAGGAGTCTCACCTCGGGCCCTCCCGAGGACCAGCGCCCGGGAATGGCCCCGTTTACTGTAAGGAGGAATGGAGGGATACCAAGGCCGATGCAGGGCCACCCTGAGGGATGCGAAGCGTGGCCGCGCGGAGGAGTGAGACGAGCTCCGGGGCCGCACTGCTGAGGAAGCGTGAAGCCACCAACGACTGACCGGCGGAGCCTGGGACCGGCAGGAGCCAGCGGGGGACAGGGAAACAGGGGCTGGGACGGTAAGGGTGCGAGCCCGGGCCGCCGCGCCGGGAAGGATATTGCCGCAGGAGCCCGTCTACCTCGCCGGGGTCGGGGCCTGGCTCGCCCGCTGCCACCGCCGCCTCTTCCTGCTCGTCTACGAATTTGTTCTCGTCAAATTCGTCGATATCCACTCGGCGGAAGCGCGAGGACAGCGTGTTCCGGGCCATCGTGGGAGCTCGGCGGCCGCCCAGGCGGCTCGGTTGTGCTCCGCACCGGCTCCCCTGCGCACCGGCTCCGCTCGGGGGCGGGAAGCGGCCGCCCGGCACCTCCTCCGCGCGCAGTCGCCGCCGCCCGCCCACTTCCGGGCTGCGCCGGAACCGGAAGCACCCCGGGGGCGGGGCAGCGCCACGGGACAGTGGGTCGCTGGTGTGGCGGGGTCCGGTTACGCAGCCGTTACTGCTTCTTCGCAAAAACCAGCTACTGTCATAGACAGCGCCTCAGTCCGCTCCTGAGAAAGAAACCTTTGAGCTGAGGGAAGAGCGGGCTGGAGCGCAGTGCCGGTGCCTCGCAACCTCGAACGCGAACCGCATTGACCACAGTGACTTTTTTGCTAAAGGAATAAAGAGTTGAAAGGCGTTAATGTGTAACCCAGAGGCTGACAGGACGCTTGATGACATCTTTCCTTGAGAATGTACCGACTCAGTACATCTGGGCATTCCAGAAAAAGATGATTCCGTGACCACATGTACTCCTGAACCGATCCTCACAGAAGAGGCGCATTTTAGGAGGCGAAAGCTGCAGGATTCCCAGGATATGGTGGAAGGCAGGCAGTTTCTAGGACGCTTGCGACGTTGGTTTCTCTTTATTTCAGCCGTAGGGTAAAATGGATCTTTCCTGTAATTGTACAGAAACTTTATTACATTTTCACCTAATAGAACTCTTGAGCAAAAAACCAGTAGTTGAAACATGGGTTTGCTTTGCCAGACTGATGCAGCCTAACCTTGGGATCCTAAAGGCAGGCTCCCACGAGGACAGATAGATGCTGAATAATCTCAAATCACGGAACTAGTCAAAACCTACCCGTATTCCTGCCTGTTCCTTATAAGAAATATGGAACGCAAGCAGGTCACAAGAGAGCAGAAATTAATATCCCCAGAAGATCTTTTTTTTTTTTTCCGAGACAGGGTTTCTGTGTAGTGTTGGCGTGGCCGTGCTGGCCTCGATTTGTAAACCAGGCCTTGAACTCACAGAGATCCACTTGCCTCTGCATCCCAAAGCGCTGGGATTACAGGCATGTGCCACCTCACCGGGCTCATCTTTAATTTTTTTAAATTATTTGTATCAGTATTTTGCCGGCAAGTATTTTTGGGCACCACGTGGGTGTGTTGCCTGCTGGAGGCCGGAAGAGGGCGTGGGATCCTTTTGGAACTGCAGTTACACAACCACCATGTCACGGAACCACGTCATGGAACTCTAGAAAAGCAACCAGTTCTCTTACCTGCCGAACCTTCTCTCCAGTCCCTCCCCTAGAACATCTTGGTGAGAAGGAACTTAATATCCGAAATATGAGTTTGACAGGGAAATAGCCTCAGATAGTCTAGATAATGAAATAATGTTCTAGCTTGTGTTCATGCACCTTTATCAGTCAGAAAGGATTTTAAATCCATGATGTGAAATCTGACATGGTGGTGCACCACAGTAATCCTGATCCTCAGGAGACTAAGCAAGAGGATAAAGAGTGTGCATTTAGTGAATGCATTCACTAAATGCAATCCTGCCTCAAAACAAATTCCAGGCTAGAGAGATGGCCCACTGGTTAAGATCTCCTGCTGCGTACAGCTTAGTAATGTTGGCACATGACTCTGCTCCCAGCACTCGGAAGGCAGCAGCAAAGGGTTCTTGTTAGTTCTAGATAGCTTGGTCCACATAATGAGTTCCAGGTCAGCCAAGACTACATAGTGAAACTCTATCTCAAAAACAAAGTACTTGCTGCTGTCAAGAAGACCTGGGTACAGTTCCCAGCACCCACATGGCAGCTCAGAGTGCTCTGCAACTCCACCTCCAGTCAGCTCTGCTGGCATGGCACAACTATGGTAATATAAAATAATAAAAATTTTTACTCCAGGTGGTGTTGGCACATGCCCTTAATCCCAGCACTTAGGAGGCAGAGGCAGGCAGATCTCTGAGCTTGAGGCCAAGGCTACACAGAGAAATCCTGTCTCAAAAGACCAAAAAGAAAAAAAAAAATTTAAGCTGTCTGATATTATGTCAGGGATGACAAACTGCTGAGGAGAATATTACTCAGTTTTGGTTTGGGTTTTGTTGTTGGTTTCCATGGAACTCACTCTTTAGACCAGGCTGGCCTCGAGCTCAGAGAGTGACCTGCCTCTGCCTCCCCGAGATTAAAAGTGTGCCACTATGCCTTAAATTTCTTAAAGGGAAATGAAAAATGGACTTCTACGCTAGGTAATGGTGGTGCACATCTTTAATCCCAGTTCTCAGGAGGCAGACAGACAGATTTCTGTGAGTTCAAAGCCAGCCTGGTCTACAAAGAGAGTTCCAGAACAGCCAGGGCTGTTACACAAAGAAATCCTGTCTCAAAAAGCAAAAATTTGGGAACAAGATCCAAAGTTGTGAGGTGTGCTGAGCGTGGTGGAATTTCTCAGCTTGAGGGCAGAATAGTCCATATAGTGAATTCCAAGACATACAACTTGGCTCCATACAACTTGACCTTGTTTCAAAATAAAAAAAAATAATAAAAAAAATAAAAATAGGAGTAAGCTGTAGGCAATAGTAGCTCAGGCCAGGAAGGTACCAAAAGAGAGTGCTAGGAATGTATCAGGTGTTGTCCATATAGAGCCTACAGGATTTGCTGTTAGATTAGATTGGACATGTAATAGAAAACTAGCAGATAAAGATGCAGGTCTGTGAATGGAACCCAATACACCAGAAGTTCCAATATATTAGAAATCCTGGGTTTAATCCTAGAACCACAAAAATTTTCCAAAAATATGCATAATCATAACTCTAGTAGAATTCTGGGCATCTGGGAAGTTGCACCTTTACCATTTAAAACTAATTCACACCCTCTGCTCATTTCTACATATTCCTTGACTTCACAGTGGTCTGGGACAAGGCCCATTAATTCATCTCTCCAGCTAGTATCCACATCCTGGGCCTGGAGAGCAGAAAACCAGATAAGCAGTTCTGCTGTCAGAGACCTTCCAGACTGACTCTGGAAACAGGTAGGTACACAAACACCACTTAACTCAATTTGTTGCTTAAAAGCATGTACAGAACACCTGGAATACAAGGGTAGGCTGCTACTCGTAGGGGTGAGAGATGACTTTAAAAACTTTTTGTTTTTAGAAAACAGGGTTTTTCTGTGTAACAGAGCCCTGGTTGTCCTGGACTTGCTTTGTAGGGCAGGCTAGCTAGCCTCGATCCACCTGCCATTGCCTCCCGAGTACTGAGATTAAAGGCATGTGCACCACACCCAGCTTAAAAACCTTTATTACACACTGCCTTTTGGGTCCCCGTTTGTTCTCCAATTTAGGTCAGCACTGTGTACTGAGCAATTGAGAAACTGCTGCCAAGGGCAGCTGTGTGACTGGAGCTTGGCAAAGAAAGGGCTCCAATAAGTCCATTTGGTCACGTATTACAGAAACCTAGCAGATCTAGTCTGCTTTGCTCCAGCCTAGATGCTGGTGGTCTGTTGGGATTGCAGATGAAGGGCAGTGTCCACTTTAACCAAATACCAACGATTCTTTCCTCGATCTTTACGTATCAGGTCTTGGTTGAGGGCTTTGCCAGTTATCAGGTTAGTTCCTCTAATCCTCAAAGACACATGGACTTACCAAGATAACAAAGCAATAAAAGAAGAATCTGGTTTTGTTTTTGGAGTTGTTTTTTATTTATTCGTGTATTGGTGCTGAGGATTGAACCCAGAACCTTGTGCAGTCAGGGAAACGGAACCAAACTCGCAGCCCCTATGTTTGAGTCTTTTGTGATAGGGTCTCAACACCAGTAGAGGAGGCTTGAACTCTGGATTCTTCTTTTCCACTGCCTGAGCGCCGGAGTCACAGGAGTGTGACACCGTGCTCACACCTAGAACAATAATCGGAAACCCATTGTCTCCATCAGTTCTCACTGGAGACTGTGATCCTTGAAATTCTTACCATGACCGGTGGTGGCGCACTTTTTCCACGCCAGCCTCGGCACCCCAGATCAGCCCAGAATATATATGTATATCTTGTATTTAAAGAAACACAAAAAACTGGACTAGCGAGATGTTTCGGTAGAACCTAACCACCTGCGTTCGAGCCCCGAGACCCACATTGTGGAAGGAGAGTACCAACTCCCACGGTTGTTCTTACCACCAAACATGCTCGCTGGCTCGCTCTAGCACACACTGCCAAGACAACCTGTAATCTCAGCATTGGGAACGTTCCCGACCAGCCAGGGATTTCCAGTGAGAACATGTCTCTAACTTTTTTTAAGATTTATTATGTATACAATTTCTGCCTGCATGCACACCTGCATGCCAGAAGAGGACACTAGATCTCATTACCAGATTTCTTTATAGATGGTTGTGAACCACCGAGTGGTTGCTGGGAATTGAACTCAGGACCTCTGGAAGGAGCAGCCAGTGCTCTTAACCTCTGAGCAAGCTCTCCGGCCCTTTCTCTAACTTTTAAAGAAATAAAGCCCTCACACTTCCTGCCCTCCGCACCCAAGACCAACCGCGGCTAGTGCAGAGCTGCACAGGCCAGGGAACGTCAGGCTTCCCGAAAAAAACAACCGAAAGGATGAACAGCTTCCCTCAGCTCTCGGCGGGTGCGTGAGGCTCAGCTCACCCCTCAGGTTCCGCACATGCGTTGCTTAGGAACCAGCCAATCTAGCTTGGGCAGGATACCCCGGAAGCGGAGGGCACCTCCACTGCGCACAGGTGGGGCGGGCCCTCCACGCCGAGATGCTATTGGCCGTGCTCGGCGCCACCCGGAAGTAGTTGTAAAGGTCGGCCTCGCCCCTTCCTCGCTCTCGCTCTCTCTCTCGAACCAGGCGTCTTCAGCAGTGAGCAGCGCAGCCATGGTGAGGCCAAAAGAATCGGGTGCCATCGGGCGCGAGGAACACGTGGGAACAGCGGAGCGGGGCGGGGGGCGGACGTGGGGAACCCAGGGATCAGTCGGGGCCTGTGGCTTGGCTCTGGTTGTGCGTGCTTCTGGCCGGTTCACACTGCTTGCGTCGCGGCCTCGGAGGAAACGGGAGTTCCCGCTCAGTGACCCACAGAAACTCTTCTTGTGCAGGCCAAGATTAAGGCTCGGGACCTGCGCGGCAAGAAGAAGGAGGAGCTGCTGAAACAACTCGACGATCTGAAGGTGGAGCTGTCTCAGCTTCGCGTCGCCAAGGTGACAGGCGGTGCCGCGTCCAAGCTGTCCAAGATGTAGGTAACTCTCAAAGTGACCCACCTGTGTATTTAACTATCCGTGCCTTTACCCCTGGTGCCGTTTCCCCCGGTCGTCCTTGGCCAACTGCTGTGGTGAAAGAACTGGGCGTTCCTGGAGGGCCATGGTAGTGCCATCCACCGGGACTCTCAGGTAGTTTGTAGTGGGACTGGAGGCACATGTAAGGACCAGAAAGTCAACTTCGAAGGGTCAACTTGGGTTTTTTAATGGATGCCACCAGCACCCCCATACACACACAACCTTGAGATGATTAGGGAAATATCGGCTACCCATGTTCTGAGACCTCTACTGATCCTGCCATCAGCATGGCTTAAAAGCAACTTTTCTCACCCTGTACCTGTCTTTCGGGGTTCTCTCTCGACGCCCGTTCCATTTCTCCAATTTGTGATTCTGTAACCTGAACTAGTCCTTGTAGCCCTTGCTCTAAGGCCTTGGCCTGGGTTTAAAGGTTTTTCCTCATCTTCTCATCTGCACTAAGTCTCCACACATGTGTCCCTGGGGAGCCTGTTGACAAACTTGTCCTTACCCCCGGGCTGGATCTCCTAGAGACTATAGATAAAAGACATGTGTTGTGAGCGCTATGTGCCTTCCTGGTATTCACTGTCATCTGTTTTTATAGACGAGTCGTCCGCAAATCCATTGCCCGTGTCCTCACTGTCATTAATCAGACTCAAAAAGAAAACCTCAGGAAATTCTACAAGGTGAGCCCTGTCCAGCACTGTATCATGTGAGCATTATGTCATGGGACTGGGGTTCGGGCCCTCAAGGCTCCCATTTTATGGTTGAGTTCACCCAGTTGTCAGCCTCCTGAACTGGCATGATGCTGGTGTTAAAGGGTCTGAACATGAGCTTTGAACCCAGCTTTCTCAGTTGTGGTACTTGTAGGGTTGCTTTGCTGTAAAATGGAACTGGAACCCTCCCATGAGGTAAAACCAGCTGTTCGGTGTCAGCTCACTGTGAAAATGTGTCTGTCTCACAGCCAAGCACTTGCTGTTCCAAGGGTTGGAGAGGTTGGGTTGCCCAGAGACAGCACAGTAGGTAAAACTGAGGGTCCAACAGCCTCTCTTCAGAACCGTGTCAGGACATTGGAGCATTGCTGGGATAATTGTGAGAGGTTTGTCCTAAGGCTGCAATTTTACACATCTTGTTGGGAATTGGCTCCTGTGACCATGGCAGCAGGAAGCCTTGTTTTAAGGTAGTCACCCTTAATTGAAGCCATCTAGTAGAGTCTTTCATTACCTCTGCAAGGCACATCAGAAAACTGCCATGGTGTGGCTGCACTCGCGCCCTTGAGGGCCTCGCATGTGAGGGGATTTTTGTCTTGGGCAGGTCTGCAGTGTCCCTCAGTTTTTGAGAGTCTGGGATCCAGCTAACTGTCAGGGAACTGATTGCAGGCCTAACAGTGCTGCTCTGCAGTGGAACTTGTGTGGAATTGCTTCTGCTTCCCAGTGACTGCTGGTACAGAGAGCTTTTCAACACTAATGAACATGTGATATGGCTGGAGATGTAGGCTTTTTATCTAGGCAGTGTTTGGGGCTTAAACCATGAGGTCTGACATATCAGGCAAGTGAGTAAAACCAGCACTGAGCTGCATGCAGGCCACAAGGAACCAGATTATGGGGTTTTGGGTTGCTTGTTTGAGAACAGGGTCTTTGCTTCTTTGGGTGCTGGGATTACAGGCATCATGCTTTGTGACAACTTACATTAAGATTTATTTACTAGGGGCTGGAGAGATGGCTCTTCTGGCATGGGGTGTACATGCAGGCAGAACAGATTTGTTATGTATACAGTGTTGTGCCTGTAGTGCATGCCAGAAGAGGGCATCAGATCTCGCTATAGATGGTTATGAGTCACCATGTGGTTGCTGGGACCTTTGGAAGAAGAGCCAGTGCTCTTAACCTCTGAGCTGTCCCTCTACCCCTGCCCACCCTGGTTTTAGAATGAATAGAGATGTTTAGTGGCTGCTGTGTGGGCAGAGCGCTAAATGGATACATGAACTTGGCGTGGATAAGGGCCGGCCTGAGGTGGCTTTGTGTCCCTGCCCCATCCTGACCACAGCTTTCTGATTACTTCTTGTTACATGCTGGAGTTTAATGCGTGGTGTTGTGACCTCATGATGCCTGCCCCTTTGAAGGCAGCAGCAGCCACGTACATGGAGCGTGATTTTGTTTTCTGAGACAGGGTTTCTTTGTACATCACTGACTGTCCTGGGACTCTTTAGACCAGGCTATCCTTACACTCCCAATGCTGGGATTAAAGGCATGCACCACCATGTCCAGCTTCTGACTGTACATTCTTAAAGGCTTTTCTACCCCTGCTCTCTGCTTTTCAACTGAGGGGCTTGCTTCGGAGGTTATTGCCTCTTGAGATTCTTGGTGGTGCTTTTGCTCCTCCCCATGTAGGGGCGTGACCCATAGGCTGGGGGGGGCAGGCAGGGACCTAAGGGACTGCCTTGCTTTAGAGCATTTGGGAAGGACTAGGACATAAAGGAGGGTAATGGTTCCCTTAACAGCTCAGGGTCTTAAGCTATTGGCTATTGTGTCGGGGTGACCTTGGCCAGGCCTTCTTCCTGTTCAGTGTTACCTAGAGCATTAATGAGCCCTGCCCTGGAGACATCCAGTTAATTGTAGCCAAGTAGTAGTAGCCACCACAGGACCTAGTGTGTCTCTTGTGTCCTTTAGACTGTGCCGTGTCTTTTTTTGCCTTTTCAAGACAGGGTTTCTCTATGGCCTTGGCTGTCTTGGACTCACTTTGTAGACCAGGCTGGTCTCAAACTCACAGTGATCTGCCTGCCTCTGCTCCCAAGTGCTGGAAGTACAGGCATGCATCACCATGCCCACTCTGTGCTGTGGTATTTTACTTAGTTACTGGTGATTGGTGTGTAGGAAAACTGAAGGTTAGCCTCCCTCTTAGCCCTGTAGTCTTGAAATTAGACTCTGCAAATATTTGGCCTGCCAACTTTTGTGAACCTTATTGTGAGCCTCCAGCTAAAAGGCCCTGGATGCCCTACAAATTGCTCAGAGAAGTCCAACTTCCTGTCCCTTCTGGCTCTCGTGCTTCAGCATCTTCCCAGTAGCCCCTGGTGCCCAGATTCACTCTGTCATCTCTGTCCCAGGGCAAGAAATACAAGCCTCTGGACCTGCGGCCCAAGAAGACTAGAGCCATGCGCCGCCGGCTCACCAAGCACGAAGAGAAGCTGAAGACCAAGAAGCAGCAGCGGAAGGAGAGGCTATACCCGCTGCGCAAGTATGCAGTCAAGGCCTGAGGTGGCAACGACAATAAAGTGCAAAACTGGCTGTCTTTCTGTTTCATGTTTTACACTGGCCACCTGGGGCCGGTAGGGAGAGGTGGGGGACCAGGTGACCACTTGCCTATAGGTCTTGTTATGGGACAGGATAGGGTAGCCCCTGCATCGGAGAGATCTGGTGGCCTTTTTCTTAGTTACTTTAGGCCTGTGATAAGCTACATGGAGTGGGTTCTTGAGACTTTAAAGCAGGAGACGTGTCATCTTGTCACAGCAGCCCCTGACACTAAGTTTGCCATCTGGGGTGAAAACACAGGCGTGGGCCACATCCAACAGGCCCTGTCAGTGACAGCGTCAGAGTCAGGGTCAGGGGATCCTACCATTCCTGGGCCCCTTCTAGTGGGTGGGGTGTGAGGGGTTTGGTTTGCACCCGTAGTGCCTTACCTTTACCGTCTCGAGGCATTGTCCTGTGTTACAGTCCTAGACTTTGACCTGGGAGTAAAAACAGGCATAAGAGGTGGGAGGTAGTGTGCTCCAAGGCCGGGACGTGGCCTGGGCTTGTCTGCAGACAAGGTTTGCTGTGCCACATAGTCTCCAGCATAGAAATGTGAAGAGTTCATAGGTCAGTGGTGTTGGTGCCACGTGTGGGGCAGTCTGCTTCTTTGTGCTTTCCTTGAGGTCATCAGAGGTCAGATCTAGTCCTTGCCTCTGCTGTGCATGGACATTTCTAGTATGGCTGAAACCTCCGGAAAGGTGAGGCTGGGGTTTGGAGGAAGGGGCTTACCATACGGGAGTAGCCGGCACTGGCCAGCCTTAACTCATCAGGAGAAAAGGCGAGGCTCTTCACCCAGGTGCCGTGGCCCTTGAGCTAGAAAAGCAAGCTGCTAGTTGTGGGCTTCCAGAGGCGGATGGTCTTGTCCCAGGAGCCAGATGCCTGAACAGACATCCCTGAGCTCAGTGGACTGGACAGTAGCCTACACCCTTGATGAAGGTTTGGGGGCACAGTTAGCCTAGCTTACCAAGAGGCCAGATGCTGAGTAGCACAAGCATCTGATTTTGCCTGTGTGACCGTCCAGCTCCTGGTAGGAGATAGCTGGGCTTGCCACCCGCAGGTCCCAGATGTGCACAGTCGAGTCCCAGGAACCAGTGGCCTGTGGGCAGTGATAAATACTATGAAATAGCTCTATCTGCTGGCCACTGATGCAGGGAGTCGGGGTGAGGCTCACCAAAGAGTCCGAAGTTGGGGAGAAGTCACTGCTCTGGACGGAATCATGATGCCCAGTCAAGAGGCGTACTTTGTGACCAGACTGTAGAGAGAGTCTGAGCTGCAGAGGTGGAGGGAGCCAGGTGCTCCCTACTTTACTGCTGACCTATGTCTTCCTGGGACTTGCTACAGCAGGAGGAAGGGCAATCCAGGCTGGAACCTGAGGCCTAGAAACTTGGGATACTTGACTGGCTGTGGGGAGTAGGCAAACCTAAACCAGGCCCCATCCTCATACCTGCACCTCCCAGAGAATCACCCTCTTGTCCCAGCCACCTGATGCCAGCTGTTTTGAATCAGGGCTGAAGCTCACTGTCTCCACACTCCGCTGGTGACCTGCAGACACCAGCCCGAAGGTGGGAAAGAAGACAGGACACAATCCACAAAGTAGCCACCGTGGTTCCCAGCCAAACCAACTACTCACCTTTCAGTACATGTAGACACTTGGATTTGCCCACATCCCACAGGCGTACAGTGTGGTCGCAGGAGGAACTGGCAACCAGGCAGCCATCGGGGAAAAGCGACAGAACTTCACTGGGCCTGAGGCGGGGAACACATGGCATTGTCCTGCTCTCACCATCCAGACTTGTCATCTGTCGTTCTGGTCACAAGGCCAGGCCTGAGCTGAGTTCAGCTGTTTTGCCCATCTCAGGGACCATCATTAAATCCAGATTCCTCCTCCCACTAACGTGCCCTCATTGCTCTGCTAGGTTCTCTGGCGCAAACTAAGAACAGTCTGGGCAAGTTCATGTGTGCAGCACAATAGGTAACCTTGAGGCTGAGTGGAATAAGCCTGAGTGGAGAGGCCTCTAGAGATATCAAACTGCACTGGTGGGGATGGAGGTGGGTGTTTCATGTTACAGCTCTGCCAGAAGAGGAACTTCCAGAGAACTACTCAGTGTATTTGTACCACTGGGCTACATGTCTTAAGATTTGTGAAATAACATTTTGAGTTCAAGTCTTAGAACAAGGGGACTGACCCCTGGCTGTTAGGTTTGGTGTCTCAGCAGCCCCTGCCAGACTCTTGTTCCAACCCTCTCCCCAGAAGTCAGAAGTCACTGAGGTAGGCTCCAAAATGTCAGCAGAGCCCTAGAGGTCTCTTCATCAAGGTGGCTAAGCCCCACCTCTGTGGCCTGTCAGTTTCCAGAGCAGTCGCCTACTCTTTGTCTCCCATACATACACAAAACCGTCATCAGAGGCTGTGAGCAGGATCTTGCCATCAGGGGAGAAGGCAGAGCAGTTAACCTGAAAGGACAGGGCAAAAATGGTCCCATGCTTGTCAGCAGTCATTTGTCCCCTCAGCTCTAACCATCGCTAACTTGCCCAGGAATCCTGGACAGGGCTATAAATTCCAGGAATCTTCTAACCAACACTGGAACCCAAAGCCTAAAGCAAGTTCTGGATCATGAATTGACAAGTTCAAAGTCATTGAATTTGGATTGAGTCCAAGCTGGCCATAATGATGCACACTTCTGATCCTAGCACCAGGGAGGCAGAGGCAGGAGGATTGTCTTAAATTTGAGGCCAGCCTGGTGCTACCTCAAAAGACAAAGCCTATCTGTGAGCGTTTGAAGCCTGGATAACCTGGCCCAAACAGCTACATTTCTTTGGGTAGCTGTCCTAGAACTCCCTCTGTAGACCATGCTGGCCTTGAACTCAGAGAGCCCCTTGCCTCTACCTCTGGAGTGCTTAGATTAAAGGCATATGTTACCATGGCCCCCCCTGAGACTTCATTCATTCATTCATTCATTCATTCATTCATTCATTCATTCATTCATTCATTGTTTTTCTAAGACAGGGTTTCTCTGTGTAGTCTTGGCTGTCCTGGACTACTTTATAGATCAGGCTGGCCTTGAACTCACAAAGATCCGCCTGCCTCTGCCTCCCAGAGTTGGGTTACAGGCCAGCTGGAGACCCTGTCTTTAAACAAAAAGACCTGGTATGCACGCTTGAATCCCAGTACTAGGAGGCAGACAGCTGGATCTCTGACAAAGGTAAGTTTGGTCTATGTAATGAGTTCCAGGACAGTCAGCGCCACATACTGAACCCCTGTCTCAAATGAAAAAGGACCTGAAGAGATGGTTCAGTGGTTAGGGACACTGACTGGGTTCACATCCCAGCACCCACACACAGACATACATGCAGACAAAACGCTACTGTACATAAAATAAATGTAAGTGAATTAAAGAGAGAGGGGGGGAAAGAGAGAGAGAAAGAAAGAAAGAGAGAAAGAAAGGAAAGGAAAAAGGAAAGGAGAGGAAAAAGGAAAGGAGAGAGGAGGGGAGAAGAGAAGAGAAAAGAAAAGAAAAAGAGAGAGAAAAAATAAACCTAGAGTCTATTCTTGAGTTGGGACCTGGAAAGACCCCACCAAGACTGCGTAGACTTTGGGTGTCCTCACCTCCCCGTGATGTTGACCGAAGTACCTCACTTTGCCCACGGCCAATTTTTTGGGGCCATCGCTGTTCATGGGCACCCGCCTCTGGGCTGGGCAGGCTTCCTCCTAGGGGGCACCTGTCCCATTGGAGGGGCCTGCGTTCTGGACAAGGTGAAAGGGGAGGGAAAGGGAAGGAAAATTGTATACAAGCAGTCGCCATGGTAATAGGTCAGGGCGCGCAGCCGCAGTAGGGGAGGTCTCTGAGAGCTACCCGGAAGGCCTTAGCGAGAGAGCTTTTAGTTACAGAAAGTATAGCAGCTGCATCGTAGGGCTCCTGAAGCCAGCAGAAATGATCTTCCAACCTTGGGACCGCCCTGCCCGCCAGATCCGGAACCGCTCTGGCTGTGGAACAAGACAGAGTGGCCTCTAGAGGGCGCGCCAACCTCAATCACCAGGACACCAACTGCAAACGCTCCCATGGACTCCTTCCTCACGCAGAACAGGATCCGATTTACCACTGCCCAACCCGTGGTTGAGTAAAACACGTGAGCGCCTAGCACGTGGTAGCACCCACGAGGAGCCAAGCTTCTGGCTGGCCCTGGGGCTGGGGACAACATCCACCTCTACCTCAAGATGCAAGGAGCAGGAGGCAGAGTGTGCCTTAGTGCAGGGCATGTAAAATTATGTTAGTCTTGGCCAACGTTCCCTACTGTGCCGGCTGAGGGCCTGGAGTTGGAGATGCAGGTCCCAGGAGCTCTTGGGATTGCGTATGGATTTCCTGACCCGAAGCCTGCAGAGAACAGACCTTTACAGATGAGGACTATGAGTTCCAGAGAAATACGGAAGAGGATAATGGTGCTGGTCCTTGGGTTGGGCCCTTCTCTCATTACCAGGTCCCTCACAGCAGGTGTCCGAGGTCCCTTATTTTTGATACCTCTGAGAAACAGGATGCCATGGGAATGAGGCATGGGCATCTCCTCAGTTCCTCCATGACAGAGCAGAGAGGAGGTCAAAACCAGGCCTGCCAGTTCCCCAGCCACACCAGAGTGGGCAGGGATGGATGTGGGAGGCCTACCCCTAGTCACTAGGGACTAGTGGGTTTCAGACTCCTGATGTTGGGCAGGGCGGCAGAACTTTGGGAGTGTCAAACTCAAGGGTTCCCAGCTGTGACTCATGTCCTTTTCCCCATAGCCCTTTGCCAGAATCTTCTCACGGGATCACTCTTTCTCTGCTCTATTTTAGGCCTGAGACAGTCAGACGTGTGTGGGGGGCGACAACGGCGGCTTTGTGCCAGGCCCACCCTCATCCACACTCCCAGAGGGCCCAAGTCACTGAGTCGGCTCCTTGGAGACCTGTCTGTGCTGAGATTAGAGCCACTCCACACCACTACCAGCAGCAGCAGGAGCTCTGACTCCCAGACATGGCCCTCGAAAACAGAATCTCCTAGCCTCCACCTTCTCTGCTCAGACACCAACGCCCATGCACACTGCTTCCCTAGCCACCTGACTGCCCCTTCCTACCATGGGCCTATTCACTGGACTGTCTACCTACAGCGTCCCTCCCATCTAACCGACTTAGGGTTAGTATTGCTGCGATGAAACACCATGACCAAAAGCAAATGGGGGAGAAAGGGCTTATTTGGCTTACACTTCCATTGTAGTCCCATTATTGAAGGAAGTCAGGACAGGGACTCAACCAGGGCAGGAACCTGGAGGAAATATTCTGTGTACATGTGTGCCTGCAGGCCAGAAGGGGAGATCTCACTGTGGATGGTTGTGAGCAGCAAGGAGAGGAGCGTGGTCCAGGACTCTGAGGGATATAAATATGAGAGTCCAGAAAGAGAACTTTCTGTGTGACAAACTGTGTGACAGTTTGGAGTGAGCAGAGAGTGACAGTGTGGCAATTGGAGAGACATGGGAGAGATGCTTCTTGGAGCAGCGGCTTAGAGGAGAGAGATGGAGGAGACAGCTTGCTGCATTTGCTGCTGACAAAGACTGGTATAACCCCAAAAAGAACCCATCCACCCTAAACAGCCAGGAGAAGTAAAGGGGTCTGTGCCCCGCTCTCCCCACTAACCTTCTGTCTCCTACCTAGGGTTGAGGGGTTGGAAGGGAGAGGCTTTAAGGAACCCAAAATGAAGTAGTTTAAAAACAAACACATCAAGTGGCTCTGGAATTACGTTTGTAAGGCTAGCTGGGCAGCTTTGCCTTCACTTTTCTCCTTTTCAGCAAGGGAGGTTATGGGATGGCTCTGGAAGGGCCTTTGGTAGGATTTCAATCTGAGAAGATTAAAAAAAAAGAATACCTGAGTCACAAGGGTTATACAATCGAGTCAGAACATGTCTTACTGTACATGGGGTCTCTTGTGAGAGGTCTAGAAAGCTTCATGTGTGTGCCTGGGAAGGGGCAAGGCCACAGTCAAGGTCGTATTTTATACTGAGGCCTTGAGTATGGCTTATGGCTGTTTTAACATTTTTATTTGCAACATCTCTACATGAAAAGAATATTGTCTCCATGCAAGTAACCTTCACATTTCCTCTCTTGACTCAGGGCCTTTTGATGTAGCCCAGACTGGCCTCCAGTTTATAGCCATCCTCTTGCCTCTGTCTCAGATTAAAATCATTCTTTTTTTTTTTTTAAGATTGCTTTATTTATTTATACAGTGTTCTGCCTGAATGTATACCTGCATACCAGAAGAGGGCACCGGCTCTCACTATAGATGTTTGTGAGCCACCATGTATGTGGTTGCTGGGAACTGAACTCGGAACCTCTGGAAGAGCAGCCAGTGCTCTTAACCTCTGAGCCATTTCCCCAGCCCCTAAAGGAATTTTTTATTTTAAAATCTGCTTTTATTTTAAAGTGTGTGTGTGTGTGTGTGTGTGTGCATATATGGGTGGGTAGGTGTGCGCACATGTGTTTGGGTGGGTATGTACATCTGGGTGTGTGCCTGTGTATAGTGGGTGCTCTTGGAGGCCAGAAGAGGATTTGAATTCCCGGAAGCTGGAGTTACGGGTGGTCGTGGGCTGCCTTATAAGAGTGCTGGGAACTTGAACTCTGGTCCTCTCCGAGAGCCACAAGCACTCTTACCCATCATGCTGTCCTATCTCTCCACTCACCCACCCGATACCACACCCCCCTTTGACTCTCAGCTGCCAAGAGACCACCACTAGACTCCGAGGTCAAGGGCCCCTTTCCCATACCTCTCTATCCTGTCCCATCACCAGAGCTTGAAACAGTCTCTTTCTGTGCCTCAGTGGGTGTCTCTCCCTAGCTGTGTGCATTCGGGGTGGCTTCTCCTCTCCCCTCCCCCACAGTCATTTGCATACAGGAGTCTTGGCTCTTTCTTGGGGAGCTGGAATGAATGCGTGTAGATGCTGTGGTTTCCCAATAACCTAGGCCATCCTCACTGAACGGCCACTAGCTTGCCACTGTCCCCCCTGATGGGTGGGATTCAGTGTTGATTGACAGAGCCAACTCAAAGGCACTCTCCCAGGCTTCCACATACTCTGTCTCTGGTAATGTAGCTTTCACGCTAGAGTCATTTGAGGCCGCAGCAACATTATTCTCTCAAAAATGCAGTGCACACTTTTTTTCCCCATGAGCACCTGCTCAGCCAAGGCACCCTCCCCCTCTGCTACTTGCATGAGGATTCTTCAGACTCACTTCAGACGTTGCATTATGCTGGCTAAATGTCATTCACTTGGCTTCCTTCCAGCCTGCTAGCCTTGGAAGCATTGTAGGCGTCGCACTCTGTCGTACAAAGTATTCATTCTGTCGAATAACAGCTGCAAAATCGTAAGATACATAAATCCTGATCTGGAAGGCATGGTCTAGAAGAGAGCTCCGTGATCCGTCGCTGGTGGGTCCCATGTTACTGTGTCCCCTCTGCCAGTGGGAGCTCATAGTCCCCAAGAAGAGATGGGAACCTACACAGCTTAACCAAGACTCTCTGAGCGCAACTGAGCTGAGCCTTCAACGGGGGGGGGGGGGGGGGGGGAGCTGCTGCTGAGGTCACGGATGGGAAACTGGGGTCAGGGATGGGAAACAGGGGTACACATCTGGGCGTCAGCCCCCCCCCCCCCCCCCCCCCCCCCCCCCCCCCCCCCCCCCCCCCCCCACACACACACACACGCCACAGCTTCTTTGGAGAGTTTGTGATTGGTCCAGCCTGAGTCACGTGACAACTTGGCTGGACCAAGCGCACCTGGAAACTCGGGTTTGGCCTGGCCCCCACCAGTCCTTCACAGCTGCATTCAAATCTGGCTTCTTACCTGTTTCCTTCACCTGTCTGACCTGTTCCTCCATTTCATCAGCACTGGCTGAGAGTCGTGACAGAATCCGTCCCCCGCTGGGAGTCCAACGCACTTTAAGTGCTCTCGTGGGGGTGAGCTGGGCTCTAATACACGGGGCTTGTGTGGGCCCCTCTCTCACCCAGTGGCCGCAAAGACACCAGGAAAAACACCTGTGTTTTATAGAAGTCCAACGAGCCGGCATGGAATAAGGTGCGTATCTGTGACCCTCGTGCCAACGAGGTTGACGCACGAGTTTGGGGCCAGACTGGGCTACACAGAGAAATCCTGTCTCCACAATTTAAAAAAAAAAAAAAATGGAGAGCGGTATAGCGGTGCCAGTGTATGCATTTAAAAGCTGTCTTTTGGTGGTGGCACACACCTTTAATCTCAGCACTCAGGAGGCAAAGGCAAGTAGATCTATGAGTTTGAGGCCAGCCTGGTCTACAGAGTAAGTTCCAAGTCAGCCAGGAAGACGAGGTGAGATCTTGTCTCAAAGCAACAACAAACTCGAACCAAAAAAACTGTCCTATGGTTGCTGGGCTTGATCTTGTAAAAGAGAGACTTGGGGGCTGGAGAGATGGCTCAGCGGTTAAGAGTACTAACTGCCCTTCCCGAGGACCCGTGTTCAATCCCCATCACTCGCAACTCACAACTGTCTGTAACTCCAAGATCTGACACCCACAAACATCCATGCAGGCAAAACACCAATGCACATAAAATTTTTTAAAAAATCAATTAATTAAAAAGAGAGAGAGCCTGGGAGCAGGAGAGATGGGTCAGAGTCTATAGCACCTATCCTTCCTGCAGAGGACCTGGGTTTAATTCCCAGCACCCATATGGTGGTTGACAACCACCCAGA